TTCCTCAGGAATGGATCAATGGGCTTATTGAGCAGCAGGACTTCTGGGTACACGACTTAATTAAGCGATGTGGCTGGTCTACAGCTAATTAATTAATAAAATTCATGATTCTGATGCCCTGAACGCACGGACTTTTGTCCCCATGTTCGTTAGTACAAGAAACATTTTTAGAGTGGAGGGATTAAGCCTCGACAGCTGAGATTGGTTGAAACTAAAAATGCTTATTTAGCTTTATGTGTATCGTAATTTAGCGAGTCTTTAAGCATCTAAGAAGCTAACGAAGGATGCTTTGGCAATTTTCCTACGTAGCTACTACAAGCCGTTAACACCACAATCTCAAAGTACAAGCTGTTTGATACTGTCAATTAGTCCACCATTACAGGGATCTTTCTGAATTCTTGAACATTGAAGATGGAATAGGAATATTGGTAGTTGAGTGATGCTGAAGGGAAGCAAAGCTCCCATAGCCAAGTTGAGGTCTCTCAACACTATGAAAGGAGAACATTTTTCAATATTAGCTCATACTCTGCACGCTACTTCTTAAAATCATTGCCTCATTTTTGACAACTAGATAACCTTTTCTCTAGATCTACAATCTGCAATATGAGCGCATCATTACGAAGTGACAAAGTATTGTGTGAGCACGTCACGTGGTACGCAAAAAGCCATAAGAAACGCATTTTGATGCTAAATCTGGAGTGTTTAGGATTATAATCTTCGCAATTTCCTTAAACGAAGAGCCATGATGCAATTGCCCATTGTCAAAATGTTGTAAAGAAGCAATCATCTCAGTCAAGGCTAAAGCTGATGTTACAAAAAGTTTAAGTCGAGAAAAAAAAAGTAAAAGGAAGAAAAAAAATATTTGGGCTCAAGCTGTCGAAGCTGTTTATGAAATTGAAATAACTTACAGTTTGGGTTCGTCAACCAATCTGTAACTTCTTCTTTGCGAAGTTTACAGTCCTTTGGCTCCGTGATCCTATTGCAGGTCACTTCGCCGCAGCATCGCTAACAAGTAGATAAGTTTTTTTCCCTAGTCTACGGTTAGTTTGATCTACCATATTGCAATTATGGTAACGAGGGTGCACCCTCTGATCCTGTAGATTGTTAGTTTACAGAAATGAATGAAGAAGCGAAGTGGAAGCCTCGACAGTTGAGCCAAAGTGTAGTGGCAGAAAAGTCCATATTCAGTTTTATATACGGCAATACTTAAGTAGGGAAGACTCGGCGAATTGCTGGAAGGCATGCTCGCTACTTTGGTCTAACGTAAACAAAAATGAATGAGGATGGGAGTTGCGATTAGAAATGTCGTCTCTTCAGCCTTGCGATTGCGGCTCTCCGCCTCTTCGGCTTTGATAAGACCAAGCTGTCTACCTCTTCACTTTACTCCTTAGATCTGGATACAAGAATTAAACTAATCTCGATTTTTGTTCCGCGATCTCCTGCTCGAGGGAGTCTCTCAATCTTGATATCCATAAACAAACAGTGCAATTTTTACTCAAAACGTATGGAGAGAGGCTACGAATAGCAGCTTCAATTGGGCTTCTCATTGCTTCAACCACGAACATGAACCGCAACAGAAGTGTAACGATATGAGATAGTGAGACCAAAAAGCGTGATCCAGCCTTGGACCCCTACATCTAGCGTGCCCATAATGTAAATAATACCAGAGCTTCCTTATGGACTCTTCCCTACTTCTAGACAATATACATATCAATCCTCAATCGACCTCGTCGTTGAGACCTTACCGTGACAAGAATACAAGTGAAACAGCCTGTGCATTGAAAATTACAGTACAACATATAGCGTAGATCGTCCACATTTCTCGAAGAGAGCATCACACTTGTATGCCTATTCCTCTTGATCAACCTTCGAACGAAAACTCAACCACAATCAAACACAACTTTGCAAAACCCGTGATGAACATCTTCTTATCGCTGTTCCACGAACCAAAACACCAAAGCAGAAAGATCCGAGGACACCGAGGACAACATTCTATTCACATGCCTCACCCACCAACATCCCGACCAACTCCCAGCAACAACAACCATCCCCTGATTCCAAAACCAAATATGAGCAATCACCATCCCTCTACCCCACAACACGACACATCACAACTTGCCCCTTGGGCAACAATCCCAGCCTCCCATCTTTAAATCCGGACCGCGCCGACTCCCAAAAATCTCACTCTCCATACTTTGTCCAACACACCAACTCAGGATTGAGTTGTGGCAACATCCTCATCAAAACTCGAGAAGTTTCATTCGGTTCAGCGTTTGCCGATCCGCACCCCCTTCTCATAAGTCCGTTCGAACCGAAGAGGATACCCCACACCCCAGCTAGAGATGCATGCAAAGAATATTTGATAAGCAAGCTAGCAGCTATGTTGAGACCCTAAAACTGATGTGGCGTTCAACGGTCTCCGCACCAGATGTAACCGAGGGCGTTTAGCGAGACCCCTATGCGTGTCAACATTGACGACGACGGCGGGGGGATCAACAAGGTCTCGATGAGGAGATGCATGATGGGGAAAGTCTATCTTGGACCCCTTTGCCGTCTAGTTCTTTTAGTTTGTGCTGAAAAGTTTGGACCACTTTGGTGTTCATCTCGAGATATGTTACTACTTTTGGACAGCAGGGATTGAGAAGGGGAGGCGAAGTCAACATCGGTACAGGTACGAGGCTGGATTATTTGGAGGTGTGTATCAGAAATGGATGGATCTTCTGGATCTTCGAGTTGATCTCTTGATGTGTGGTGACACACAAGTACACGCTCGTCAAAGCTGACTGAACTGAAGAGTGTGTTTCTCGATTCGTGCTCCTATCATCAAGATCCGTCTATAGCCACAAATTGCACGGCAACATGGTGGAATCCGAAGGCACAGTCGGACTCGGTATGTCGTCCGACCTGAGAATCTCATCCAGAGCTGATATTCGAATTCATGTTGACAATTTCCCCTCTATCATATCCTCCTCCTCGTCTTGCAGGGTGTTACAACATCTGTAGAGAAGGATCCAATCCACACAACGCTCCTGGATGGAGTTGAATGGATCGTTCCACATAACGCAGTCTTCAGCCATCTCAAGCCGCTTCAGCATAATCGTTTTCTCGGGTTGCACATATGCATCTGCTGCACGTCCTGTACAATATCATATCGAAGTAAAAAAGCCTACAACAACCTCATGTTCCACAACATGCTGTCAAAAATATGCTGTGTATGCCAGAGCTGCAACGAAGCACGTGCTCTTCTTGCTCGCTCATAGGCAGGCAAGCAAGCAAGGGAAGAAAACAATAGAACAAGAGGGTGCAAGAACGGGGCAGGTGATGATTATTCACCATAGATGAATGGCCTGAACATTCCGCCCGCCCCAGAACCGGAATCAGCATCTTGCCTTGCAGCCCTTCCTTTCCTCTCTCTCTTTTTTCAGCAGCCGCGATTCTAATCTGGATGACGAGATGCATTGTGAAACACAAAGGTTTTCGCTGAGCCAGCTTGCCAGCCAGCCAAGATGCAAGCCATAAGATTTCAGAACATCCATCGACAAAATGCGGGGAAATGTTCGATCACCTCCTCTATTTCCCCTTAAGCTCTCTCATCTCCACACCTCCCTACCCCACAATTCGACTTCGAATGCACTCCACAGCATATGTACGAGTCGTGGAACAACAGTATTTTGCTCCACAACTGCAAAGTTATTATTGCTGTCGTTTGTTGAGGAAGATCTCGCCCAATACTGCAATGCAAACGCGGGGCACCACGAACCCAAGCCGTTTTCACATGTCAGAATTCTCGCTCTTGCCCCCTCCTTTTGCTGCTTCACGCCTCTCCTCTCCTCTCCTGGGCACGACAGCGTAATACGGAGTACAGTATTGGAAATGCAACGATATTGCCTATACGCACGCAGCAAGCAAGATCACGCGTTCTGTTTCTGGAAACGAGGGAGATGCAAGCAGGTAGTGAGAGAGTGGTTGGTTGGTTGGCTGGCTGACAGTTCGTTATCTGCCTCTCATTCAGTACTTACTTGCATGGCACGAGAGATGCCCTGCCCTTGGATACTGTATCCATCTTACTGTACTGTTTACTTTAACGAACGCCCCGATGGAAGCCGCGATTACTGAATTCCGATATCGCATCCTCTTTTAATAATCACGAATCCAGATCCCCTTCCTATCACTGCAATAATATACAAGCCTGCAGAAGCAAGCAGCAGCACCCTAATCTATCTGTCTGTCTGTCTATCTATCTCTACACCGACCTGTACTGTACGCCAAACCCAGCCATCCGCCAAAAACAGCCCGATTGGAAAAAATCGCAGAATGAGTTGTTCGTTCATGCACGAAGGGGCAGGTTGCAACCATCAGCGGGCAGAGATGGATCTGGGCGTCCGTTCGTCTGTCTGCAAGGTAGGCGAGGGACGGGGGAAGGGGTCCGGGGTAAGTAGGTAGCGCCTACCTAAGAACTATACTATATTACTCTTTCTAGATTGAGGAGGGAGAGATCGTCAGGGTTCTAAGGGTGCTTGATAGGTGGTGCGGAGCTAGGCCCTCAACAAACCTCCTCACACACACACCATCTCGAGGAAGGAAGGAAGGGGTTGGCGGGAAGGGAGGGGAGGAGGAGATGATCTAGACGACGGTACGGGAACTAGTTTAGTACTCACTCACCCTGAAAGGAAACAGCAGTGAAGAGTCTAGACAATCGCCATAGTGGATCCGTCCCCTCTCATCATTGGGTTTTCAGCGAGGATTGCTCCGCGGCCATGAACTGAGGCTTGCAGCGAGGAGAGAGCGGTGTACGGAAAGTGTGCCTGCTGGTACTCGTAGATTTTGTTGATCGGGGATGTTGTATGGATTGGGGAATTGTGAGGTTGTTGATATGTACATGTACATATCACATGCTTGAGCTGGGGTTTTCCCTTCTGTTTATGGCAATGGGGATTGTTGCCTTTTTGGGACTGAAAGGATAATGAAAAGGTTTATTTGAGTGTTGTGCATGAAGACAACTTCAGCCACTGCTTTGTTGACGGTTGGATCGAATCAATATGAAGCGTTGACTTCGTTCCACGACATACGCTGCTCATATCGATCCACTGTTTATTCCTTACTCGCGTGTTTTGCGCATGGAAAATATCTTAAGTCGCTGCTCTCGTTCAAATCAAGACGAAGCACTAATTTCGTTCCACCACATATCTACACCGTCATCTCGAACCACTATTTCCTCACTCGAGTGATCTTGCTGCTCCCATTCTTTCTTTCTAGATCGTCCTTGGCATGTGAAGCGAGCGGCCGTTGCACAGCATCTTCCATCTCCCCATTCGGCCTCTCACCTCATTTGACGTGCCTCAACTCGAGACGAGACACTATGTACCCCAGATTTTCAGGAAAAGCCTCTTTTCGGCCGCCCCCTCAAGCCGACATTGATCCCGACAGCTACATACGGCCGCCGACATCAATGCGTGCCGTGAGCTCTCACGAGACAACTATGTATAATCATCGTTGTACAACATCATCATCCTGCTCCTCTGCAATGCTCTACGATCCTCAATCATGCTCAACTCGAAACGCGAGGCCTCCATAAATACACACTTGTTCTATCCAATTGGCTCCACCAAACGACTCCTGCTCTCGTAACAGTTTGAGGAGGAGGTAGGTAGGAATGAGGAGTGCATGCTGACTGCAGCTCTCCTCATACTCCATTCATTCCTCGCCACACTCGTGACACTCACTCAAGCTCTCGGCTTTCTTTCCCCTCACTTCAAATGATAGATCTCTCATTCTACTCAATCGATCGATCATGAGAAATGACACGGGAGAACAAACATGGCGTCACCCCGCATTTCTCCTAGCCAAAAGTAATCGTTTGCACTCGCATTGACGTCTGTGAATCTCGATCTATCAAAATTATCACTTGTTACACAGCTGCAATCGCGGCACAATACAGTAGTCTCTATTTGAACCCCTCCCCAAACGTAAAAGTATCGTGGAGTTGGGAACGGCGATCTCTCGGATAGAGATGGACCCTGGGAAGACTTTATTCGTACCACGACGCTGGGCAAGGCTCTCTTTTGCCGGCCGCTTCGACTTTACCTGAGATCGCTAAACTTTCACATGAAAGGTAATCTTTTTCGGCACGGAGATATTGCGTAATGTCGCCTCTCTCGTATGATTGCCATCTCGGCATCAGATGATGATGATGATGAATACTTCTCCACCATTTGCTCATTCGAGGTTTGTTTGAGTGATATCGAATCGGTCAGTGAAGTGATGACATCGAATGAAACCAGCACGCTTGACTCTAAGGCCCATTACATTTTCCGGGCTCCCGAACTCGGTATTCCCTCGTCTCTCGAATCGCGAGCTGGTGAGGATCATACGATGCCGACCGAACAACGGCTTGCCCGGCTATTGAACGAAACGCCCATGCTCATGCGAAGGCAAGACTTCATGAACCCTCGGCGTCCTCAGAATCAAGAAGAGTACTACATGCATGTAGGGACTTCTCTATGCATGCTATCTCCAATGCCATGCATTCATTCCATTTCCATCTGTCCATCCAAACAAAGCAAACGAACGAAGGTCAACCTTATCCGCCACAAACAGGACCCCTAAACTCACCCACGGGCGGCATCTCAATATGCAGGGTCCAACCTCCCTGTCCTTTTGCCATCCTTATCTCTTGAAAATGCCCCAAAGCGGTAATCACACCACTATGATATGATGATGGTGCTGCTTCCGCTGCATGCATTATTTCTTACCAGGAAACACCAAAATATGAGTTATCGCATCAGAGTACGAGAAAGAACGAACGAATATGCGTAATGAGGTTGAATCTGAAATTGACGTTGCTCCGAGCTTTTGGACCGAGCGTTGAGAAATTTCAGCGAGCTTTCTTTGATCCCTGCTGGTTGGGAGCAGATCTTGAGCTTATTATAAATAGAAAGAACAAGCGAGCGAGCGAGAAAAAAAAAGGATTGAAATGAAAACAAAGGCGTTGTGGCTGCAGAAACAAAGAGATGGATGAAACATTGTTTTTGATGAAGGAAGGAAATGAGGTGAAGGAGACGCGCTCATATGCTGTAGCTTCCTAGAGAGATGAAGGAAGTCTGTAATTTTGGCGGCTGGTGAAAACAGTACGGAGCTGAAGGATGAAGATTTTGACTTTAGAGGCTGAACAAATGTTCCAGGCCAGTTTGAGGTCCAAGAACCTTTTCTCAGCTTCAACGTTAACTTCTCAGCTCTGCCCCTCATCCTCTGTTTGAAGCTATTTTTCGGTGACTTCTCTTCCCGTCTCTTAATCCTCATAGTGTACTGTACCGTACTGTACTGCGTATCGGTACCATCGATCCGTCGTTCTCAGTACTCATAATGCCGCGACATATGCACTTTATATCATGCCCACCATCTTCGCTCCCCTCCGCAACCGCACCAGCACCAAAATGCAATGTCAGATAGCTACTGTACATCGCTAAATTAGCGCATCTGCAAGAACCAGGTCTACTGTGCTCGATGTAGCGAAAACTCTATCAACCATCTTCTGTTTCCAGTAGGAGATCGACCTAGGTGTGGTCGAAAAGAAGGTTGATCACCGCGAGACCCTGATTGGCAATGCTGCTCTACTGTAAACCCGAGACTTCAGACGTTTTCTCTCTTCGTTTTTGAAATGTTTTGTGAAAATACAAACTCCCCGTGACAAGATGGGAATTCGAAGATTGCGATACAGTGATGAGGGAATTCGGGTATGGCCTGTGAGATGTCGTCATACTTTTGCTGTGGTTCTCGTGACAGCTTTTGCTACAGCGGGGCACACGCACGCAGTGGAACTCTGGTACCGCACGCAAGCAAGCAAGCCAGCCCACGATGGGGTGCAGCCAACCGAGAGCGACGAAACGGTTAACAGAGGTCTTTCTCCACGAAAGCTGGAGGGGAGTCTCCAGACGTTTGGGGATTGGCAGATGGGTACTTCGTGCGTTACTGCAGATGCATTAAAGTTTTAGCTGCCCAAAGATCTCGTTGTGAGATTCGACGGGACCGGTCAAATCATAGTGGCTCATTGGCGAGCTCCGGTCGTACCTGGACAGATCTGAACAATAAAATTTTTTCTTTGTGTGCCTGTTGGTGGCGATTCCAAGAGAGCGGTCGAACGTTTTTCGCTGTGTCAAAGGTCTCAGACTTTCCTCAATGTGGCGCTTTGCCCGTTCGTGAGAAAAGAGCTGTGCTGCTGCAAAAGTCTCAGTTATCTGTGGCGTAGGATGCTCCTCTCGTTCCTTGATTGGATGCTCCCAGCACCGCACAATTGACTGTCATCGCGTCCAGAGGACAGGGACATGGACAGGGATCCAGATTCCCATTCCTTGCTTTCTGGAGTTTTGGTGTAGCGAGCGGAGCACGGATAGCGATGTGGCTTGATGACATGAGAAATGGAGCCACGACGTTATGGGTAAGCGTTCATGCAAGTTGAAACATGAGCCGCTGGTTGGCTGGAGCTCGTTGGATCAAGGATACTCACCGCCATCTTGAGGACGAGGGAAAGGGTTTTATGTGTGCATGAGGATTTTTGACTTCCCATCTTACGAGTGAAGCTTGTCCCCGAGGAGAAGTTGAGTCCGGACATTTTTATTGGAATGGACAAGGACGAGCATATCGGGGAGTTTTTGCGACCATAGGAGCTCCATTTTTGATTGACGTGTGTTGCTGAGATGAAACTTTATGCCATGCCATATCGATATTTTGGAATTTTTTTTGTGGGGAGACCAGAGATCGAGACTGAGGCTCAATGGACTGAGTCCACGATGTTCTTCGATTGGCGAAATTTGAGCTTCGTGTATTTGTCGCATTCCCTGGTCGAATCACGAGTATCAGCCCGGTCACGGACGCTGCGCCTTGGAAGTGGAGATTAGAGTTGTCAAACAATGAAGTCATCGAAGGATTTCCAAGCCTCCTCGTGGAGAATAGAAAAAAAGAAATTATTCCACGAGTTCTGGAAGGCAAGCTCAGGCAGGAACAAGAAACCAAGGAAATCAGGAGCTTCGTCCGACGATGGAAGGATGAGAGAAGGTTGTTGCCAGCGGCCGTGGCCGTAATTTCCGTGTGCGTGGATCAGGTACAAGCGGAAGAAGAGAGACACATCGTCGATCACAGCATTTTTGCCGGATGGCAATGTACCTCCTTGACATCGCGATCTGTGTCAGTTCACGATGTTGTGCGAAAGTGGGGTAGGACGGAGGAGCTTTCCCACTTCCCACCTTTCGTGCACGGGTCAGCCGCGACCACGATGCCCCTGGTTGTTGGGCCTGTTCCATGTTTCAACGATCAGAAATCAATGTGCGGCGGCTTCGTCGGATTATTTGCGTGGGTCGTCCGACTTGTATATATCATCAATGACGACAGATAAACCTCATGTTGACGAGTTGGTTTGAGGGCGAAAAGAGTCATGTGGTGGAAATGGCGGGAAGGTCGGATGAAGCACAGTCTCGTGGAGAAGGAGGACGACGATGAGTTGGCAGAGCAGGAAAGTCAATTGGCATTTCGCAAACACCGGTATCTCGACAATTCTTCCATCATAGCCGCTCGCTCTCTGCAGAGATAAGATGACAGCAGCAGGAGCCATCGATAGCCGAATGCAAGTTGGTACAACCACACAGATGCATCAATTGCAACCAGAAGGAGCAGAGAAGACGAGGGGTTTGGGCCATTAATATCGAATGGCTGCAGCAAAGAAACCGATATCCGGTTTTCTCTTGCACTGGTTACTCTTGGGCCATGCTCGCGGAAACGACGAGGCGCACACCCTTCACGACAGGCTTACGAATGCCTCTTCAGAGGTCGCCAGCTTTATCATCCCGGGAAACAGGCTGAGCATGGCGTGTGCTCCTGCGCTTCTCATTGGTAGTGGAAGAGAGGTTCGAGAAGAGGTTGCCATCGGTCAAGAGATAATTACGGTAAAGAGATCAAATGAGAATAGGTTGCGGTCGGTCCTCTAGAAGCCCTTGGCTGCTGCAACCACAACAGTTTTGTGTTCGAGACATGCCACCTTTTTCATGACCTTCTCCTGCGTGCATGCGTGCTGCTGCCCCTCACTCAGGGTCCAATGGGAGAGACATGGCGTCCTTCCAGGCTGACGGCTTTCTTGAAGCTTATTCGGGAGGTCAGATCATCATGGAAGGTTCCGAAGCTGCCGAAGGCGAGAGGCACTCACGACGATCCTTCCCGTCTTCTGGTGTTTTCGTAGATGGCTCTGTGGGATGAGCGGTGCGAATAAGGATGGGGGTTATCAATAGCATCAACATTTATATTGGAGAGGCAGAAGGATGTGTGCCGGTATGAGTTGCTGTTATCAAACCTTATCCGGCGATTATGCCCGACGCTGTACCACGCGCTGAGGATGAGATTAGGAATTCAGCCACTTCTCTCGACTACTGCCCATTATTGACTTATCAGTCGTCCTGTATCTGTAGAAAATGCATTATTAATTCTCGGGGGTCCGACATAGGACGGCTGTGAGTGTGGGTGTGGGTGATAGCATGCTCTTGTACCTGTACCTGCGTAAAGGGATTCGTACTCATCTCACCGTCTCTCAACAATGGTGATGATCGACCTCAACGGCATCCAAAGTTTATTGTCCTTCCCGTCGACTTCCAATTGTAGAGGATCTGGAGATAATGATGCAGAGAGCGGATGCAGATACCATGATGCAAAGCGCGTACGGCAGGATTTGGAGTAGATTCTGTGTATGGGAGTCGTATGTTCCCCAGGTTTGCTCAGAGGAGTATAAGGCAGGCGTTTGCTGTGGTGGAGGAATCAGATCATGACCGGCTACTGACTGTGCCTCATACATGAACATTGCAGTACAGTAACGATGACAAGTTCATGAGCTGATGTACTTTCATCCTAATGCCGGTAGCTGGAGACGATCGTAAGAGGGGTGGTTTGTGTTTGTGTTTCTCGTTGGGAGCATGTACAGTACAATAGGTCAATTCCCCAATGCGACTGAGGGGATCCAAATTGTTGTTGTCGCTCTCCCTCGCCAATGTCGCCATGCCCATAACAATGCAGGTTGATATTAGTTCGTGTCTTGATTCGCATCCGTCCTCTCCTCCACTTTAATTGACCTTGGCAGCTGCAGATGTGCAGGCTCTATTTTGCGATGCCGACTCATCCATGGCTAGCCTCCCATAGCCAGACGCCTCTCTTTCGTCGTCTCGCTCGTCCATGTCAGGCATCCTTGATCGCATTGCCCACATCCTGGATCTGTGGTGCATGGCCGAGAGAGGGCATGCAGTTGTGGCTTGCCTTGGTGTCTGACCCCAGTCTTCTGGCCATTCGACGCCAACTTCGCCCGCCCGTTTCCAAGTGCGTGCAACCAATGGTAGGTACAGGCGGTGTTTGCTTGGAAAGAGACTGTCGCCGCCTTCGTCGAAAGTCTGGGAAGCTTTTGGCCTTTCCCCAAAAAATATTTGCAAATTCAACAAACGCTCGCTGAATTCGGTGCTCAACCAGAAAAGTTAGGTAAGCTACACGCAGGAATGTGTGAGGCGAAAAGGTCAACACTGCACTTCAGAAGATCGAACGGCCGCAAACAATGAAACGAAAGCATCATCCATCATTCATCCCTCCGTCCCTGAGGATCAATCAACAGACTCGCCTCTGTCCAGCGTAGTCGCCCAACCATTACACATCCATCATCTCATCCATTGCCATTGCATTGAGATGCAGGCTTGCCGTGCAGACACTGTAGAACACTGTATCGAGCAGAATAATTTATTCAAGATCTGAAAGCGGTGGGAGCTGGCACGCCGGAGATGGCCTGCACCGCGTAATACGGTGCCGTGGGAGCGACGCCCACTAGGAGTCCTCCGTGCAGTTAGACTCTCCCACTACTCACGGCTGGCTGGAGAGAGCAATTTGTGTCTGTGGTCGTGGTGCCCTATGCCCTAGACTGGATGCTGTTTAGAGCTTGGGGGTGAGTGAGTGAGTGAGTGAGTGAGTGAGTGAATAAGTCGCGAGTAGCTGAAATCTCCAGACGCGAAGTCTTGGATCGTACTGTACAAGTACTTGGTTTGGCTTGGTGATGTGTGTGCACCAAAGTGTGCATAGAGATGGTGCACTGGTGTTGCGCGCAGACCTTGTTCGTTGAGTCCGGACCCGCCAGAAATTATTTTGGCAGATCGAATGAGTGACGGTTGAGGCGAGTTGGATTGATGGACTCGTACCACCCGCAAGCGGCGCTCGCTCGCGTCTCCCTCACCAGCCGCTAAACAGCTTGCTTGCTACTGTAGAAGGGGCAGATCCATGACCCGGTCAACCAAATCCTGGTCCTGGTCTTCATCCTCGTCCTCGTCCTCGTCCTAGTCCTTGCGCCTGCAAGAACCAAAAAGCCCCCCATGCTTTGCTCTGCCATACAGACAGACCATGCCTAGAACAGTAGTAAGTGCACCAAGCAATTCTCAAAACTCCCCCATCCAACTTACCATCCTGTTCCCAGCCTATCCCAGCCTATCCCCAATCGTGCTACACCTTCCTGCCCGTCTCTAAACTCTCCTCACCTCCATCTCACGGCTCCTCTTCTCTCCTCCTCACCCTCACCTCCACAACAAATCTAGGCCATTGCCAGCCTTCACCCATTTTTTACTTGTGGTTCTTCTTCTGTTGAAGATATAATTCAGCATTGCACTCGAGGAGACCCAGTTATTGGCCGCTACCTCGCATAATACTAACAGACGTCATTTACTTAAGAGGACGCCGGGCTCCCACCAACAGAAGCCATTCACATAATCACGCACATTCAAGACGCAAGTCGTCCGGAACGCACAGGAACAGGTCGATAAGTCATCATTCGATTGACTTCCTCCTGGCACCTTAACTTCCCTCCGCATCCGAACAATCCTGTCGACTCTCATCCTCGACTTTTGCGTTCGTTGCATCGCGCCTACTCGAAGCAAGAGACTCTAGTACGATAGCTGGAATACGCCGTACTTTTTGACTTTTCTTCACCACCCGCCAACTCCGAGTCAACTCATAAGACTCATCATCTCGTAAGTCTGAATAACCAGCTCCAATGTAGCCTCCTCTTTGAGAGAGCCGCCGCCACCTACGATTACCTACAGATTCTTTACTTTCTTTTTTCAATTTTCCTCTCAAAGAACGAGGCTGACCTGGTCCCTCCTTCCTCTGTCTAGCGCAACAGCTTAATACTTTAAGCTTGCGCTCGAGATCAAAGGACACTCGATGCTAGGCAGAGACTAAGACTGCTCCTTCGACCACCTACCTCGTCGAAACAGCATTACCAACCAATACAACATACATCTCTTAGGCATCGACCGTACGGATGCCTTACACTCCCCCCTCCCAGCGATCCCCAGCTTCCTCGACCACGCCCTCTCCCAACCTCAGCCGTCGATCCTCGTCAACCGATCAGCTTCCGCAGCACCACAAGGTACACTCGAGCAGACCAGAATTACCCAGATCAACCTCGTACCTCACCCGACATCGACGGACGACTTCGGTCAAGACAAGCTCCTTTCAGCCATCACTCGAGCCGACCCCGCCCGGAACTGCAGACAGGGAGAACGATGATACCAACGGCTTAACCTCCAGCGGGAGTCTCAGACAGTCGCCGCCGCCCGTGACGGACGACGCACAAATACCGGCGGGCGCGGTCATCTCGCCACCTGACTCAACACAGAACTCAAGTGACGATGAAGATACGAAAGGCTCACGAGGGCGACAATTGGAGAACTTGGCAGAGCTGCAAGCCGCCATCAGGATAATAGAGCAGCATAGGGAAAGCTCGCCGACTCGGACAGCTGAGGACGTCACAAAGGCTAATCAAGCCTTGACACTTATCATGCCACCAACACAAGCAGAGGACAAGCCCACTGCGGTCCACGTCGAACAATCAACGGTCGCTGCGATACGAAAGATTGCTCACAACAGATCAAACACAGACACTGGAGTGTTCTCTGACTTAAGACATGGCCAAACTCCCGAGACATCCCTCACTGGATCGGATGAGGACTCGATTAGCGATGAAGATGAACCAGAACGATCGCGGAGGAAGCCTCCGATGCTCAGGAAGAAGTCGGGTGAGCTTGTCAGACCAGCTCTTCGACCTTCTTCGGCGAGACGGCGTCCTTCGAGTATGCCTGGTACTCCCACATTCTCAAAAGCTGTTCACTTCGATTCTCATCTAGAACATGTCCGACACTTCCTTCAGGTCGACAGACCTTTAGCAGTCAGTGCAGGTTCATCACCTGTCGAAGCATACGATAGCGATACAGAGTTCCCTTTCGACGAGACACGTACCCCGCCCTTTGAGTGGGAGATCGTGGTGTCGAATTTTCCAGCTGAGACACCTATTCGCCTATCTCTACCAGTGAGAGTCGAGCGCGTATTTTTGTCTTCTGACAATAAGACATTGGTCGGCAGTGTTGCTGTAGCCAATCTGGCGTTCAACAAATATGTTGTCGTTCGCTTTACTCTCGATTACTGGAAGACTACATCAGAAGTTGTCGCCGAGTTCAACCAAGATGTTCGACAACCAAAGCGTGATGGCTACGATAGATTTAACTTCAACATTAAGTTGGCAGACCAAGCCAACCTTGAAGCAAAGACCATGTTCTTCTGCGTCAAGTATTGTGTCAACGGACAAGAGTATTGGGATAACAACAACTCGACCAATTTCCAGGTGGACTTCCGAAAGAAAGCCAAGCCCCAGAATGGAAAGAAAGGCATGCAAGGTGCAAGTTCACGACCGGCCAATCCACTCCCAAGGAGCAACAAGAAATCACCTCCTGTTAGTCAACGACCTAAGTCGATGCCTGTTGCTTTCGACGACTTCGCTGATGGCTTCGATGCTAAGTACAAGTTCGACGACTTCAAGCAACCGGTCACTGATTACCTTGGAGAATCTGGGACGTCGCTTAGACTGAAGGGCGTCAAGTCTGCTGTCAACCTTGGATCAGATAACCTAACCCGACGGACAGCTCCTCCTCACGCACAAGCTTTTGGTAACCGTTATGACTTTGGTGCTTCACTCTCTGCTGCTATCAATGCAGCAAATACCGTTCTCGGGGATCGAAGTGGTCTGACGATGAAGCCGGTGATTAAGAAGCAGCCACAAAGGAAGCTCGTGCCTGAAGCTGACCAAACTGTTTCTCCACTCACCATGTCGAGCAACCAATCTTTGAACAAACCCACAGCTCCTGTCAAGAGTTCTCCGGCTCCAGCATCTACGTCTGGAACCGACTCTCCTCGATCTGCTGGCTCTGAGAAGCCTCCTTTGGCTTCTCAATCCTACAATGAGTTGCTCGATAAATATTGCTTCGTACGTACAAACGACCATCGGTGGACTACCTAGGACGTCTTGAGCTAATCATTGCTACAGTTTGGTTCTGTGAAGAGTTCTCCTCAGCTCAAGGATGGAACGATGCGATCTGGACAGTTCGATGGTGGAAATGATGACGGCTATATTCTTGGCTCTGTCGACTCGACTGCGGAAAGTTCTCCTCTTATGATGGAAAAACGGTCACCTCCGCGAAGTCAGAAAGCAAGCACACAGGCATCTCGTTCTGTCTCGCCAGCCCCAATGACGGGCTTCGCTTCGGGTACGTCCCCGATGTACCACAACTTGCATGCTGGTTTTCCGTTCCACGACACTCATACAGCAACAGCAATCCGAGGTTGAATGAAGCTTCCACATGTTGGAATGCCTCTCAACGATGACGGTCGAACTTCACGACATAATTACATATTATCGACACGATATTACGACCTAGTCTGTTCGTAGTGGTTATCGAGATTGTTCTGGCGACCTCTTCACTGAGCGTGGTCATCGACAGATCAGAAAGCGAGTGGTTTACAAATCGATTTGGGGATGTGCTCCGTATTTATGAAAACGTCTTCTCTCACACGGAGACGTTCTTGTCATTGGCATTTCTGCGCGGCTGGGGAAGGTTCAATGATTGCTCTTGGCTCGGTTTTCGACATTCTTCGATGTATCTTTTGAGCGTCCTTTCTTGCATGTTGTTCTTTACGGCTGCATGCTCTCCGCTCTTAGCCAATGGGTTTCGGTTTGGGTTTTTTACTCTTCAACATAGACTGGGTTTTTTAATTACTCTTTTACGTTAAGCTTCAATTGAGGCTGTGGTGGAAAGGAGACGCGAATTCAAGGTGCGAAATGAAGGCTTTTCATAAGCCTCAAGGATTTCAGATTGGTCTTTTTTTGGATTGGAAATATGGCAATAAAAAGTTGTTCTCTCTCGCTATGGGAAGGAAACACGGCATGGAGTGGAAATGGAAGATTCGGGGCGTCCCACAATGTACACGAGTGGTGTGGGATCCGGAGGTGCAAAACACTGAGAAGCTTCTCTGATACGATATGAGCGAGCAAGCGAGCATGATGGACAAAGGCATGCCTGATTCGAGTGAGGTATTCCTCGGTTAGTTTGTTGGGTTTTGCTTGCGAGCCAGCAGCGTTGATCGTCGAAACAGTCAGACAGACAAAATGAAGATGGACTATCGATGATTAACCAGTTGACTTGTTCCTGTTTTGGCTTTGCTGTGAAGTTACTCGTGATACGTTCATTTTTCTCAGGTTAGAAATGCCCCAGGGAACTAAGTTGTAATTGGATATTGGATAGGAGATCGTCAATGAGCAGCTGACCGACAGCAAGAAAGAGTTTCGACAGAGTTTCGACTTGAGATGGCAGCGGGACCATGAATCAGGAGTGGACGACATGCACACCGCTTCCTCCCTCGTTATTACTTTTTACACTTAATCCAGCTAGACAAGAGAGAGAGGAGAGAAGTGACGTCTTCACATGCTAATTCCCTCTCTTCTCATAGACAACTCAGTTAGTGGGTTCTGATTCAAGACAAGGAACCCCCCTCCATCTTCGGAAATGGGTATGGATGAAATCGTCTTGCAACTTGTTGGTGGATCCAAGAGGTTAGAGACAAGCGGATCCACTGTATAAACTCATCTCGATCTGCTTGCTTGCTTGCGTGGCGGTGTGGAGAGTCATGTCTCACTCGTCTCAAGTTCTGGGTGGATTATGACGATCTTTCTTGTGGATCTGGAAACTGGGTTAGGGAAATAAAGTTATCTGATCCACACTCTCTTCCTTGATTTTGGATGGGATGAGAATGAGGCTCTTTGAGTCACGTGTAATGGTTGATTAGTAAGTGAAGGGCGGGAAGCTTTGAAATCGTGGGCCGAGGAGTGGTGTCATGGATTTTTGGAGCTTGGACATTTTTTGGGTTTTGGTTTTGGCTTTGAGGTTGGATGAAAGAAAAGGTTGATGGTTTGTTGATTGACAATTGGGTCAGAATCGTACGATTGAACAGTCGATTTATCACATTTTGAATTTCGGGCTTCTAATTCTCAACATACCTACAACACAACGAAATACCAATTATCTCTACACAACGAAAGACAATACAACGACCTCCTCCTCCACGACAAGCACAACAACACAATGGAAAGAACAGCTCTAGCAGGCATGCGCCGCTGCCTGCGGACAGGAAAAGCACTTCGCTGCACAACACACGCCCCGAAATGTATAGCTATGGCTATCTGTCCCGCTCGGAGTGTTGCGAATACCTCTGCTGGCATCTCCATGTCTGCCAACCCTCTTCCTACACCACCTAAGAAGACCACCACCCTACGAACAAACCCCCTTTCCCGCCGAGAATATAGCTCTTCCTCCTCCTCCTCTTCTCCCATCGAAGGCACAATCGGGCAAGGCGCTGCCGGAATTCCTGCCGACAAAATCGCCTTAACAGCACCGTCCCACCTAGACGCAGCCGAGAAAGACATCTTCGACGTTCTGAACAGGGAATTAGAACCAGATAAACTAGAGGTTAAGGATGTGTCGGGCGGGTGTGGCAGTATGTATGCGATTGAGGTTACGAGTGAGAGGTTTAGAGGGTTGGGGATGCTGAAGCAGCAGAGGTTGGTTAATGGTGTGTTGGGGGAGAGGGTGAAGGGGTGGCATGGGGTGCAGATGAAGACTGGTGTTCCTTAGGAGGGGAATGGGGAAGAAAGGGAAAGAGAGAGGAGGAAGAGGGCCAGGCGATGGGGAATGAGTGTATATTTGTATGAGTATAATGCTGCGTTGGTTGGGTTTCTGATGGATGGATGGGGGAAGCCAATTTGAGGATACTATCTGGAGGGAGAGGCAATTGGTGAGAGTGCGAGGGGATATGAGGACTCCTGGCACCATATTCCGGTATCAAATTTTGTAACAATGGATACGGATGAGAGGAATACTGGGGAAATTCATAGGAGGAGAGAGTCAATCCACAACAGATCATCAGAATATAAAGCATTGGTCTCTGTATTCGATTCTAAGTCTAACTGAACAGAATGCAGAGCTTTTGCCTCTCTACTTGATACCAAGTCCAACGAAACAGACAATGATTGAAGCAGAGAGATCATCTGAAGAATCAATGATCTTCTTGAGTTTCGGGAAACAATGAGCCGACTTCGGGGCTAGAGTGGGATAGTCTCCCCTCTTCTCGGGACACTTGCACATTTCACTTATTTCTTCCCCACGCTTTACTTGAACATCACATCATTTCCTTCTCCTTCATATATATTCTATTTTCTTTTCAATCTGTATATACCATTCGATCCTTCACCACAATGCCTCGAATTCTCATCACAGGAGCAGCAGGATTCATTGGCCAACTCCTAGCTGAACGTCTCCTCCGCTCACCAGACAATTCTCTCATCCTCACAGACATTATCTCACCTCCAATCCCACCCAAAGCCAAGCATCCACAAAATGCAAAAGCAATCGAAGCAGACCTCTGCTCTTCCACTTCTCTCGAAACCCTAATCTCAACTTCTCTTCCCCTCGACGCCGTCTACATCTTCCACGGCATCATGTCCTCTGGCTCAGAAGCCAACTTCGACCTCGGCATGCGCGTCAACCTGACCGCAACACTCACCCTCCTCGAAAGCCTCCGCAAAATCTCCCACCCCTCCCTCCGCGTAATCTACGCCTCCTCGCAAGCCGTCTACGGCCAACCGCTTCCCAAAGTCATCACAGAAGACACGATGCCGACGCCCGAAGGTAGCTACGGGGCCCAAAAACACGTCTGCGAAACGCTGATCAATGATTATACCCGCAAGGGCTTCTTTGACGGCTGGAGTCTACGTTTCCCTACGATTTCGATTAGACCCGGGAAACCTACTGCGGCGGCGTCGAGTTTTCTCAGTGGGATGATTAGGGAGCCGGTTGATGGGGTGGAGTGTGTTATTCCGCTCAAGGATAGAGGGTTTAGGTCTTGGGTGTGTAGTCCGAAGACGTTGGCGGAGAATTTGGAGTTGGCGCTGGGGGTGGATGGGGTGAAGTTGGAGAGGCATAAGAGGCTTGTTAATATGCCGGGGATTGGGGTTAGTGTGCAGGATATGATGGATGCGCTGGCTAAGGTTTGTGGAGAGGAGAAATTGGGGTTATTGAGGGAGGAGACGGATGTGGAGATGGAGAGGATTTTGAGGAGTTGGGGGACGGAGTTTGATAATAGTTTGGCGTATAAGTTGGGGTTTAAGCCGGATGGGAGTTTTGAGGATGCGGTTAGGGATTATGTTGAGAGTTTGAAGTGAGATGTATATATTGGCGTAGAATATTCAGACACTGAAAAGTGCTATTGTTCGCTCTATGATTTGAGGGAGGAAAACAGCGTGGGAAGAAAGCCGCGCTCGGGAAACCTGCCCCGCAATTTCTTGGTGGCGTGGCGGGGTAAATTGAAGAGGTTCACTCCAACTCCCGATTCTCGGTGAGAAATCCGTGTACAGGCTGAATTGACATCACAGCTTTACATATATGAATTCTGAAGAAGCTTTTGCCTTGCAGATTTCCCTCTCTTCCTGTCCTTTTCTATCTTTAAATTATATACTTCTCTTCTAACTGTGGATTGATATCAAAATGGCGAAGTCAATGGAGAATAACAAGGCAGTAAAGATGCTGAGGGCAGCTGAGGAGGGTGGATATGGTGTCATTGGAGTTGTTTCTGTATGTATATGGTTCAATTGATCTCTTATTTTCGTCTCGTCCTGTTTCTTCTCTTCTTCCATCCCATCCTTGCGTCTCAAAGCAGTCCTAACTAACCTCACCTCAGTACAACCTCGAAACAATAACAGCAGTCGTCCGCGCCGCCGAAGCCAAAAAGTCCCCCGCACAAATCCTCCTCTTCCCCTGGGCCCTCCATTACTCCCCCCTCCTCATCCACCTCGCAGCCGCGGCTTGTTCAACCGCCAAAGTCCCCGTCGTCCTGCACATGGACCACGCACAATCAGAAGAAGAGATCATCGCGGCAGCCGAGTACCCCTTTGACAGCATCATGGTCGACATGAGCCACTACGAGAAAGAAGAGAACTTGGAGAAAACAGAGAGGATTACGAAGTATCTGCACGAGAGGGGAATTGCGACGGAAGCAGAGCCGGGTAGGATTAATGGGGGCGAGGATGGGGTTAAGGATACAGGGGATTTGGAGGGTCTGTTGACGACGGCGGAGGAGGCGACGAGGTTTGTGGATACGGGGATCGATTTCTTGGCCCCGGCTTTTGGAAACGTGCATGGGAATTATGGTGGGGTGGAGAATATTAAGTTGGATTTTGAGAGGTGAGATATTTCTTCCTGGGACACTGTGGTGGAAGAAGTGGGTTTCGAAGTAACAAGCCTTTTTGTTGAGAAGTCGTTGTGGGTTTGGCTGGTCAGAAGATTATTTCAGGCAGAAGAGCTTCTTCGGGACTTGGATGAATTCCATTCCTCTGTTACAATGCTGACTTCCTCGAAGATTAGACAAAATCCGCGAAGCAACAAAAGGAAAAGCCACGCTCGTCCTCCATGGAACGAACACCTTCCCAGACGCAACAATGCAAGGCTGTATCAAAGGAGGAATGACAAGATGTAACGTCAACGAACTCGTGTTGTTCAAGTACAACGACTACGTGGCGAAGAACACTGGAAAGGTTCCTCTGACTGAGTTGATGGGCAAGGGGACGGATTTGATTCAAGAACAGATTGAGTATCAGATGGATGTTATGGGCTCTACTGGAAAAGCATGATGGGAGAGGCATAGTGTTTGGTTATTTGAAACCTGTAGATAACTAAGTCCGTAGATAAGTTCGAATTACGTTGCCAAAGAGATGCTGATTAGGAAGTTTCTCTGATATGCTTTGAGCTTCGGTACAGTATTCGATACAATAGGCCGTCAAGATGTTCTCTTGTGGCTTTGATTGTTGCTCAACATCCATTCTCTGCAAGATAATGTAGAATTTATCTCATGCCATTTGCTACCCTACTATGTTAGAGTATTATGTCCTGTTCACCGTTGAAGCACACTTGAGCAAAAAAGGAGAAGCGGGGTGGTCGGTCTCGCGTAGGCAGAGGAGAGTAGAATACGGCTTCCAGCGCCCATGACTTACAGCTGCACATTTCGCTACTTTTGTCCAAGATCAATGACTTCACCAAGTCCATTCACAGACTTGCGCACTGCAGACAAGGCTGTGGACACTTTTGGCTTTCACTCTTCCTCCTTCCTTTCCATTCTCAACCGCAAGCAAGGATCACCGAACTGTTTGAGGAATCATTGATATCTAGGATCACCGCCGATATCAATGAATCCCAGACACCATTCTCTAATGCAGACATAGAGAACCTGATCACCAGTAGGATTCGATTCCGACTTTTATTCATAGTTACACACGAAACGACCGACATCGTAAGATTCAACGTCCTATGTGCACTCAAATACGTCAAATTTTGAATCTAGTTGTCTATATAAACAGCCTCCTCTCTTCTTCAACTTCTTCTTCATTGACTACGAATCGATGGACTGGATCGACGTTAGTTGGCTTGTGAGCCCGTTTGATCCATCTCCAGGCTCCGTGCTGAAGCTGCCTTCCTTATGGCTGTGCTGTATTGTTGCGCAAGACTGGATTATCGCGGACAAGAATCTTGTTGTCGACTTATTGTGTGTTGTCGACCAATTGCTCGTTGTTAGCGAATGTTTTGTTTATCAAGCTCCACTTAACTCATTCACTATTAGCTCTGAAGCCCAACTTGGTGTGATCAATTACAGTGCCCAAGTATTCATGTATACTTGGTCAAGAGGATTCAACAAAAAGAAAAGCTCGAGGCAGTGACTTCGCTCGTAGTGGCTGCATTTGAAATTCCGAGATATCCATTGTGGGCGGCCTTTTGCTTTGCATATGTAGGTACCCGCTAAACTTCGTTCTATATAAAGTTAAATTATAATTATTTCGGCAACTAAGCTAGCTCAGCTGTCGAGGCTTCTACTTCAAATTGTTTCTTGTACTAACAAGTTACAGGTTCACCAGGTGAATTTGAATCAGTTACAGTTGCGACCGGCGATGTCGGTCACCCATAGATACAGAGTCTTCTCGTATGCGAGGCATACGAGTTGACAACAGATACAGAGTCTTCTCATATGCGAGGCATGCGAGTTGATAGCAGATGAACGCCAACGTTGGTGCTTATGTTCTGACGAGAACATCGTACAGACAATACAGCACACCAGATAGAGTCTCAGATGCAAGTCTCAGATACCAGTCATAGATGTCAGTTACAGATTTACAGTTTCAGAGTAAGTCATCCACTTGTCATAAAGCCTCCACAGCTTGAGCAAACAATTTTTTTGCCGAATTTTTTAGTAGCCGAGTCTTCTCCAGTGCTACTTGACTCTTATAAACCGATTTGTGCAGCAAATTAAGTTGTGTTAAGAATCAAGATCAAAACAAAGCAGCGTCAAGGTATCGTTCTTAGTTCGGCGCCGACGACCGAAGCCTGCTTGCAAGCTTCCTAGCTCTTCCAACAGCCTCAAGTCCTAGAGCGAAAACAACAATCTTTCAAGCTCTCGTTAGCTGCGCTCGCGTCATGGTGCCCTTCGATATGACTGAATAGGAGGAGCTGGGAGGAAGGACCCTCTCAATCCGAAGCCCTGGTTCGACTTTGCGCTAAGCGAGAAGAGCCTCTTCATTGCGATTCTTGGTATACTGCTGTCGGTACCTTGGGAATTGGATCGAATTATCTGCGTCATGAGCAATCCATATTGACTTCCGAGATAGTGTTCTTGATTTGGTCCATCTCATGTCAAAGGTTGCTATCGACCGAAGTAAGTCAATTCTCTCGCCTGTAGAATCTCCAGATACTCCCCTAGTTCTAGTCAGTTTCGTCTTGTGAGCAGATAGACAAAGTTCTACGTACCAGCCACTTTCCACCTATCATCCATGACCTTCAACACTGCGGTCAAAGCCTTGGCACCCTCAGCAGCACTTTCGCTTCCCGTGGTCCTCGCCTTCTCCCAGTGAATCGTCTGAGAGTGGTAAAAAAGGTGAAGGATAAACGGCGAGACTAGTTCGGAAGGATGATTGTATTTCCCAGAGTGCACGAAGTCATGAACTATCCTGATGAACCCTCTTGCTATCCTAGCAGCTTCGTTCGCTATGCTTTCCGCTACCGGAAGGGTTGGATCCCAGAAGTGTATGTCTGGTGAAGGCGCCGATATAGGCGAGATGTACGATTCTTGCAGAAGAAGCATTCCACTACCATAGAGAGTCAGAACCAAGCCGTGAACGAGAGATCATTAGAGACGCACCTGAAACATAAACCAGTCTGGGTGCAAAACTGCAACTTATTGGTTTGGCCTTCGATGTCGACAATCTTGGCCAATGCTTGTAACGTTCGACGGAGTTGAGTAGCTTCTTCATCAAGGAAGTCTCTACTTGCGGTGAAATCGGAGACGTGTTTATATACACGACCGAGAAGGAATATCGCTTGTGCAAATCTCGCAAATCGACCGATTTTGAGACTTGAAGGAGAGACGACCGTGAATGTTTCGCTGGACATTATGGTCTGTAAAGTGTGAGACAGTGTAAATATACGGCGTGGGTGGTAGTGCATTTCTTACTCCTTGATCCCATAGATCGTCTTCTATTGGAAGCATGCTTGAAGGGTGTGGTTCTTGAGTAGCAAGGGTCCTGGTTGGGCTGCCGAGATTGACCACCCTACAAAGTGTAAGTGGATGCTAATTCCATGCTAGAAAGAAGAAATACCGATCCATTATTAACACTGCCCACCAGATTCTTTTCCTTTCTTCTGCTTCGATCCAGTCTGAAGGAGGTGGCATCTGAGAAGCCCCTGTACCGTCCATGCCAGAAGATATGCCATATCGAGCACAGGCCCCAATGGTAAGATACGCAGCGGGGTAGATACCGTGGCCATATTCGTACAAGGCAATCAGAACCCCGGATTGTAGGATCTGGGGACTAAAACCTCCACTAGCCTCAAGCTCAGCATGAAATCTTTTGGCTGCAAGATATTCTGGTGTTTTAGACATTGAGACGCCGGCTGGAAGCATCCCCGCGAGACGCATGCAGAGCACAAGCAGAGCGACATCGTTCCGACGTGGTGCCAATGGATTGAGTAGTCTTCCATAAAACCGGGTTCTTGAGACAATAGGCATAAAGCTATGGACAGTATCAAAGAACTTTGATGCGATGTTCCGCCATTCGCTGAGATCTCCTATGAGATTGAGGACATATTTAGGAGTCGCTAACTCAGTCTTTGGAATATTAATCTGAGCTTTCTGAAAAATATTTGTGTCGAGGAAGAATACTGCGGGAAATTTTGGTGCTTCGAGCCCAGTAGCGGGGAACAACCCGTCCGATGATGGACTGAGAAGAGGAGGTGAAGCCTCGGAAACGTAAACACAATTCAGTCCCTTTCTGGTAAGTACCCACGAGTCAGAGCCGTATTTCATCCTGACATGAGGTTGCTTACTTCGTGCACAAAAAGCATTGAGGAAGTAACTTATCACATTTTCTTTTCCGGTTTCGACACGAGGTACAGGCATGCTTCGCTAGGCGGGATCCATTATCAATGTTCCCTAGTTCCATGCTTCTCTATCTTCTGAGTGGGCTGATCTACCAATCAAGGGTTGAAAAGTTACTGTGATGCGCCGTGTGAAAGGTTGAAGAGGCGGGGGTTGAAGCAATTTTGGCGGACATTGGCGGACAGTTATATGAATAGGCGGATATTGGCGGATCACGTCCGAAACTTAGCGGAATTAGTCAGTAAGCTTGACATGAATGGTTGTGCTTACGGTGTGTTTGATTACTGAACAAAATGCTTGCCCCTCAATTACCCCTATTCGTAAGCATGAATAGCCGAGAAACTATAGTCGTATACAAATAATGATAGCTTCTCGCGGAGTACTTGATTTTAGCTAGGGCCAGGAAAGAAACTTATAACTTACGATGTAAGAAATGCGGTCTTGCAAGGAAATTATATAGGCTTTTATATCAGTATCTGGGCAAATGGGTGGAGCATTCACACATTTGCCTTCACGTGTGTCACGTTTAAATTCCGGTTTACTCAAAGACTCAATTTTTTTGAACTACTCTACTTGCTGAGGATATTTCTTGGATTAGAAACAAAATGACATGCTCTATCTTGGTCCTACTCCCATAACTCCACTAAGTCTGCATCTTTTCCCAGTTCAAAACTCCCATCCGCTTGGCCATTGGACAACTCCAACCACCGATCGAGCCCATACTGTGCCTCACTTCCAGCATTTAACACCGCGAATCTCAACAAATCATCCTCTAAAGCCTGCGCTTTTGGCCTAAACCCTTCTCTTATCCCTTGCTTGGTCGCGACAAGCCCACCTCTTGGCCACAATGCAATTCTGCTTGCAAGAGCATCAACGTGCGCCTGCATCTCCGCTGCGCTCTCAAAAGCACTGTTTACCCATCCAATGTCTGCCAAAGTATCAAGATCCGCATCAATAATGCCTAGAAGATATTCTGCTGCTCGTCCAGGACCGATGAGCCGAGTCAAATGCTGCAGCCCACCCGCGGCGTGAGTAAGCCCTACGCCAACCTCAGCAGCACCGAGTCTTGCTCCCGGAGAAGCGAATCTCATGTCCATCTGAACAATCATTTCGTTGCCGGCAGCTATGGCTTGGCCACTGACTTCTGCTATCAGAATAGCAGGCACTGTTGCAAGGAGTCGAGTAACATTAACGTAAAGATTCGAGAGCTCGGTATTGTTCAGTGGTGGTGGAACTGGGTGATCAGAAGACAAGATGTGAATGTCTAAATGCGCGATGAAGTATTCTGGGTTTGCACTTGAGAAAATTATAGCTTTTGGTCCATCGAGGTTGGATGCGGGACCAGTGAGAAGAGTGTGGAAGTCTGCAAGCATGCTGGCATCGAGAAGATTGATTGGTGGGTTGTTGATGAGAACACGAGTGATGTTGTTTGTGGTGTTAAGAGTAAAGGTTTGGTAGCCGTCAGTGGGTTCTAGTATTGCAATTACATTGCTGTTGACTGAGAGTGCAGTACTTAGAATTGGTAAGTAAAAGATGATCGCAATGATAAGAATGAATGCTTGAGGTGCCATGTTGAAAAGAAACTCAAGGATTGTCGCGAGATACGAAGGACTTTGATATTGTGGAGCCCTTTGACAATGAGTGCTGAATGAAGGCGACTGAGAGTATTTTGTAGTTCTCTAAATTGCTCATAACAACATAATATTTTCCCACAATTTCAACATCATCTTCATTTGTTGTTGAAAGCTGATTTTGGTAGCATTGACTGTACGACAACTGTCAGCATGTACACCAGATACGACAGAATTTTCCTGAGCCTGGCTCAATACTCTGCTTACCGCTGACATAGGTAGCGCATTTAATCCGCAGCGGGGCCGCCGTCCGCAACATGTAGAGGTCACTAGTATGAACATACAGCCATTCTTGCCAATACATCTTACATCTGGAATAGATTTGAGACAGCAAATAATCTCAACATTGTTCGCAAACGTCGTCTACGGCATGGAGTATAGGAATATGAGGCCACTCCACAGAACGACTTCTCATGCCTTGTACTAGCTCTCGCCAAAGATGACATGCTCGTCAGGGATCTGGAATGGATGTTAGCATGTGATTTGCGTCTGAAGATGCGTGGAGGATTGAAATTGAAGCCTGGCGCGATTCTGAGTATCCTACAATCCAGAACTTGGTAGAATGACTGGAGAGGAACCTTTGGAGTCTGTTAAGGAAGACCGCGGTTACTTCAAGCAGGTTTTCCAGCGCAAGTTGAATTGTGGCCCAGCCCCTATTTTAAGCGAGCCTTCGTTTAAAGTAACAACCTCGTCGACGGTCACAATTTTCTGCTAGACAAAGAAGAAGAAAGAACCAATCGAAGAAGTCTTTCCCGTCCTATTCTTTCTATTCCATCAACGAGGCCCGGAGCTGTAGCGTGAGGTATGAGCATAATAGAGACTGTACTTGCTTGCTAATCAGCGACAAGCCGGCGTCGAACGTTGCTACACTTTCACAAGCACAAGTAGAGAGCCAAAATCCTCTTCTCGTATCTTATGAAATCAAAGTGAGAGAGACATAGATCTGGAGGTACTAGACCTAGCTAGACCTCAAAAGTAACACTACTAAGTGAAGGGTAAGGGGACGATCCCAGGAGTTTTGGAGTGTCTAGATTCCAAGATGATTAACAAGAACGAAGGTAAAGCTGAACGACATCTCACGCAGAAAAGTCTCATATGCTAGCAATGTTAAACTTGGCAACGCGGCAGCTTGCCAAGTATCCTTCTGCCAAGTCACACCTCAATTCAACAAACTGCTCAGGATGGATGTTTGAAGAGAGCAGCTGAATCTTGCGGCCCTTGGTTTCACGGAAAAGATTCCGACTTTACCAATCAATCTTTTTATCGTATAACTCGGTTCAGATGGAAATCTTGAAGGATCCAATGTACTGCATCAAAGCTACATCAAGTCACACTATCACAGATAGACAGTGGGCTTACGCTAGCCCTGGTTTCGATCGACAGGTCCCTGTAGGGAATTCGACGATCGGAGGGAAAAGAAACAATTCAATATTTACCAATGTTTGGTCCCCTCCTGTTTCCAGATACTGAGTCACTGGCCCGGTGTGTGGGTCTGGAAGGATGGAAGCTTTTCAAGCCGCTGGAAATTCTTACGTTGATCAGGTTGATGTGTCACATTCACTTATGCATCCCATGAACAGATCCCGAGTTCATATCAAATCCCGACAAAGCTTCCATGTTCATTGTTGTTATCTTTCAGCTTTCGATCTCAATTTCTAAGATGGTGGCGTAACCGACGTCATGTTGGACAAGCGCAAAAGCCACCAAGCCATACAAAATAACGGGCTTCACCCCTGGTGAGTAACACAACATTGCCGCGGGCCTGATCCTCTGACAGAGGTCGAATAACTGGTGGAACTGTGTCGGCATCTTCCCGCTGGAACCGCTTTACCACGCGACTGTCTGCCGTGCATACACTTGACGGCTTAGGATCCGAATTTCAACACGGGTACCACTCCATCCGGACAGAACTGCAGAGAGGCGTTGGATCTAGACTCTTTGGAAGCTCCATATTCTACGTACAAACGTCATAGGGCTTATTCTATTCTTCGACGGTTGGACCCTGAGCTTTGTTTCGACTTCACTCGACTTCACTCGACCGCAACGTTTTCAGAACAGACAGCGAACTGAGGACTTGTATGCTTTATAGTGATCATGTTTTTATCTTGCTTCTGAGAATCTTTTGTCCAATGATTTTCTATTTGTTTTGAATTGTTTGTAAGAGAGCTAAGATAAGATTGCGGCTGCAGAGAGGTGGCAGACCTAGCCTCGGACCGTGTTCTCGGAAGCGAAACCATTTTTGAACCCGCGCAAACAAGGGTAGTAAGGCCACAAGATCAATAAGATCCACTGAAAGGTCAAGGAATTGTTGCATTTTGACTTAACTCGCATTTGTGTTATTCTACTGCCAAGTTTGCAATCTGATCTCCAGGAATTAGGTCGTTCCAGACTCATTTATGGTTTGACGTCCTCGGGGTGGGCACAGGTGTATTTACTCGATTTAGATGAGTTTGCAGAAGGAAAGATACATTGTATGGGCAATGAAAATCATGCCGCTGTGAATGTTGAGTAATCGTTCTTAGAGTCACTCAAGATATGCTGAGGGAAAGAAGCTTGAGATATCGAGAACTGGCAAATTTAAATTCCGGGTCTTGCCGTCTCGAGCTATTCCACTACAGTCAGAAGAATCAATCAAGACGTATGTCATCGGAAATTGTTGAGACATATCTGCACATATCTGCAGCCCAAGCATGCTGTTGGATGAAGCTACAGCTGAATCCTGGAGCGCAGTTGCTTGAAATATGATACCCTTTTCAGAGAGTAATGTGACGATATTGCATAAGACTCTTACTTACAATGGACGGTCTCGCTGACCGATTTCACGAAGATCAGCATCTGGAGATTCTTCATAGGAGATCACTGCTTTTGATAGAAGTTGATAAGGTACCCCAAGATGGATGTCTCAATGCAAGTATACTCTGAGAGGGTGTCTGGCTAGAAAGATCGTTGAAGTTTCACGCTCGGATTGAACTGAGGCTGCAATTTTACCGAGGCGTACCCCTTTAATGGTTCGGAGCCGGCAAGATCCCGTGAACATCGCACGATCCGACGGATTCTGTTGCTGCCACAGGCTGCTGCCATGCCTTTTGTCGTATGAAGTGGACCATTTTTGTTTCGACACCAGTGTTGAGGGTAGTATATAAAATTACCAATATATTTTCTGTGTATTGAGCTCTCATGTGGTAAGCTTATAGAAAATGCTTCTACACCATTTGAGTATCTTATTAGGCATCTGTAATTTGCTACGTGAAGATGTTCGCCAGATTCTGCGTATCTCGTGTTGCGCATCTCCATGTCCAGCATGTAAGAACGGCATTATCTCTAAGTGCGGGGGATGCACGCAGACACGGAAAATGCTGGCGCTCTGAGTAAACTATTCATAGAATCATATCGATGTCAGAAGACCCAGACCTCTGGATCTTCGGCAGCAGTGAAAATGCCACGTGTAGGGGGCGCCGTGAGACCCTTACGAGTACTGAGCAGTATCAAATCATACGATTGGAAGCATTCACTTCACACTGCAAATTGTTCTAGACTCTGCCCAGAGCCGTCTTTGTGCATCTGTCGCATCTCAAGGCTTGGCCCCGTAGCAAAACTGTGCCATTCAAGACGATCTTATCCAGTATGTGCAACAACAAGTCTGGAGATGCATACTTGATCGAAATGGGAGTAGAAACCCATTGAGGTGCGTACAGCCCTAACCCTCGGACCAAAGCATCAGATTAATCAAGTAGCGCCAAGAATCTACTTTCCAATCTGTACTGCCCTAATTGTCGGCGGGATACAGCTGTGAGACGAATTTTGTTCTTACGCATGTAGACAGGGTAAAGTTTTTATGAATAGGGGTTTTTTGACTTCATTGCCAGAGATGATGTATACACAAGCGCAGCCTTCCTCGACTCGAAGCCACACATCTTCGATCTTGATCAGCCATGCATGCAGATGTCTATTCTCTTGGTGTTTGTTGCCGTTGCTTGACATGTTCACCGATGCGACGCCCGCCGAGACACCCATGTCGAACAGTCCCTCAACCGGCTGCTAATCCATCCATCCCATCCAACCATTGCCGAAATACTTTGCGGACGGATGGAGAGATATGCTGAGGTAGCTGAAGGCTCGGGAAAAGCCATCGCGAGTTGGAAGTTGTGTTTGCTTATGGCCACTGCATCCCATAATATCTGAACAACATTTCCACACCACCATGTCTGTTCCATCCACCACCGATCGACGTGCCATGAGGTTTCGGGTGATTGTGCGACTTCGAGGGTCGGACGGTCGCAAAGTCTGGACGGTCGAAAAGGAGGAGAACCACTCTTGAATTATGCTGCAACCCCAACTACTCAACACCAGTCGTAGTACTTCATGAATAATCTCAAGATAAAGCTACAACTCTTGTCCTCCATTGGTAGGGATGATTCTCTCTGCTGACGGTTGGGGATTTGATCTTCAATCTTCTTTGCCTCGTTATAAAAAGCGCCGACATATAAGCCAAGACGATTGCGAAAAAGCCTCCCATGGAAGCAAATAAGACGGTGAGAAGAAGAGATTGGTCTACAGTCCACGCCATGGCTCACTAATCATCGTTCGATCAGTCGCAGCTCGGGAAAAGACTCGAGTCGGTGGAAGATCAGGAGGTGAATTTCGGCTAGATTTCCTTTGTTAGGGGGCTCTGCTGCAGGGGATGAGTTTGACGAACCAAAACAGGGTTCTGATCTCCAAGCAAGTGCTTCTACGGCACGTCTGCTTCTGATATATTGTGAATCTTTTGTGATCAAAGTGCGAGCTCGTTCTGGCCGTCGGCCGCGAAGGTTCAAGAAAGGGAGTGTACTGGTTGACGCAATGACAGGAAAGCATAAAAATAGGGGTTGATAGGTAGCAGCTAGGTCATCTGCTAGTCTTAGAGGATCCATGGAGATATTCAATTTTGGACATGTTGTGGAGGAAGCTGCTAGTGCACAATGAGGTTACATGGAAAGCGCGACCACGAACGTCTCGAGTGCGCCACCAGAAGGCGCAATGTTCAACAACTTACAACTTTTCAAGATAGCCTTTAGATAGAGATAACATCCTGTTTCTTCCATGATTCTCAAGAGAGATAAAGTCGAGCGCATCTGCATCGAGATGATTACACGTGACCAGATTTTCTCCTTTTTTAACCGACGAGGCCGTTTTTGGACGAAGGGCCAAGCGTAAAACAATCCCGTAACAGAACAATCTGCAGAATATTGCGTGACTAATTCATTTGTGCTATCAGTTTTCCAGATGTCTTACTGCCCTCGATACTCGAAGACCATCCGGGTTTCCGGGATCGGCACAGGGCGCCTCTGGTGTCTTGCACGCGAAAATGCTTGCTTTTTTTTTTGTTTCGGGGGTTGCAACAAGTAGGCTCTCACCCGCAAGGCTTGTGCAATATTGGCTTAAACACCCCCGAGACAAATCGGTAATGTATCAACCACCAAATCTACTTGGTGTGAGTGGACTAGATTCGCTGCAGCCACCGCATACCAGAATTTCGTTGAGAAAAGGAAGAGTCCCTGAAGGTGTGTATCGTGTTACCAACGTTTGTGACTTAGACCGCTTGGTTATTGTTCCGGCAAGCCAATAATAATCGGAGTCTCGAATCCAAGTTTTCAACCTTCGATGCAGTTCTCGAGGGCTTGGCAAGCTGGTCTTCAAATGCAGTTCGTGCTAACTGAGTGGGGGTGGGGTAAAGTCCTATTTGGGAACTCGGTGTCTTGGGAATTCGTGACAGGGCAGCTACATTGACAATGAATGATTAGCAGGTGATACGAATTGCAAGATCTCTCACATATGTAGGTGACAGAACGCGGCGAAGAAAAACTCACATCACAGAGTCTCATGTCAAACACCAATGGAGGTGTTCTACGGCCATTGCCCAGAAACCGGGCGGTCAACAGCCGCAGTTGGTATTTTTGTATGGTGACAACAATCGCTAGGGCTCAGGATGTAGCCCCAGATTGGTAGAAAAAAGGAAAGTACCCACGCACACCTTAAACCCTTGAAAAGATCCCCCACTAGCTTGATATTTTCTTTGGCTGACGAGTCCAAGTGGAAATTGATATTCGGATGACCGGTGGGTCTTCCACACTGCAGTAATGGCATGTAATGTGCCAGCGGCACATTCCCATACAGCGAATCCCGTTCTAGAAAGTAAAGACCGGCAAGATTTGAGGCTCGATCGTGGTTACTTTGTCCGACACTCCACTGGAAAAGGTCTCGACTTGGCTCCTCTGATTGCATAGGATTGGAACCTTGACTGCAACCCGTGGTCTCGTGTTTTCTCTATACGAACATGGCTTTTGAAGACTACGGTCTCGAGAATGGTGTAACCAGGTAGATCCAGGAATATAAATTGAGAGAGTGTTGTCCACTGACGGAGGGGCAGATGCTTCATCTTCTTTCTAGATAGACCCAGCACTCCAAGAGCTTCTCAAGAGAATCTCGTCTTAGCGTTCATCGAAACTAGCTCTCGCAGAGTGCATCAGTTTCATAGTTTGGTAAGTTAGTTCTTCCACATGCGTTGAAAGGTTGGGTCCGACCATGCAGACTGATTCTAGTTATCATCGATCAACGATAGCTGATATTAGATAGGCACGACGCCCAAACGTTGGTTCAGGAGTTTCAGGGGATATCGTGAGCGTCCTCAACTATGTCGAAGTTCCTAGGCTAACTCCCTTCTCGGTTGCTTCTAGGCAATCGGATACTCTCAAGGATGACGACGTTGCGCATTGCGGTTCAGCCCGGACCAAAAGCTCGTGCAGGCGTTGCCATATATCCCCCCGTGGCTGCTCGTCTCCTAAGTGAGACTAATATCTTTGAGGAGCTTTCTGGTATTTATGCAGTTGCCACTCTTGTCCACGAATCGGGAGACTCCCTCTATGGTAGACTTGGCGGGAGAGTTTCAGACTCTGCACACCCACTTCCTGCGAGTACAAGTTCTTCGTCGAGCAATTCTAGCTCCGGAACCGACAGAGCATACTTTTATTTCCCGGATCTCGTCATCCCCGAGCCAGGACGCTATTGCATTCGAGTAAGTCTGATGCAGATGGACTATTCAAGCAATGAAGCTCCGAAAGGAGCCGCTGTCGTTCGCGACTATGATGACAGCAGGTGGATTGATGTGGGGGACAGACCATCTGCCACCTCAAAACCAAGTCAGTCAAGCTTTTACCAGCACGAACAAGCTAACCAGAGCAGACCACAAAGAACAAAGATTCTTGAGAAAGTTGGAGAAGGATGGGCAAGAGATCCCTTCCTCTCCTTAGGCGTATTGGCCTGACCATTGAAGATACTCAAGGCTTCACACTTGGTGTGGTTGGCAGTAATGGTCTCTTTACATCCTATCCTCCGGTCGTTACATGAGTCAGTGAATACTTTCAACATCATTATATGAGAAGGGAAAAGGAGAGAAGGTCTACGCAGGATTTACCCTTCCTTGAGGTTGTTCTAAGATGGAAGTCGGTCATTTGAAAGGATAACAGTACTTCAATAACAAAACAACTGAGAAAGGATGAGCGAACAGAAATATTATCAATCCTTAAGCTCTCAGACCGACCTGCTGAAGCTGGCAATATAACACACTTCATTGAGAATGCTTGTCGGTGAATACATCGTACTATAGTGATACATATATATTGAGATCAAGTGACAAAGACATATTGACGTCGGATGAGGGTCTCATCTGCTTCATACACAATCCGAAGAGGCGTCTCTGCTGCATGATCGACGGTGGCACCAGGTGGTATTGCAGGTCACGTGCCGAGGCTGAGTTGAGAATTTTCGAGCGAGTGCATTGAGTCACAAACAGCTAGAGAAAGACCCCTCTCAAAAACCCCACACACTTTCGATAATTGATGAAAACCTCCTTTCCTTGTTTAACAAGAGCTTCTCGACTTTACATTAGATTTCCGTCTCCTCAATACAAATCAATTCAGATATTAACGCGTCTCAATAGCAAGCGCGCCTTCAGCCAAACTTACAACATGGCGACCGCAGCGTCTTCTCTGTCGGACAAGCTGAAGTCGTTGAGCTTGGCAGAACCTCTCCCCAAATATCCCAATTGCTACCCAGAAGTCAACCCTGTAGACGTCTATCGAGCACATCTTACCTCGATACTCACCGAAGTTACAGGCGTTGATGCTTCCGTCGTATACCCCGCGTTGCAATGGACGCAAACACTAGAGAAGGGCGACCTGGTTTTACCTGTACCAGCACTTCGAGTCAAGGGTAAAAAGCCTCCTGAGCTGGCTGCAGAATGGGTAGCAAAGGTATGAAGCTTTAGATTGTTTCTGCAAAGTGCAATGCTAACCACCGTCTGCCAGTTTCCCGAATCTCCTCTTGTACACAAGCCTACAGTCAACGGAACCTTCCTCCAATTCTTCTTCAAAGTCGACAAGCTTGCTGAGATCCTCATACCCTCAATCATCGAGCGAAAGAAAGAGTTTGGACTGAATCCATATCTTGGGCTGAAAGACGTGAAAGATCCAAGCAAGGGCAAAAAGCGAATCATCATTGAGTTTTCCTCACCAAATATTGCGAAACCCTTCCATGCCGGACATCTTCGAAGTACAATCATTGGTGGCTTCCTAGCAAATCTTTACGAGGCCTTGGGTTGGGATGTCATTCGAATTAACTATTTGGGAGACTGGGGCAAACAATATGGCTTGCTGGCTCTTGGATTTGAACGATATGGCAGCGAAGAAGCTCTACTGGTAGACCCTATCAACCACCTCTTCCACATCTATGTTAAAATTAGTGCGGAGCTGGCAGATGAGAAAGCAAAGATCACGGCCTTGGAAAAAGAGGGCAAGGATGCATCAGAGTTGAAGAATGAGGGTTTGGACGAACAAGCTCGTCGATACTTTAAAGCTATGGTCGATGGTGATGAGAAGGCTGTTGCGTTATGGGCTCGATTCCGTGGTCTTTCTATCAAAAGATACAAAGAAACGTATGCTCGACTGAATATTCACTTCGACGACTATTCTGGAGAGAGCCAAGTCAAGCAAGAGCGCATGGATTTCGCGGCACAAAAAATGGCTGATATGGGTGTCTCAGAAGAATCAGAAGGCGCTGTCATTGTTGATTTCAGCAAGCACGTCCCAGGAAAACCAGGGAAATCTCTCGAGCGACCGATCATCAAGAAGAAAGATGGCACTGCACTTTATTTGACTCGAGATATCAGTGAGATGATGCAACGAGAAGACAAGTACCATTTTGACGAAATGATCTACGTCGTCGCCTCACAACAAGACCTTCATCTCAAACAACTCTTCAAAATCATCGAATTGATGGGCTACAAAGACCTCGCCAAGAAGTGTCAACACATTAATTTCGGCATGGTCCTCGGAATGTCAACTCGAAAAGGAACCGTCAAGTTCTTAGACGACATCCTCCGAGACGTAGGAGAAAAGATGCACGAAGTGATGCAAAAGAACCAAGTCAAGTACGAGCAAGTCGAGAATCCTCTCGCCACAGCCGATATCCTAGGTATCAGTTCCGTCATGGTACAAGACATGTCCGGAAAGCGAATCAACAACTATGAATTCAACATGGATGCCATGACTTCCTTCGAAGGAGACACAGGACCATATCTCCAATACGCCCACGCCCGACTCTGCTCCATCACCCGCCGAGCCAACATGTCCGAATCAGATCTTCTCTCCGCAAACCTCTCTTTGCTCACAGAGCCACATGCCCAGAATCTCATCCGAGTCATCAGCCAATGGCCAGATGTGGTTCAGAATACATTGAAGACCTTAGAACCAACGACTATATTGACGTATCTGTTCAAGATGACGCATACTATCAGTAGTAGTTACGACCATCTTCGAATTGTGGGCAGTGAAGAGGAGTTGGCTAAGGCTCGAATGGCGCTTTATGATGCTAGTCGAGTTATTCTGAGTAATGGGATGCGTTTGTTGGGGTTGACGCCTGTTGAGCGGTATGTTTTCCTACTTTTACCAACTTTGACAGTATGCTAATGTGATTTGTAGAATGTAAACATTTCATTTCATTGAAGATACCAAGAGACTCGAACTTACCATCGAGGTGCGTCTTTGCTTTCGCATAGAAAAATCTCTACTGGAATGGTTTGGACGGCGTTACGCTTCTATGTTAAGCAGGAAAAGCATTCCGGGTAGCATCGATAGATCATCCAATCAATCACAGGGTCGCATGAATTGCCTACCCTCACAGATTCAAAACTTCCTACCTCGTCGTTTTTGTCTTTCGGAGATGTTCAGCCTTACCAATATAGTCCGAAGAGAGAGAAAAGATCGTTCTTGAAGTCAAGAGAAAAGCGAGTCTCGCACATTGAGACGCCATCATCAAAATTTTGTTTAAGGAGTCGACTTAATATCTGCACCTTCTGTTCATACCACTTATCTCACTTAAGCACTCAAACGAAGCATTTTAAGCTCAGAAAAATTCGCATTGATAAATATATACTGTCTCTAAAGATGCCAGCATGGAAAAGAAAAGAAGTCTTCGTCCCTCCAATCTCCTATCTCCTCGGGGTATATATGCCGACCACACGCGCGCATCATTATTTTTCCATCCAGGGATATCGTTTCGTAGTAAACGCTCAGCGCCTCTTGCCTCTTCCCCAGATTATAGCTGTGGGGCCCCCCTCGTTTGTTTCATCATCTCAAGCCACGACCCATGACATGGCGATCATCATTGTCATCCGAAGGTGATCCCGGCGCCCCATATAACCAAGACCACCTTCTCTCCCCTCAACTATAAATATTCTTCTCCCCGGGATCGTCCTCATCATCCTCCTCCTCACCCCCAGGAAAAACACCACTACTCGCTCGCGTACTATGTAACACCCTCCCCCTCTCCCCCGTTCCACTTTGTTGCGGGGCCTGCGTCCCCGACCCCTCTGCTCTAATATCTTCTTCTTCTCCTTCCTCTTTTTCTTCATCTTCAATCCCAATCTCGACATCCTCGCTCCCAAAACTCATCTCGGAGCTAATCTCACTCCCATAACTCCCCCTCTCTCCCGAATCCCTCCCCACAACCCCGATAACAGGGACCCCCAGTCTCTGCGCCTCCCGACTGCGACTCTCTTCCCGCTCCTGCTCGACCTGCTCCTGCAGCGCGCGGTGATACATCGGCGCGCTCCTCTGTCTTCGCAGCGGCGCCCCGAACGTCGCGGACGAGGATGTCGGCGGTCGATTCCCCCCGCTCGCGGACGAATACTCGCCAGAGGTCCCCGGCCGCGCGGTATTAACGCTATCTCTCGAGCCCGAGAACGGCGTAGCAGGGAACAGCGAGATGCGCGGCATATCCTGCAGCGCGGGGATAGTAGGTGCTGGTTCCGGGGCGGACGTTGGCGCCGAGGAGGAACGCATTAATCGATTCCTCGTAGGCGGCGACACGGGGTTTGAAGCTAGAGCTTGCGCCTGTGAACCGCTGCCCGACGGATACGGGAATTCGAACTGAAAGGCCCCGGCCCCCTGTTGTTGCGATGGACCTCTCTGGCCGCCGATGGGAGACGGTGTTAGGCCGCCTGCTAGGGCGCGAGAATAGGGGTCTGCTGGCCCGCCGCGGGGACCCATGCTGAGGCTCGTCTCGCACATGTGTTCCGGGAGCGGGATCTGGGGCGGTGGACTACCGGGGGGTGCTGGGGCGAAGTTTGGGGCGGGGCGGGGGGCGAGGCTGGTGAAGGGGGGCGATTCGGAGTCTGACTTCGAGGAGCGTTTGCGGAGGTAGAAGAGTAGGAGGATGAGGAGGGCGAGGAGGAGGACGAAGGATACGGAGCCCAGGACGATGGTTACGGTTAGGTTTGTGCGGGAGAGGGTGGCGTTTTGGTTTAGGAGCGAGGATTCGGCGGCTAGTGCTGCGGTTGCTGCTGGGTTTGGGAGGGGCGTGACGGATAGTGATGTTGCTGTTGTGGTTGATATGAAGTTTGAAGATGTTGTTGCTGTTGTAGTGGTCGTTATGCTCGTTGGCGAAATGGTAACGAGTGAAGTCAAAGTCGTAGATCCTGGAGGAGGGACCGGTAGAGTGAGTGTTGCAGTAAAGTTGAGCTGTGACGATGTTGAGATCGAGGACGGCGGTAGACATGATGTTGTCCCGCATCCGGTGTAAAATGGTGTTGCTGTTGTTCCTGCTCCTCCTCCTCCTTCAGTCGAGATCCCCGTGACTGACATCCAATTCCCTTCCTCGAGTGTGTGTATAACCGTCGTCGTCGCGAGCTCGAGTTCCCCGCCTGTGGAAACTGGAATGAAGCTGCGGATAGCATGTGTTTACCAAAAGAAAGTTGTATAAAGAATATTAAAAGAACGTGTGATCCGGCACCAAAAGAATGTATCTCGCCTCGCCCATAGAAAGAACTATGTCAAGAGCTCATTTCCCCCTTTCCTCTTTTCCTCCCAGTAGGTAAACAAAAAAAGTACAGTATGACGTGCGTATTGAAGAAGAACAAATATAATAATGAACGGACGGTAATCAAGTGCGACCCTCAGAAACCAAACCAGAATCAGAACGCGTTTTCGTTCAATACCTCACATCAAGACGATAAGTTCCCTCGTCATCTTAACACAACGGTACAGACTTAATTCGCTTTCCAGAAACCAGCCACAGGTTAAAGCAGAAAGAGAAAGAAGAAGAAAAAAAGAAAGAACACACCACTCGGGAGCACGAGGGATAAAAGGGAAAGGAAGGGAAAAACAGCTTTTGCTTCACGCAACCAGACTTGATGGAATCCTGGAGAGAGCTATCCCTCCCTCCCTGGCACCCATGACGAACATTCCCCGAGCTTACTGATTGACTGACTTACGGGAGGCAGATAAAGCTCTCTCGAATCTATATCGCATTACACGCCCAACGCGACATAGATAGTCCCGGAACGCCGTCCGTCCACCGATCATGATCGCCCGTTCGATCCAATCCAATAATGTGGAGACAGCCAGCCCGGCTATCAACATCAAGCACTCCCTCACTCCCTCACTCACTCTGCTCTTGGATTTACTCCCAGTACAGTAGGTAGGTGTGGGGATGTGCTGCCGGAGGAGGAGAGGGAGGGTCTGAGAGCCTCATCATCATTCCTGCCGAGTTGAACGGCGGTCGGTTTGTGGGGCCTTTCATGCAGACCGCAGGACGAAGGTGATTTGTCCGGCGCGAAGGGACTCATTTCGTCTGAGGTAGGGTGCTATGCAATAATCCAGTACAGTACCTAGGTAGGTACAGTAGTTAGGAGTTTTCCCGTCCCATCTTTGTGAAGATGGAGATGGAGATGGGATGGGACGGAGACGTTGCGTGCCGGATCCTCCTTGGATCATCTGTGCGTGTGGTTGGATCGTCGGTCAGGATCCTTGAACTGTGAACTCGAACTCTGGGTGAAGGGTCACGTGGTGGTGATGATCCTGGGTTTCAGGTGTGGACAGTCTTTACTTCAGATGGCGGGCGGGTTGTGATTGGAGCGGGAAGGAGATATTATAACAGGGTCAGAGAAAGATTGGGAAGGGCGTCTCGACTTGATGGCTGCTGCGAAAGCCACGGGCTTGAATAGAACCTTCCATCGACCAACCTTCTTCATGCTCCGTTGCATGCATAGCAATGCTTACCTCAAAGTGAATCTTAAAACCCAGCACTATGCCCATCTATATCGACATGCGTCAATCATTCTCATGCTCGTCGCCCATCCACCCGGACCGTTCGCATCAGCAGCGTCAAGCCGATCACAAGAAAGAAAGAGAAAAACTGCCCGAGTAATAATTTTAAGGTTCCAGAATGCATTGCTTTGCTTCTTAAAAACGCCCTTATGATCCCCTTCAATTTACAAGTGAATGCAATGTACAGTACAGCGCGCACGCTTCGCAAGAAAGCAGACCAAGAAGTGAAAATCCCAAAGCGAAAACCCAGGTCTATCTCTTCTCTCTATGTCTGACTCAAGAACTTCAACGCTTCTTCTCTCTCTTCGGCTGGCAACATGCTCAAGACTTGTTGCACACCCTTAAGACCTCCCTTTCCATTACTCCTCAACAGGCTTGCTACATCAAAGGCAACGCCTTCCGTCTTGAGAGATTCTACTTTTTCGTGAACAATCTTGCGGTTCTCCTCGTACCACATAGCGACATCACGGTCGGCGAATGTGAAGTTGGGGATACCGGTCCAGGCACCGAGAGTCTCGATGTTGCGGCCGCGTGATGCGAGAGGGTTCTTGGAAGCAGCTGCCATGCGCTTGAGGATGTACTCCTCATTCACACGACGGCGCACACGCCAGTAGAAGAATCGTCTAGCTTCTCTCCAGACCAGTGATTGTCTGATGACATCCTTAGCCTTCATTCGTCCGGCTCGGTCGTGGAGATCAGCGAATTGCAATGAGACCTGCATGTAGACTGGCAGGAGCAATTCCTCGCGAGCAGTAGCCTTGGCTTTGATTTGGCTGAGCTGTTCGGCGCTCAATGACTTGTCGGCCAACTGCTTGCGGAGAGCACCGTACTCGGGATCCAGGCGTGCCATGGTCTCGAGCTGCTTGTCCTTTCGGTACTTGATGTTGACAATACCCTCGGGCTCCAAGACACCACCACGGGCGTCTTCGTCAGCGTACATCTCCATGAATTCGGGGTTGATCGTAGGATCGACAACAACCTGAGACAGATTAGCGGGAGCTTACAAAATCCATGCGATGCATCAACTTACCCATGAACCACCACGGAGCTCGCCGAAAGGTGGAATGTAGACGAAGATCGGCTGTTCGTACTTGACGAGCGCATCGACAATGTAGGAACCATACTTGAGAACTTCGTTGTACATATCACGCTGACCACCAGAGAAACCTCTCCAGTTGGCAAGGATCATCAATGGCAATTGCTCACCATTGTTGAAGTCCTTGATAGCTTGAGCGGTCTTGAAAGCAGAGTTGGGGTACCAGACTCCACCAGCCTCGTTCGTGATCTGTTCCATCGAGTCGGGATTGGCGGGATCAGCAGGGGTGATGTTCTCCACTGATCGGGTTTCAACGGCAATAACACCCATTGGAATACCACCTAGGCGAGCACGACCGACGACAACAGTCTTGGCCCAGCCACCGAGAGTCTCAACGAAAGAGTCCTTATCGAAGAGACCTGGCATAAATCCCTCGTCGTCGTCCTTACCGCCAATCAACCATCTAACGTCGTATGATTGCTTGGGAGGTGGAGTGTAGACGATATCACGGTCCCAGGAGTCGACTGCGGGCCCAATTGGCAACGGGTTGTTGCGCTTGTCTGGAACATAGGCCATCCACTCAACAATCTTGGACACACCCTCGAAATCATCGTTGGCAGTCATGTGAGACACACCGTTCTTGTACATGATCTGAGTGCCACCAAGTTGCAAGTTGGATGTGTAGACTTCACGACCCAAGAGCTTGTTGATAGCAGGAGCACCAGTCAAGATAATTGGTTGACCTTCGATCTGAATAGCACGCTGGCCAAGACGGACCAAGTAGGCACCAATACCTGTATTTGTTAGCAAAATGTATAGTTAAAGAGTGGCGTGATACATACCGACTGATCTGCAAGTGACCAAAGTAATAGTGAAGATGTCTTCGTAAGCTCTGCTGGTAGCACCGGCGATCAAACCAGAGCCCTTCAAACACTCAACACCAAGGCCATCCTCAGCACCGACGATGGTAGTGATCTTGTGTCTGATCTCTCCATCCTCGTTGATCTCTTCGGTGATGACATCCTTGGTTTTGCCATCCTCGAAGCGCTTCTTAGCCTCGGGCAACAAGTAGAGGTACTTGAATCCAGCTTCTGGCCTCTCGGGGTCATTCCATGCGATATTGAAGTGAGGAATGAGCTCTTCAGCCATACCAATGCGAGCACCAGAGTTGGCAGACAGGTAGATGCGAGGAATACCAAGCTTTCGGGCAAGCTCAGTGCACTTGGAGAAGAAGTGATCTTCTTTGGGTCCGAAGCTACCAATCTTGAACGTGATGTCGTTGGCGATGATGATAAACTTTCGGCCGCGAGGATACTCTGGGGTTCTGGCAGTGACGATCCATCCAACCATACCGCAGCTGTTGGTTCCAGGCTCACGGAAGACTTCGGCAAGAGTGTCCTTGTCATCGAGAACAAGCTCGCTGTAGTCGATGCACTCGCCAACAGGAGGTTGCTTCTCAGCCAAAGCTGGATGTTGAGCAACAGCCTTGGTCCAGCTGTTTTGGATAGCTTGTCTGAAAAGCTCAGGGAAATCATAAACATACTGGGTACCCATAAGATGGGCCTTGTATCTCTTTGGCTGCAACCACTCCTTAGTAGGATATGGTGTATTGACAGGTCGCAAGTGCATGGAGCCAATCTTAGTTGTGCCTCCAATGCTCTGGAAAACCCAGTCACCGCCCTTCTCAGACTTGCGCTCAGCGTACATCTCGACTTGAATGACGTATCCAGATGTGTTGGTGATGACAACACGGAGAGGGTATGGCATGCCAGTGGTGGGCTCAGTGCAGATGATGCGGATTTCAGCACCAGTAACACGGAGACGCCAGAGACGACGACCGAAGCGCTCCAAGAAACCACCAAGAGCCTTCTCAACCTCGGGTGGTTGAAGAGGGAAGACGGGAGTCAAGTTGATGAAGATGTGGTTGAGATCAGAGTTGTTGTTGCCAATGATCTCAAGAGCATCAAGAATGTCGTTCATGAGTCTGTCGCACTCAGAGATGAGGTACTCAGCAGTTGGGATCTCATCTCGTAGTCTTCCAGGACGGACAAGAGCACGTGTGAAATAACGCTTGTCACCCTCAACATTCTTGGCAACCGCCTCGTAGATGTGGATGTTTCGGTTCTCAGCAAAGACGGGCTTGATTCGGAAGTTGGAGAGTCTCCCAAGCTCAAGCTGGAAAGCCAAAGCAGGTTCGATGTGACGAATGCTTTGATCTTCCTCGTACTCGGGGCCACGGAACGTGTAGTAACCTGGGTACGAACCATCCTTGTGACCGCAAATGAATGTCAGTCGGCGGATGCGGCGAGAAAGGAGCTCCTCCTTGTAATCCTTGACAATCAAGTTGATTCTGGTGATGGTCTCCTTGTCGTCCATGCTCTCAGCGTCGCGGACAGCGACGTTGCAGACAGCAGTAAGCTCATCCTCAGTGGCGATAGGAGCAGGTGCTCTGCGCTTACCGCTCAAATCTGGCATCGTGCTGCCATTGGCAGCAGCGGGGCGCTTCTTCTGGCCGTAGATAGGGAAGACTTCGAGAGCACGCATAAGATACTCCTCAGCCTCATCAAGGTATTGGACGGGAACAATAACACCCTTTCGAGTGGGCTCGTTGTCGGCCTTGTTAACCAAGTATGACATATCGGAGATAGAGCTGACACGCTTGAATGGGTTGGCAATGTCGTATGAAGGAGTGGCTGGGGTAGATGGAGCCGAGGATTGGATTGGCATGCCGAATTCTGAAGAACCGACTTTTCGGAGAACGAAGTCCCATGAAACGATGAATGGTGGCTCGGATGAGTCGTTGTGGTACTCAATCTTTTTGAGAGAGTAGGCACGGTAAGCACGTCGGATATAGACCTCCAACGCGGCGAGGGAGACCCATGGGTCTTGGTGACCGAAGAAGACGGGGAGAACGTCAAAGACGGTGTACTTGGAATCGACGACCTCCTTGAGGACCTCGATATCGGGCTCTCGGTGCTCCCATCCAGTCTCGCCATATCGTGACTCGACAACTGATGATCGGAGGATGTGCTCCATTTGAGAAGCTCGCTCCTCCAATGATGGCATAGCACATTGGATGAGGGTCTCTCGTGCCTTCAAGGCAACCTTTGCAGTTGGTCGGGATTCCAACTCGGTGAGCTTCTTGAGAGCTGGTCGGAAGTGCTTGGCAATATTGCCTGCCTTTGGCTTGTTGGGCTTGAACTCATCAAGGATGGCAAGGACCAAGTTGTTCTTTGACCCAATTCTGCTGTGTGACAAGACAGTGCCGATGACCTTGGTGATATCATCCTTGTTCTGGTCTCTAAGCGCCAAGATGACCTCCTCGTCACGGTTTTGGCGACCAGAGAACAATCTTTCGACTGTGCAGTATTGCTCGAGAAGTTCGGAGAAGACGTCAAATTCGTGAACTTGTTGACCCTCAAGGTATCGGTCAATAACCTCAATCAATGGAGTGAGGGTGGTCTTCAACAAGTCGACATCCGAGGGAGCGACATTGTCATCCAAGAACTTCTGGAGAGCCTTCTGGAGGTTCTTGGCTGGGAATTCGGCCTTTCGTTGTCTTGCCTTGTCCACAATTTGTGTGAAGGTAGCATCAAGACGTTGTGGCATTCTGGCGTGGAGTGCTGAGAATTGAGCGTTCCACTCGCCGTATGGCAACTCCGGATCGCGGAGAACATCAATCAACTCCTTAAGAGTGGATGCCATGATGACTTGGTTGTCAAAGCCATCAAGGATGTTCTTGAGAATGCTGTGGAGAAGGACGAATCGCTGAGCGGGCTTGGTGCCAACAACTTGTGGTGGTCCCAGATCTGGGAGGTGACCAAGGAAAGGCTGGGCGTGCTTGACTCTGGATGGGTCATCAAGAGCAAGTATACCGAGAATATCACCAGCTTCAAGAGTGGCTCCTGGCTGCTTGATGAGCTGCACAATACCATCTTCTTGAGCAAGAAGAGGCATGTACATCTTCATGACCTCGACTTCAGCGAAGGCCTGGCCGGCCTTGACGTGCTCACCGTTATCGACGGTGAATTTGACAAGCTTTCCGGGAGAAGGCGTTCGGAGTTGAGATGGGTCATTCTCTTGTTCGAGAAGGCAGGTCTTGCTGTTGACGCTAAGACGAGTCGCCCCAACTTCCTCCTTCCAGTAGACGTTGTGACTGCGTCCGCTGAGGAGCACAAGGAGACCACCATCACTGAGAGCACGGACACCAACAGAGCACTTGGAACCGTTGATGAAGAGGTGGTAGCTCTCCAAGCTCGACCGGGTGGCAGTGAACTTGTATCGGTGACCATCGTAGATGAAGTCGATGGGGAAGACAGTCTTCAGGGTCTCCTTGGCGGGCACCTGACCCTTCTCCAAGCTCAATCGGTACTCAGCGATGCAAGCCTCGCTGGCGATGTGTGCCTTGGTAACAGCGCCGCAAACGACAGCCAGCATAGGGTCTGGTCGCTCAGCAGTAAGCTTGTTGGAGATCAGCTCGTCAAGCCATCCTGTGGTGATTGTGTTGTCCTCGAAAGCTGGAGTTTCCAAGAGCTTAATCAAGTATTCCACAGTGGTTCTGAAATCACCACGAATGCTCAATTCCTTGAGAGCGACAACCATGTGTTTCCGCGATGCAGATCGGTTCTCACCATAGGCGAAAATATGACCGAATTGAGAATCCGAGAAACTGTGGATACCACCAGCAGTTCCGACGGAGAAGTAACCCCAGACATTAGAGGAACTCCGGAAGTTCAATTCGTGCATCATACCGCTGGAGGGTTTGAATCCCTCTCCAGGATCTTCGGATGTGATACGACAGGCGGTGGTGTGGCCTTTAGGTGTGGGTCGTCGCTGGGTGAGGGCGCTGTTCTCCTTGGAGAAATCAAAGTCGATTTCGGTGGAGCTGGAAGGGTCAACTCCGTATAATAATCTAATGTCACGGATTCTGTGTAGAGGAAGACCCATCGCAATTTGGAGTTGTGCAGCGGGCAAGTTGACACCGCTGACCATTTCAGTGGTAGGATGCTCGACTTGGAGACGGGGGTTAAGTTCCAAGAAGTAAAATTTGTCGTCGGCGTGTGAGTAGAGGTACTCGACGGTACCAGCAGAAACGTAACCTACGAGACGACCGAGACGAACAGCAGCCTTCTCCATAGCTTGGAAAGTGGCCTGCTTCGCGATCGTAACTGGTGCTTCTTCGATAATCTTTTGATGTCTTCGTTGAACCGAGCAATCTCTGCCGAACAGCGAAATGTTGTTTCCGTACTCATCAGCCAGCAATTGGACCTCCAAATGTCTAGCATTTCCAGCAAGCTTCATGATGAAGATTGGAGAACCTGGAATTTCGCTGGCAGCGGCTTTGTAGAGCGCCTCGAAGCCTTGCTCCGACTCGGCTTTTCGGATACCCTTTCCACCACCACCTTCTGAGGCCTTGATCATGACGGGGAATCCAATCTGGTGGGCCTTCTCGAGACCTTCTTGCCACGATTGCACACATCCCTTCATGTAGATCTCGTCGTCAACTGTAACAATGCCATCATCGTTGACATCCACCTGGTCAACACCAGTTCCGGACCAGGGTATACATGGAACTTTGGCGTGCTGTGCGACGATTGTGGAGGAAATCTTGTCACCGAGCGATCGCATCGCAGATCCCGGAGGACCAATGAATACAATCTTCTTTGGTGATGCTGCTAACGATTCTGGCAATTTTGGGTTCTCTGAAGCATGTCCCCTATTTTCCGTCAGTAAGACAAATTCAAATTCCCTTCTCAAGCGTGTGAATTTACCATCCTGCCCAGACTGCATGCACGTTCATGCGCTCAGCAACATCTACAATCAACTCCACGTTTGCGTAGTTGTTATTATTTGTTCCTCCCGGGACCTCGACATATTGGTCTGCCATCCGGATATAATCTGCATTTGCCTGCAAATCCTCGGGGGTGGCCATGACGGTGAACTGGATAGCTCTCTCGTCGCCGAACGTCTCGTAGGCCCATTTTCGCACCGATCGAATCTCCTTGACTGCCGCAATACCATTGTTGGCAATCAAGACCTATTCGCAGAATGTCAGCTTATTGCTCTCTCTCCGTCTCCTGCTTCTCCTCTGGGCGCCGCCCCCCCTCAACCAAAAAAAAAAGTACGCACATTGGTAATGACGGTATGTCCATCGTGGCTCGCTACAAAGTCCTTTACTTTGCTCGGAGCTGCGTTCTCCAGCCTGTTTCCACCGATGAAGTGATCTGCCAAGTTGTGCTTGGCTGCGTAGGAGGAGGCTCCGTTCATGATGGGGACGGTGCCGTTGGCCTTCCCGGTGCCATTGAGCTCGGCCATTGTTCAGTCAGTCACTGCTCGTGTGCAGACGAGCGGAGAGAGTGAGGTCGCCAGCGGTAATTAAGTGGTTGACTCGTTTCCCCAAATCAAGTGCAGATCAAGGTAGCCAGGACTTAGGTGGTTGAGGCTGTACCCTTTTGTGATTATATCTGCGGGAGAGGATTTCGGGGCTGAGAGATGATGGTCAAAACTCGCCGAGTGAGAAGCTGTCGACGGCGCCGAATTAGAGCTCTGCAGCGTATGGACCACCACCCAGAAATAGGTATGGCGGTAGTAGTAGTAGTAGTAGTAGTAGTAGCAGTGCAGAGATTAAACCCCAAAGAGAGAATGAGTGAGGGTACAGTACAGTACGAGGGATTGTTCAAATTTCAGAGGTTCGGGGTGTGGGTTGGGGAGGTTGCGGGTTTATGAAGAAGTGGTTGATGGAGATTGGATTTACTATTTTATGGCCATTTGTTTCGAGCACAGATTGAAGCGAGGACCAGCACCAGCACCAGCAGCAGCAACCAGGGCCCTGTCTCTCGTTTTTGGTGGATCTCTCGTTCGAACCCTTTCCGCTGCAGCTGCTATTGCTCTGCAGAGACCAGCAGCAGAGCCACAGGTGTGCACTCCGCTTTTCCTCAACACCACGCTCACCGAAATGGCTTTTGTCGGCCAGCGACTCCTGTTCGTTGGGCTGATTAAACCCCATTTGGCTAAAGCCATCAACTCAATCTGGCGATCTCTCGCTACAACACTTTTCCAGATTGTCATCATCTCGCTGCACCGCTGCACACAACTTTATTCTCTTTCCATTCTTCCCTTGATGTTGATGCGCGGGATATCTCGGATAAAAGTGTTGGATGAGATCTAGATATCAATTGCATGCATGCCTGCATGAGAGCTTCTTTGCACAGTACACGACGATTGTTGAGATTGTGCTACAGTATTGTTCGAGAGAGTCGCAGCGGACGGACCAGCGAGAATTGTTCGCAAGCAACCCCCTTCGTCATCATGCTCCATCGCGGCCCCATCCCCCTTTCAGTCCGAAGAGCTGTCTGTGGCTTGCAGCCAGTGATCCCAGCAACAATTCCACCACATCCCGACAGAAATGTGGCAGAAGCGGGTCCCCCTTCCGCCTCAAAGGCTCAAGGACTTCCCCAACATTGTCCATCGCTGCGTGGGGTTCCTTCTCACAACCAAAAAAATCCTCCCGTCTCTCTTCCTCAATCCGAATCAAACATGCAACTATTGATACCCTCCTCTCTCCCTCCCTCCCTCTCTCCCTCTTCCTCCCTTTCACATCTCCCTTTCCATAATTGTATTATTATTTTATTTTTAGCCCTACGATGACAATCGCCCTAAATCCTTCCTTCCTTCCACCAGGCACAGGAGGGAGCCGCGATCCAACCAACCTTCGAAACCTTCTAAAGCATGTACTCCAGAGGCACGCACAACAATCTGACCTCTCTCTCACCCGTAGGCCGTAGGCCGTACGTAGATCACCCACTCGGGACCACTCGGCGGATTCTCACCTGCTGGTTTCTTTTTTCTTGCCCGGCCTCCGTTTCCGTCCTCGCCCAAACAAAAAAAACCTCCCGGACAAACCACTAACTAGGTAGCGACCAATCAAACAGGGTCTAAATATACGTGAAGACGGGAAGTGGCAGTGTACCATTTCTTTGACTGTACTGTACTGTACTGTATCTGTATCTGCGCCGCACCTTGCGTGAGCACTACTTACTCGGTACATGTCAGCACCAAAATGAAACTTTGTTTTGGGGATTTTCAGATTAGGTAGATCTGTGGGATGGGATAGGATGGGATGAATGGGTTCCGAGGTGTTGGAACGAGTAAATGTGTCCTTAGACGAGGGGGAGTTGCGATGCGAGGATTCGTCTCTCATTCGTGAAACGTCCGGAGAGATGTCTCGAGCTTCATTTCAGCCTCGGATCAACGAGTGCTCAGACACAAAGATAGATAGGTACATCTACATCCGAGAACTAGGTTATTTGCACAGATACCATAGTCATGGATACGAATAATAGTAGATTGGTAGTTTGAATGTCTGTCTGTTCCTTATGTGTATCTTCCTCGTTTGCAGCTGTGGTATCAAAAAACTTGTCACCACTCCTAATAATTACCCTTCTCTCTCCTCTTGACCTCATCACTCATGAATGAATTGTATCTCTCATGTCCATCCCCCACAAAATGCAGCAAGTGCAATGCTTCGGAAGCAAAATAGAGAACGCCCACGACTCCTTGCTGAAGGTCACAGTAAAAGAGCCCAGCCAGCCCCGGGAAAGAAACGTCGTAACATCGTGTACAAGCCATCATCAAGCATACAAGTCCTATCAATAAGTCTCCCCCACCTCACTTAGTTTCCTTGGTCGTCCCGGAGGCTTCATCCCTCCTTCATCTCCTTCCCGCATCCCTTGACCACTGGTCGATCGTCTGGGTATACCCGTCATGACCAATCCCCCACTCTTTCGTCGGGGGAGACCACTCGCAGCGGTGCTTCCTTCGAGCTCTCCCTTGCCGTAGGTATTCCTCCGACTGGGAGTCGCAAAGTCCAGTTCCCTCGCTTCGTCGAGATCGATGTTTGACACACTTTGCGAGTGTCCGTGTCCATGTGAGGCCCCATAGCTACCCCCAATGCTAGATCTCGGGCGCCGAGACTCGGCAATCTGGGACTGCGAGTAATGTCCCAAAGGGGTTCGTGCGCCAGACATTGATGTTCGGCTTGCAGGGCGAGCAATTTCGGTGCGGCTCAGTGGTCGATCCTGTCGGACGTAGTTCGTACTTGCTCTACTGCTCGGTCTACTGTCACTACCCTCACGGCTGGGTAGCGGGCCGAATGACAAACGGCTGATTCCTGATGTAGATAATCTGGGGACATGCTTAGTGGCCGAGGGAGTATCGTCTGCTGGAGGTACAGAAGAGCTACTAATTGAGCTTCCTCCGGTCCTTTTCCTGCTCCTTATTGTGACACTCGGGGGCATAGCAGCATGATTCGCTGTAGATACATTTCGAGGAGACGCTCGAGGAGGAGTATGAATAGGGGCTGGTAGTTTCGACCTGGCAGATTGGACTCTCTGTTCCAGTCGTTGCATCTGGGCTGTGAGAGTTCGGATATGTGTGAGGGATGTTGAGTTGGGCAGCCCTCGAGTGGCAGGGGCTTTTGTTCTGGTTTGGCGGATGACAGCGGGGGTGGCATTTCGGGCTCGGGAGGAAGAAGTGGGTGCTGTTGGGCCTTTTGAACTTCGCAAACTGCTAGATGTGTATCTTGATGAGGGTTTTGGTGTGGTACTCGAGTCGCCTGTAGGTAGCTTCATCTTGCTTGCGGGAGGGTTCATGGGCGTCTTCATAACTGGTCTGGCAGAACCAGAGGCTTCTGAAATAGGGGGTGATGGTGGAGTAGGAGTTTCGGAGACAGTGTCGGTGGTTGAGATGGACTTTGTATCTGGTGGAGTCGTAATCATAGGAGATGAAGCTGTAGATGTCGGAGAATCTCCCAAGGACGGGGAGTTGGGGGCAGTGATGTCTGTAGCTATGGAAGGAAGTTGGCGTTTCCGTAACTTGTCTTGTAGAATCTCTGCCTCGATCTTAAGATCTGAAAGCTCGTCTCGCAGGCGCTGAGTCTCGATTCGCAGATTCTCTCGTTCCTGTTCCCCGATCTTGATCTCCTCTTCCATCATGACCGCCCTTTCAATAGCCACATTGTACTTAGATTCCATATCTTCGAGCGATGAGGTTGTATTTCGAGCTTGGCGTTCGAAATCATCATTCTGAACTTCGATATCTCGTAATTTGTGTGTCAAAGTCCGGTTCGTGTCTCGAAGTATTGTGATCTCCTTTTGCAGTGTGTTTTGCGCGGCGCTTGCCTCTGTCTTAGATTGCTTGTATTTGGTCTGCAAGAGGAAAAGCATCAGCACCCAGATCTATAACGGTCCATGATATGAATGTTCCATCCAGTCTAGAGTATCTTACCTTCCATTCCTCGACCTCGAATCCCAAGCTCTCTGCCTTCTCTTGCAAAACCCTCTCTCTCCTTTCGGCGGCTTCGACATCCTTCTCCAACTCCGCCTCCAGCTCCTGACTGGAGGCCTGAAATTCTGCTAATTCATGTTCTAGCTGTTCATATTGCGACTTGTAATATGCGAGCGCGCTTTCGGGAGTCGACAGATCTGTCGGTGGGGACGATGGTGGCTCATCCATGGACGGCGACGTTTGTTTACAGTTCCTATGCGCTCTTCCGCAGATGTTCCCAGGTTGCAAATATACCTCTCGAGAGGTCCTATTCTTGCTATCTTCCCCTGAATTGCGCTCAGGCTATAAATTTGTGCTGGTGTAGCGGTGTGCTCGTTGCAAATAATCCGGTAATGGGTCCGCGCGCTGTGGTTTGTCGTGTTCCTGGATGTTCGTGATGTGTTCGATCTATGAGTCCTGGGAGGTTGGAGGCTATTAACTTGGCGAAATGCAATACAATAGCTCTATTCGATATGTCGATATCGGTGTCGATGTCCTGGATCCTGTGGGTTAGTTGTCGCTGGCCGTCCGGAGGTGTTGTTGGATGTTGTTGCCAGTGTTCTGCACTCCTTAGAGTTCGACATCAACAACCCCTGTTTCGTTTCGCTAGCGGGTTACCTCGCAGCAACCAAATCTTTCTTACATGTGAACCCCAAATTTCCGCATTTGTTTCTGCAATTCCCTCTTCCTTCATCGAAGAATATCGTTTTGTTTAAGTCAAGTAAGATTTTTTCATTGCGGAGGATGCGCCTGCTGAATACCTCTTTTGATCGTTTACGCGTCCAAATCGTTGCAGCCAATATAAACTTCGCCTTCACGAACTCAATCGGATACTGTTCATGCATCAACGGCAAAATGCATAGTGTAAGGCAACCACAAGTTCATCCGTCTGTTTCGTGATGGATAACGTCTTATGCTTCATATTTTAAGCTTTCTCAATATTCCTCTTCCAAATTTGTTGTTCTTTGTTGAAAATGTCTGTTTACCAGAAAATATCTTGTTTGCCAGGGGTGATGAAGTGGCGACTTATCAATATCAAAACATATATTGGAAGGCACGGTCGCAAAATTGTAATATAACTGGATTTTCAAGTCTTCATGTCATATATACAGATCTATTTATTCTTTTGCTATGTACTTTTATGCTTCTGCAAAGTAATTTCTCACAAGGAGGCCTTCTTCTCATCACTCTTCACTCCCTCAGACTCACTTCCATGCCCCTCAACGATATTGATCACAGCCTCGACCTCCGGTCCCGAGAAATGTTTCCTCGCAGTAGTGAACCAAGTGACTAGTGCAACAAACATGATTACACCAATAGCCGCAGATGTGTAATTCATGTTCTCGCTGGTCACTGGGTAAACACTCGGGAAATTGAAGGTGATACATGCGAACAGGAGGTAGGTAAGACCAATAAAGTTTACTGCAACAGAAACAAGTGGCTTCATAGCCCACGGTCCAGTGAGCTGTCGATGAGTTCCGCTGAAGTACGAGATCAGGCGAACGAGGAGGGGCATGGCGTAAGACAGGTAGAAGCCCTCCGTAGCAATGGCAATGACTGTGTTGAAGCCAGTGACCGTGCCGAAGTAGATGCTATTGAACGCCATCTGTACAATAGTGCCAAGTAAGATGGCTACCACGGGCGTGTGGTGTTTCGACTCGACCTTGCTAATGATCGAGGAGAATGGAAGACCATGGTCTCGACTGAATGCATAGAGAGAGCGAGCTCCCTCAGCAAGCAAAGCATTAGCACATCCAAGATCGATGATAACAATCAACGTAGCCAGGAAACAAGATCCAACATTGCTGTTGGTAGAGTCGAAGAAAATTTGGATCAGTGGGACCAGAGTGGGCGTATCTGCTACTTGGTTGATGTCACCAATGCAAAAGCAGACCGAAATGAGGAACACGAAACCGGTGATGGCCCCAATGTATACGGACATGACCATAGCACGCGGTGCTTGTTTGCTGGCATCCTTAAGTTCTTCGCACATGTGTGCAGGTGCATCGTCTGTTATAAAGGTCAGTGACCCATGCCACCAGAGACATTATCCAAGCTCAAAAAAACTTACAGCAACACATTCCAAAGGCTGGCTGCAATATACCAATGATACCAGCCATCGAAGCACTAAACCCAGTGAAGTTCTGAAAGTCTTTGAACACAAATGACGGCGATTGTTTGTTCTTGTTACACGCGAGGATAGTGACAATGGTCACAATGAAGGCCGTGATATTAAAAATCAAGAGACCTTTCGAGATTCTGTCGAGTATCCTAGCTCCCCACAGATTGACGAATGCTGCGAAGAGTGTGATGAGATATGCGACTAGAACAGTGTGCCATCTTTCGATTGTGTAGTTTGGGTTTACTAAATTCGCTTGGCCGAGGATGAAGTTTGCTAACTTGTCTTTAGTACTTTATTCGTTCGGGCCGTGCAAATATTTGGCTCACCTCCAATGAAACTGTTGGTTGCACCCATAGCCAAAATACCTGAATGATCGAAATCAGTATGTTGCTTTCGTCTGAGACATCTTCCAGGTTATCTTTCTCCGTTGAACGTACCGATAATCATGAACCACCCGGTAAGGTATGAAAATTGTCTTCGGATACTCTTTGGCGACACTGCAAAAATCAGTTTGACATTCAGACCAAAAGACCATTCCTACTGACGAATATATACCCATGAATATTGTCCACCCGCAACAGGATATTCTGAGCACATCTCTGCCATCGAGTATGCCACACAGAGGGACACCAAACTGATTCCCACCCAACCCCATATCATGACCGGAGGGCCGCCAGCATTAACACCAGTCACCAAAACACCACCAAGAGCACTCCAACTACAGGTATCCGTCAGTGCCTGAATTCGCCAAGTTTCGTCACTCGCGGTTTGCTGTGTTGGAGATAGGCAAGTAAATAGGTATAACGTACCAGGTTACAATTGAGAACGAAAATCCTATCATTCCCAAAAGACCAAACGAGCGCTTGAGTTCTGTGATTGTCAGTCGACAATGCTTCACTCGGCGTATGAAGGGTGGGGTGAAGTATACCCTGTTGATAGCCCATATTCTCAAGAGTCGCATCGGCTGCGTCCGTAGGAACAGCTTTCGTTTCGAGGTCCGCCATTGTGTATTGTTGGTTGAAGAATAATGTTTCAATTGACTGTCAATGTCCTTGACAAAGAAGTAGACCCGAAAGAGCGATATTGGAAAGATGTTGAAGTTATATCAAGGATGCGGAGAGGAGACCTGGGCACTGAGATTGAAAGTATGAGGCCTTCTCATGTATACCACAACAAACAGCTTCTTCTCAAGAACTATTCGTCTCTTCTCCCTCGCTCGTGAACAATGGAGCAGAGTTGACGTCGACAGGATCTTGTTCTCGAACCCGACCGGGCCATGGCGAACATATATGATGCTTCCCCGCTCTCTTACAACACTTAACAAGTAAGATAAACATCAGGAAATCCCTACCTTATCAGGATTAAGATGCGGGCAAAATATGCAAGATGCATATCCCCCGAGCTGCCAAAGCTTAGTACTCGAGTAGTCTGGGCCGCTGGACCATATATGAGAGATCCCTCTGTCATTACCAACAACAGCCAATTGGGAGGTTGGCAATGCTATCAGGGCCAAGTCGCAAGACCTTCCAAGCATGAAGGTTCGAAGTCTATGCCGGACTCGACGGGTGATGTTGTAGTGGAAGTCTGCCGCCCGCTTAGATTGGTCTAGCAAGCCGATCTGCAAGGATGAAATCTCTGGCTTATCGTGGCTTTTTCTCCACTCAAACATTTACCTTTTGTCGTCGTTGCGGCTCCCATTACGTTTGACGAACTCCTGCTCCAAAACTTGCCCGATATCTGGTGATAGACGGCCTTCAAATTCTGTACCTGATATCCGCCTCCCGTTCCCTTACCGGGCCATCGCATCTGTCCCACGCCACTATCCGTTGCGGGATGTTGTCTCGGCTTTCTGCTGTGTAACGAACACAGCGACGGGTAAGGACCCTTTATCGGCAGCGAGCATGACGTCGCTATGAGGTTTATTTTTGAGATCTGACGAACGGTGATGGTATCGCGAACGTGAATTGTGTGACTGTGTTGTCTCATGAACGGCCGATGAAGAATGCTGTGTTCACTCCGAAAAGTCCCTCACGTGCCGAGATCTGAGATGAGAGTTACATTGGAATACCTGTGCACTTGTACAGCATCTCACAGATGTTCGGGTTTTCACCTCTGGCATAGTTTCTGCGCATCATCTGGAACATAATGAGGCAGATCCAGAATGCAATCTCCTGGCCTGGAACTCAAGCTTCGTATAGGCCAATACTGACTTATAAGTACCATAAAGGCAATCCTAGCTATCGTTTCTCTATCTTCTCTCTTTTTTTTTGGAAGTTTCCGCATCTGTATTGTATATTTGTTCCCCCTTTGCAATACTACCAATTATGGAAGGTTCTCTCCCCTATGAATCCACCCAAGTGCCGAGCACCGATACTAGTCCAACTAGTCCAAAAGCAGTCCACTTCTCGACTCCAGCCATCATTCACAAACAGCAGGAAGAGAAAGAACTCCCGAAGCTGAACTTTCCCCGGAACATCATCTCTGGCTTCAAAATCAAACGTGCCAAGTCTCCAAAGAATAACAGGATAGCATTACCAAGACAACTTCCAGAACGCAAACCACTCAAGACTTTGACCATTTCAGACTTGTCTTTCTCACCAATGGATGCGAGCATCGAGGCTCAGCCCTACAGATGGCCTCATAATGGAGGTTTTAGTCCCGAGACTACTGCTCTAGTCATTATTGACATGCAGAAAGACTGTAAGTCAACAAAGTTCATGATCTTCATTCACAGACAATCGTCATCCCACTTTCGGATATTGAGTTTACTTCTGCTGTATTCATCCACCAACGGGTCCCAAAGATAGTCTTCTGAGCTCGCTCGTTTCTGTACAACGCCCTCCCAAACTCGTCATTGTTGACCTTGATTTTCCCTATTCATCAAATCCTCGATACTAACAAAGTCCCAGTCTGCTCCGTCGACGGCTACCTCGTCCACCAAGGATACGACATCACCCCCGTTCAATCCATCATCCCCACCCTGCAAGGCCTCCTAACCGCCTTCCGCTCCCACGGCTTCCCAATCTACCACACCCGCGAAGGCCACCGCCCCAACCTCTCCACCCTCTCCTCACGTGAGCTCCTCCGCAGCAAAAACAACCCCTCAGGTCTCGGCATCGGCGACGTCGGCCCCCTCGGTCGCCTGCTCGTCCGCGGAGAACCAGGTCACGATATCATACCAGAACTGTACCCCATCGACGGCGAAAACGTTATCGACAAACCGGGTCGAAGTGCTTTTCAACATACCGAGTTTAAGTTGATGCTCAATATTAAGGGAATCAAGAATTTGGTGCTGTGTGGAGTTACGACGGATGTTTGTGTGCATAGCACGATGAGGGAGGCGAATGATAATGGATTCGATTGTCTGCTGGTGGAAAATGCTACGGCGGCGAGCGAGCAGCATCTTCATGATGGTGCGGTTGCGAGTGTTAAGGCCGAGGGTGGGATTTTTGGGGCGGTGACGACGGTGGATAAGATTATGCTGGCGTTGGGAGTTGGGGAGATTCCGTCGAGGTCTCAGAATGGTCATGCTCGCTGAGATTGTTGAATGAATGGTGGAAGTGGTATTTTGGCGGTTCTTGCCTTTGATGTTTTTTTTGTGTTTTGGCAAAATGATATCCCCTTTGTACACGCATTGTTAATTTTTTCTGCAATTCAATAACTTGCCTTGTATCATCCACCTTCTTTCTCGTTCGATCCTCCAGCTTCCCCACACTCGCAGCATCTATTCTCAACCTTCATTTTCTCCCCGTCACCTTTTCCCCCACATTTCCGCCTTGCAAGCTCTCTCCTCGCCTCCCACCTCTGCACACAAAGCAAGATCTTCAGTACTCCCAAAATGATAACTAACCAGAGACTCCATTGACTTGATTCCTGGCATTCATCGTTAACAACCAGTAAGTAGCAAGAAAAGGCGAGCTAGGGTCGGTCTTACAGCTGGTGTGGGCTTGCCAGGGTCAGGGTCGAGGATGGGATGTTGCGCTGGTGGCATGTTTGTGTTTTGAAGTTTTCGGAAAGAATGTTTCTTCAGTATGGGGGCAATGAATTGTGAGGATTGAAGATTGAGAACTCATGAGGATTGAGGATTAGATATACTCATAAGGTAAGTAATTGTGGGAGACGGCGGGACGCGGGATCTAAGAACTCGGTACCGGGAATCCAGATTGCGGGAGCGGGAGCGGGAGCTAGGAGACTTTTCTCCATCGGCACTCTTCGTTGCCTGGTGAAGGGTTCGAGGACGATGGACGTCTTTGAGAAGTGTAGACATGAGATGAGAGTTCGTGAGTGATGCGGGTGTTCGGTAACCGAGTTTCGGGTGAGATGCACTTCAGAGGAAAGTAAAGAACGGGGGGGGGGTTTTTTTAACGGAGAGTTAAAGGAAAGAGTTCTGAGAGAGGAGATGAAAAGGGGTTCATGGAGTACAAGTTTGAGGTGTGTTGGATTCGAGTACTAATTTTACTTGGGGCCGAACTGCGGGCAGAAATGTGAAATTCATTCGCTTTTTCTGGAGAGGATAGGAACGGGCTGTGGAGAGGTACCACTCACGTCCTGGATGTCAAGATGACCCCAACATCGATGCTGTGACTGGCACTTTTTAGAGCCGAAGATAAATCAACTTTGATCTTTAAGATAAACAAAGCAGCGAGAACCAAAAAAGCTCAATTCCATCTCAGAAGTCGGAGAACGAGCATTTCCACTCTTCCATATCTTAGCCGCTCTACTCTGCACCCAGCTGTGTTCCCTCCCCTCTCCTTCCGTCACCCCATTTTCACCCTCTCTCCTTTTCTACTCACGCCTCCTATTCCGTCCTTTGATCTTCCGATCCCCTTCTCTTCCGCTTTCTTAAGGAAATATTGGTCCCATGCACTTTCTATGCCACAGTGGGTGGTGGAGAGTGAGGCTGAGAGGAGGCTTCGCGGCGTTTTTCTGCATGAAGTTCTTCCTCTCCTTTGACTTCCTCGGCTTACTTTGCCTTGACATCCCTTCTCTCCTTCTGCCCCCTTTTCCTTCCGTTATATTTGGTAGTATCACCGTTTGCGAGAGAAGAAATAAAAGATCTCACCTATGTGGAGACAGTGTGATTTTCCTTGTAAGGCCCAATAATGGATGGGTTATTTTAATGCAAGGAGGAAGGAAGCTAGAGGCTGGAGTGCGATTTAAGCGGATTTGGTGCATTAAAGAATACAGCCAGTGCGGAGATGAGGAAGCGGTTAGTTTCCACATTTCGCTTGATACGGTAAAAGAAGATGGAATGGTCAGAGTAGGTGTATCGGATTTTGCAAGCACATATGAATGGTCGAAAACATCATTGATTCCGAAGTATCAAGAAGTCAGGAGATAAGCTGCAACCGGTCGACGTGCACTGAGCGAAAGGAAGCTCGGCTCTGAACATTATTTCTCAAGACATATTTATGGGTCGTAGCTGTAGGCACATTTGCAGTTGTTGAAATACAACAGCGAAACATACCTTCTCAAACCCCTGAATGAAATTCTCTTCGTGGTGATACTAGAAAATCGTGATTCAGAGCTGGTCGCTGTGGGCTCATTGGCTACTTGGATGCCTGACTGAGAGATGAGATGACATTCATCTGGAATCGGGTACATTGAACTTGAAGTACGTTGGGAGATTTATGGGAAGCACTGCGAAGTATAAATAATCGAGTATGGGGAGCATCTAGGATTCTGGTAGTTAATCGATTTTTTCTTGACGAGTCCATTGTTTTTCCGATACCTGGTGAATGTGCAATAAGAACAATATAATGTACCCGATGGAAAGTGTGTATTTAAATTCTCGCAATTTCCATGGGCTGAAATCAACTTGTTGCATGATGACTTTCTCGTGCAGTGGATCTCAGCCCTATGAAGAACGGCAACGCGCGCTGTGAAGTCAAGTCTGGTATGCCCACAAGCCTCCAGCCTGCCAGACAGCCTACAAGTTACAGGACACATCTGATCAGCTCAAGGATTCTCCGATCGAACCAAATCGGTAAATACAATGTACAGAGTATGAGTATAAGTTTCAGGTAGGTCATAGGGGATTCGGAATATGACTTCCAGTCGAGACGGTAACTTGTATTCATGCTTGTATTAATATCGGGTTCTGCAGCGGCAGATAAAGACCTGAAGAGTTTGAGCACCGCCCAAGAAGTTGATGCTTCGAGAAGCAGGTTTTCCTTCTATTGATGACAAGGAGATATTGACATCGCTGTTGACTCTGGGTTCAAACTATGCATTGGACAATTGAAGCGTCCCGTTTCTGATGTCCGTATCTTGATAGAAGATACCATGGTACTGAATGGAAAACGAATAACAGACACATAGTTCTCATTGACAAGACGATGAAGTAGGAGAACAAGATGGACAAGATGAAAATAAATCTGTCAGATGCAAATGAGGGGTAGTCTACTCACTCATTGCTAATAGTAAGATATCAAAAGTACCGATATCGGCTTGGTGAAAGCCACTGGCGTTTCTTATCTGTTGGAATGAAGGCCTGGAGCACTTGCTGTCAGAACCAAAAATGTAAGAAGAGCAAGGTTTGTTTTTTCTCAGTGATAACGGGAATCAACGTCCAAAGAATCCGCAAGCCATGATGATGCACCGCATGTGCCGAGACCCCTTTTCGCTGACCGAAGCGTCAGCCAACAGCTTATATCGACGGAAGGACGATGGACGTCCGAAATTGGAGAATAATTTTGGGTAATAGATGAGTGATAAATGAATTCGCGCAAAACCGGACGCAGATAAAATTGGCAAGAAAAAAGTTTTCAGAGTGGTTGAGGGACTTTCATATGGACCTCGCTTGCCCCCTCGGCACGATCCCAAGAATTTGGATGTGGGGGAGGAGCCGTGACGGGAACCACAATATTATTAGCTGCTGAAGATGAGGGCTGATATCTTCTCGGACTTCTGAACAAAACAAACTTCGTCTAATCATGCAGAGTCCCAAGATCGAACATCTGATGCAGGTGAAAAAGTGGGCAAAACCGGGTAGATAGGGTCGCGGAAGAAGATCATACTCGCTTCATTCTTCGTCCCAAAGCTTAAGACCAACTCTGGGTGAACAGCATCGAGCATGTGTCAGATTGATGGAAAGGCCAGTGGCAAAGAAGCTTATCGGATCTGAACTATTTCCCCACAGCCGTCACACACCCTGTTCGTCCGCAGGCTAGAACGAGAGATGTGCAAGGAACGGATCGAGTTGAGATGGTGAAGTGCTGAAGCTTTAACTTGGCGAGTGGATCCGTACTGTATCAGGATGTCTGGGCTATTCGCCTCCCGCCCAATCTAGCCCTCCACGTAATACCCTGGGACGTAGGGTTACTCTGAAGCTGGAAGAAGAACTAGGAAGTCTGGCGGCAGGACGGTTTGAGACCCTTCAGACCATTGCTTTTGACGTGGGAGGATGGTGTACAGTATGATCTGCGTGATTTTGATGTTCTCTTCATCCCTCATAGGCAGCGGCACCTTGTCCGTTCATGTTTCGCTGCCAACTCTAGGTAGGTAGCGGTGCTCGCCAAAGGGCCATCAGCCATCAGCCATCAGCATGGACATCAAAAAAAGAACGATTGCGGTAATTGGAGATGCAGGACCTCCAGAAGATTCGGGAGATATCGGATTGCTCAGAGATGGCTGGGATCTGGCTTGCATGGCTATTGGACGTCTCGACATGCCTGTCCTAAGGTGAGACGTCTTCGCCTTGCACTGACAGGCCTCGTCGTCCGAAGAACGCGAGAAGCATCACACCCAGCACCAGCACCAGCGCCCGTTCGATGCTTCCACGTTCACTCCACACTCACTGCACACTGCTCACCACGCTCGCTCAATTTGCGGACGGACAGAAAGAGGAGTCTCGGTGCCAGATATCCTGTGCTCACAGGCTCAACAGGAAGAAGGAAGGCAGGCAGTGGAATGGAGAACGGAATCCTCCATCCTACGAATAATACGGCGGGTTCGGCGATCAACGAGCAAACACCACGGAACATGATGGTCCAAACTCAAAAAGTTCAACAGATGTGATCCCATTCTCCGTTGCTCTCACCCAATCTCACTCTCGCAGGCCGTCGCCGTCACCCTACAGATCACCTTCTTGCCGCGCGCTCACTGCTGCGAATTGTGCTGAGCACCTCCACTGTCGCCGTCCACGATAGTCAATACAGTATCACACACGATCACCCACTGTCGCCCACGCTGATATGTCAGATATTGAGCCTCGACTCTCCCCCCTGAATCCCTTTCAGGCTCGTTCCCAGGCCCAACAGTCCCAGGCCCGGCGGCGCTGGTCATCCTTGCTCCCCCCCCCCCCCCAAAGTGCGGCAGGACAGGGTCCCAGCTGAGGCGGCCCGTTACCGGCACCGACACTGAGAGCCCCGATTGAAATATAGTGACTCCTGATAGGGCACATCTCCCTGGTAGTCCCTCGGAATCCCCCAAAATGCACCGAAACCTCAACGAAACAAGACATGGCTTGTGTCACAATGAGGATTTTCCTCCATCGGGCAGAACCCGAATTATCCCTCGTTGCAAGCATGGCAAGCCTGTAAAGCGCAAGTGCCAGAATAATTCAGTCAATTAAAGATGTTTCCACAAAAAAGTCCCTCTCCCAATGCTGACCCATATCATGGTTGCCGTGCCCCCAGATTCTTCTTCTAATGTACTTCCCCCCCAATCGTTATTCTAAAAAGAATTTCTCACTGCCACCAATGGCTTCATATAACAACTATAGCTCTGCAAGTTCTGATCTATCTACTCCCAGATCTACTTCTCCTTCTTCTGTTGTTAGCCGTAACTCCAGCACTACTACTATCAGCAAGCGAATGTCTCTGTCAGGGAGACGTATATCTGGATTCAACCCCATGGCTGCCGTCGACGTCGAACAGGTTGAAGCTGCCATGAAGATGGCTGCTCTTGATTCATTCAAGGGCTATGCTCAGAACAACTACGGCACCGTGAACCAATACCGATCAACAGACTATGTTTCCAAGAACAATGCTGGAGGCTACCAAGTCCTCCGGGAACCTGCGTGGAACAAAGGTATATCCTCATCTATGTTCCTGTCCAATAAGTTTGAAGCTGGTTCTAATAGATTTGGCAGGTACTTCCTTTAGCCCTGAAGAAAGAGTATCCAAAAACCTCTCTGGGCTCATACCTCATGTCCTAGAGAGCTTGGAGACCCAATGTCAACGGGCCATGCGCATGATCAACAGTCGAGGAACCAACGTCGACAAATATCTCTATCTCTCCTCCCTCAAACAAAACAACACCGATCTCTTCTACCGTCTCCTGATCGACAACGTCCAACAGCTCATGCCACTCGTCTACACCCCCACGATCGGTGATGTCTGCCTCCAATACTCAACTCTCTACACCCACCCCGAAGCTCTCTACATCTCCATCAAGCAACGAAAGTCGATTGCCACCATTCTGAGGAATTGGCCGTACCCAGATCCATCAATTTGTGTCGTGACAGACGGATCCCGTATCCTTGGTTTGGGTGATCTCGGCGTAAATGGCGTTGGTATCTCGGTGAGTGGGGGTCTCCTTGCATATGCATCTCATGATTTCTCCTTGTCTCCCCAGCCATGCAGCCTCATTGCGGGTCCACAAAACATCCACTAACAGACTCTAGATCGGGAAACTCGCGCTCTACACAGGAGCAGCAGGTATTCACCCCGAAAAGACGCTGCCCATCGTTCTCGACTGCGGAACCGCAAATGAGGGCAACCTCCGAGATCCCCTGTATCTCGGTCTGAGACAGAAGAGAGTCACTCCAGAAGTGGCGTTGGAGTTCATGGACGAGTTCATGGCTGCTGTCAAGGAAGTGTATCCCAACATGCTGGTCCAATTCGAGGATTTCGAGACCGAGAAGGCTTTCCAGTACTTGGAGAGGTACAAGCATGAAAAGATGTTCAACGATGACATCCAAGGTACTGGTGCCGTCGTTCTCGCTGGGTAAGATTCTCAACACTCCCTTTACCTAATTGTATACTAACATATATATACAGTTACATGGGAGCAGTAAACCTCTCCGGCGTCCCAATCGAGGACCAACGCCTCGTCTTCATGGGAGCCGGTTCCGCGGGTGTCGGAGTCGCCAAGCAAGTCATGGAATTCTACACCAAACGCGGCCTCAGTGAACAAGCCGCCCGCGACAAATTCTACCTCGTCGACACCAAAGGTCTCGTGACCAAGGACCGCGGTGACCGTCTCGCCGAACACAAGAAGATCTTTGCCCGAACAGACAACAACGGTCATCAATTCTCGACCCTCGAAGCCGTTATCGAGTACGTGAAGCCAACCGCTTTGATTGGTCTCACTGCCACTTTCGGCGTCTTTACCGAGAGCGTGGTGCGAGCTCTGAAAGTGAGCGTCGATGCCGGCGGATTGGGACGACGACCGATCCTCTTCCCATTGTCGAATCCTTTGACGAAAGCGGAATGTACGTTCGAGCAAGCCATTACCTGGACCGAAGGGACCGCCATCTTCGCCTCCGGCTCGCCCTTCTCGCCATTCACGACCAAGAGCGGTGATATGATCCAGACATACTATCCCAACCAAGGAAACAACGTGTAAGTTTACCTTACCTTCCCCTCCCCCTCTCCTCTTCTCTCTGATATGATACTAACGGTGTTGTTTGCAGCTACGTATTCCCCGGTCTCGGCCTAGGCGCTATCCTCGCCAAAGCCAGCCGAGTGACAGACAGCATGGTGTACACCTCGGCCGCAGCGCTCGCCGGCTGCCTCAACAGCGAGGAAATCCGCATGGGGCTCATCTACCCGAAGATCGAGCGCGTGCGCGACGCCTCGGTCGTCGTCGCGAGAGAGGTCATGAAGACTGCCCGCCGCGAAGGCGTCTCTGAACTCCCTGAGGAAACGTGGGTTGAGTGGGAGGAGTGGGGTGATGTGGCTCTGACGAGCTGGATTAAGAAGCAGGTTTATGACCCCAAGTGGTAGAGTGACTGCGTGTGTAATACTTTGTCTTGGATATGAATAGGGAAAATTGATATGGGATGGGATGGGATGGAGTTAGCGATGGGTGTTCCTTTTTCTTGTTTGGCTGAGATTATATTGGGATCTTGCACAAAGAAAAAGATTCTGATGGCTTGAGGGGATAGGTAGATATCCCCTCACACATGCTTACACACATAGTTAGATATATAGTTCTATGGTGGTTGTATAAATGGTAAAAGATTAGATGGGCGATTGATTCGTCTGGGGTTTTCTCACAATCATTCTTGGTTCTGATATCTGGAGTGATTGACTGGTTGTGATGACGAATCTTGAGGCGGTGTTGGAGCTGGTGGCATGGTAGTAAGTTCACGATGTGTTGGCTCTCTGGTGGAGCTAGTTTATTCTCGTACGCTGTCTGCCTTACAGACATAGTCCAGTGACGACTGTTCTGGCTTCTTCAGGTGAGTTTGGAGACTTGAGTTTAGAGCTACATGTTCAGGTTTCTACTTGCATTCTGTTTGAGCGACGGCATGCTGTGCTGAAAAAATCTGTCTGCTTGGATCCAAGCTTTGATTCGAATTAAACCGTAGGAAAATTTCAATCATCAGTTTCGAGAACCCCTTTCCCGCAGTGTCCACTAGGCGAGATTTGATGACAGACTCTTCCGTGCAAGTACGGACCACAAACAACAATCGGGAATAACGGACTTTATGGCACTCCAGCGTGACAGGTCTGAATTACAAAATGAAAGGCAGCCATTATGTACCTTCCCGTGTGCTCCGTGATTTGCACCTAACCTTATTGTAGGCTCCAACATTCGGACTTTTTCGCCGCGAGGCAACTGAATTTTAAAAGTCCGAGCATTGGATGTTACCTAAGAGAGGCAAATGAGTGTCTCGGGATAACCTGACAAACAACTTGGAAAGTTTGACAGGATCTTGGTGCGGTTGATCGATTTGCGGGGTACTGACTTCAGAAGGTTGAGATGGGGGCCAGCACTTGATGGAATTGAGGTCAAAGTCCCCAAACGGCCAGGAACTCCGTTTGGATAATCATCCCGAGAGAGGTACAGTAAAACACACAACAGACTTGTCATACCACCAATCTCATTCGCCAGAAGAGTGTGTCGTCGAGTTGGATATCCCAAAGGGCAAACACGTGATAGCTGAATGAGGGGCGAAGAAATTCCAGGACGGGCCTAGCGTCGGAACACGCGCGTTCAAGGCAACCACATTTCGACCTATCGACAAGCGCTCTGCAGTGCAGTGCAGTGCAGGCAACCACCAAACTGCACCTCGAACCAAATCAGACGAAATGAGCTTCATTCCCTCCTCTGCTCCCTTTCTCCATCTCTAAATCAACCCTCTTTTTTTTGTGTATACATACATAATACGGACCAGAGCTTCAAGAAGAAGAAGAAGAAGAAGATGGAGTCCTTATTCTCGCTTCCACTGCCCTTCCAGAGGCGGCTGACGAAGATGTATACCGATACCAAGTCTTCGTACGATTTTGTCAAGGAGCCGATCAATACGCCGCAAGAAGATCCGGAGCTGCTGTCTCTGCATCGGAAGTTGAGGATTCAGAAGGATAGGTTGGTGAGCTGGGGGTTGGAGTGGAGTGATCCCGAGCAAGTCACGTCACCTGATATCGATGAGTCGATCAACAAAGCTGGGCTCTCGGAGCTGGTTGGCAGTGTGATGGGGACTATTAAAGAGGTGCTGGCTGAGGCGGAACCACTTTGGGCGGCGAGTCGGAGGATTGGGGCGGGTGGTGGAGATGTGGGGGAGAAGGGGGAGAAGAGTAAGAGTGCGTTGATCGTGTGGGATAAGAGTCGATTTCAGGATCTGATAAGAGATTTGACGATGAGTATTGATACTCTTTATGATCTGTCTCGGACTCGGCAATCGGCGAGGAAAGTGACGGAGACGAGGAAGGAAGAGGAGAGTTTGATGGCGGTGCAGAAGAAGGTTATTGAGGAGAGACAGTTTGAGAGTTCGAGGATGCAGACTCCTCAACAGGTTGATCCGAAGAGTATCATTTGGCCGAGAGAGATGAAAACGATGCCCTCTGGTATGTTACCTCCGGCCAAATCCACCAGACAGATCGTCTTCATGAGGAGACCGACGACGTCGCTACAAGATTCGAGGAAGATAGGTACGGGTGGACAATCATTTCCTGCTGTTCCGGTGTTATTGGAGTACGCCCCTTATGATCCTATTTATTCCATTACGGGTATCTCGCCTTCACTTACTCGCTTCGAGAAACTTTTCGCTGCTTTGTCTCAATCTTATATATCAACTGGGAGAATCTTGCTCGGCTTGTTGGGTCTGATTGGGTATTTTGAGGAGCCTGAGCATTCGCAGTTTTGTCTCCTGTACGCCTTACCGACGCACTTTGGACCGATCGATATCGAAAGCCCCAGGATGCCCTCGATTACCATCCTTCGGGATATTCTATACAGCCAGAACTACGAGCCGAGTCTCGAGGTCAAGTATCGATTAGCTTATAACGTGGCCAGTGCCGTTTTCGATCTTCACGCAAAAGGAGTTGTGCATGGGAACGTCGTCGCTTCGAATATTTTATTTATCGAACATCAGCCGCAGAATCGACTCGACCTGAGCCAGGTCAACATGCGGCAATCGTATCTCACCTCTTGCGACCTTTTCTCTGATAACGCTACAGATAGTTCCGATTCTTCGCCAGATCCCTTATCCATGTATAGGCATCCCTTGGATCCTAGGATTACCCGATATACACGCCTCACCTCGGAAAGCAAGTCTTTGGACTTGTACAGCTTAGCCATGCTTCTTCTCGAAATCGGTCTTTGGTCCTCCCTTCACGACATCTTCCCTATGGCTGCGGCTATTCCTGAGAACCCTGCAGCGGTTCTCAAGCAGCTTGCTGCTCGTTGTGGAAGTCTTTACGTCAAAGCCGTGCAAGCATGCTGGGGTGCTCCCAACGATGAGCTGTCTCAAAGAGCAAGACCGGATGTCATGCATCAGAAGGTCTTCTTCAAAGTTTCCAAGGCTCTCGATACCTGCTGCGCTATCGATGAAAGCTCGGACGAGTCGACTGAAGAAAGTGATGATTCTCCTCCTATGCCTTCGACACCTGTGAAGATGTCAAGATCATCAACACCACAGAGGAAACCGGTCAGTGAGAAAGCGACCTTGGCTTTGAATCTAGTCACGAGCTCTTCTACACCGACCGGGTCAAGACCTGCTTGGTCTGAGAAGAGCTCGTATGGGAAACCAGCCAATACTTTTCCAGAGAAGATGGGTTGGTCCGAAAAGCCAGTAGTCAAAGCTGTACCTGGTATGATATACATGCATCACTTTCTAGAATTACACTGATAATTACAGCACCAGTCCCAATACCCGAAAAGGCCAAGTCAAAGCTTCGGACATACCCCTCTATGAAGATCAGCCCCGAGCATCTCGACTTCTGGCAAACGGGTCTCTTACCGCACATTAACCACGTTCTCCGAGGTTTCTACAAGAAATACCCGGAGTCGGTGGAAATCAGTCTTGAAAATATTGGAGAGTCACCTTCCACAGCTAAACCCACCATTCTTGTCATCTGTACTAGTGTTCTTAAAGTCCGCGGTATTTTGAAGAAACACTTGGTGTACGACAAGACAGTCTTTGGACTGAAAGTCTGTCGCGGCAAAGTTGTTCGCTCACGAAAGAACGGGGTCAAACGTTCCATGGCTCATGAGGGCGATGTTCTAAAGGCAGCGAATCCGGGACATCAAGAATGTCCAAGTAATGGGGCATCCATTGGAGCATATGTCGACGAGAAACACCTTCCTCCTGTCTCACTTGGTGGTCTCATCATGGTTGATGACAAGCCTTACGGAATGACTGTTCATCATATGCTTGATGATCCCTCAGACGGAGAGGACGATGAGGTTCTCGACGCAGTTGCACCTATCCTCCGCTCTTCAGCTTATGCAGATATGCCTGATCTCACCTTCTCCGAATCATCAGTATACAGTAGCGGAGATGAAGAATTCATGTACACCATCTCAGATTACGAATCTGATGACGACAACTCTAGCATCCATTCATCACAGTACGATTCTGATGACGAAGATCTTCAATCTCTGTCTCGCTTTGGTGAAGAAGACCAAGATGACGAAGATCAAGAACCAGGAAACATCCCAGGTGTCCCTGCAGGTTGTGGAGAATCATTCTTGGTCACTCAACCAGCCATCGACGACATTCCATCAGATTTCTACCCGGACTCCTCAACTCGAGACGAAGACCATCTCGACTCCTTCCAACTCGGTGAAATTTATGCTTCATCCGGTATCCGTCGTCGAACTGAAAATGGACTCGTGCACGAAGTAGACTGGGCTCTCTTCTCCTACTCCTCTCACCGCCTCCCAGAATCAAACCACATTTCCGGCGGTTCTCGTTTTCTCTCTTCCAACACCAATTCAAATGGCTACCCGCGCAACGTCAAAAGAACAGAAGATCTCTCCAGTACGGCCGTCCACTGCCTAGCCCGCACATCCGGTCTACAGACAGGCCGCATCTCTCAAGCCATGGTATCAGTCAAGATCTTCGGGCGCCAAAGTCCCTCCCTATCCTACCAAGTCGCCTCCCCCAAACAAAAGCTCGGCATCCCAGGTGATTCCGGCGCATGGGTTATCAGCAATGACGGAGAGGTCTGCGGTTGTGTCCTAGCTTGGAGTACAAAGAAGGGAGTTGCATACATCTGCCCCATGGACGTCCTCCTCCGCGACATCGGCGTCACATTAAAAGCCAAGAAAGTGGGCCTACCCGGTGGAGAACTGGTTTACGAGGTCCCTGAAATGAAAATCGAAGAACCTGAACCAAGGAGAGGCAGACAACAAATCGATGTTCTAGATGAAAGCGAGATCACGAAAATGCTGCAAGAACTCAAATTGCCTCCTACGCCCTCGCAGATAGATGAAGATCCTTTCGGGGACGCGAATGCAGAAAGAGATAGGGGGAGAGAGAACCAGAAAGAGGATATGAGTTTCTTGCCTAGCTTCAGAGGCCAGAAGGGGAAGGGGAGAGTAGGTGTTAGTGTAGCAGAAAGGAGTAGCATGATTCCTCAGCGGGTGAGAGAGGGGTTAAGTGTGAGTTCGAGTTGACTATCTGAGTTTGAGAAGGTGATGAGGGTTTGGTGGCGGATGTTTTGAGGATTGAGAGAGGAGAAATTGGATGATTTGAGTAGGATATCAAGGAGTTGAAGACGAAAAGGCTAGGCGTTTTATATACCACATACCATTTATTACTTTTATGATTTAGTCGAATGAAAATTACTTCTACAACATTAGAGGTGTTTGAGTTGAGGAGAAATATCGTCAAACCATGTCCTGGATAAGATCTGGCCAATTCAGCACATGGCAATAACATCGAGCTACAAGTCGGCTTCGTAGCTGGTCCATTTCCCCTGCTCCCTTCGGTCACAAATGCGAGCAAAGGAGAGGAAGCGCCTATTGACTCTGATGGAACAATGAAGAGAGGTGCTAGACTAAAAATACATAATTTGCGAATTTCAAGATAGTAATCGACGAGAATTATTGTGCAATGTGAAGGGGAAAGGGAATGTAGATGGAAAAGTCCCAGAAGTCCATGGTCATTTCCGGGGCTAGCGTTGAGCATGATGCTTGCAAGCGAGTTGCACAAACCACCTACTCTATCTTCACCACTCACTTCTTCTTGGTCTGCCTCTCCGTCATACGCAGTTCGCAATGCATACATGCGTGCATGCTCCAGCCTCAACCATGGCCAGACCGATGCAGCAATTGCGCATACGATACATATCGCCCTTTCAATTGTTGGCCAATTGACCCATGGCTGTCCTCTGTGAGTGCAGGCAGCCATCGTTGCGGCTGTGCAACTGAGGCTTGTGAGACCGGCTGTCGACACGTCAGTGGCTGCCAGTTGTGAGGTGACGATATCCTGCAGAGCGGGCCTTCAATTGTCCCTCAGCGTGGTCTGGACGTTCGATTCTTCTGGTGGGGGAGGCGCATGCATGAAGCTTGACACCGCGGGGGAATCCGAACTGATGCGCAACAGTGGTTCGCATTGGATGTCGACGCCGGATACCAGACTCGGCCAATGATGAGGTGCGAGTTCGATGCATACTCGGTGAAGCCGTAGCCTCACAGCCTGACCGCAAGTGCCTACATCAATTCGCTGCAGAGCTTTGCACAATAGTCATTTGCCCTTACTTCCCACAGTTCATGCAGTCAGCCACTTAACCATGAAAAGCTGGTTCTCTGCTGACCTTTCCTCTGTTTGCCTTGTGAGTCAGTCGGTTTCTAATTAGTGAACTCAAGGTTGCCTGTTTGTGGGGTTGATATAAAAGGTCGAGGGACCCCGTCGCAAGGACAACTCTTCTTCATACTCACGACTCCCGCATTCAGCGGAAAGCGGCTCTTCATTCGCAAATCTTTCTCTTCATTGACGCTGTTCTCTTCGCAATTTCGTATATTCTTCCTCTTCTTTATCCTCGCCGTCATGAATTCAACTTGCGCAACACATTACCCGTCCGGGTTGGGGAGTGGTCCCATAGTATCCGACTTCCCTGATCCAGCAAAAATGAATCCTCAAACTGCGCTTCTCGAAGTCTTCTTCCCTGGATTCGGTATCTTTTCATCTACTGTTTCTCGATATCTGAAAATCGACCTTACACTCTACATTCCCGCCCTAATAGTACTCGGGCTCATCGTCTTCGCTTCTCAACACATCAACACATGGATCTGGGAGTTCGCCGACCAGCATCTGATGTCAACAGCAGACATACGCATTGACGACGAAATGTATAATATGGTAATGGCATGGATCTCGAACCAGAAGTTTGCCAAACGCTCTCGTCGATTTGTCGCCAACACCAACCTCAACTCGAGAATGTGGTTCCTATGGCGCGAATTCAACGAGGACGATGACAGGGACGAAGTCGGGGTCGAGTTTGACGAGAACGGAATGGCAATCGCCAGTGCTGGCAAGAAGAAGAACAAGAAAGTTCGATTCACGCCTTCCTTCGGCACGCATTACTTCTGGTACAAAGGACAACTTTTGATATTCCGCCGTACGCAAGATCAGAGGCAGCAGTCCTGGGGTCCGGTTAGCGAGCGAGAAGAGATCTCAGTACAATGCTTTGGCAGAAATCCAACGATCCTCAAAGATCTCCTCGATGATTGTCGAGTCGAGTTCCAGAAAAGCGACGAGAATCGAACTATCATCTACCGTGGCGGTCTTAAGAGTGGTACTGCTGAGCCAGCTTGGACTCGCTGCGTCTCGAGAGTTTCACGTCCTTTCTCAACCGTCGTCCTGGACGAATCGGTCAAGCAGAGTCTCCTTGATGATATGAGAGATTATCTTCATCCTATGACTAGAAGGTGGTATTCCAACCGCGGAATCCCGTACCGCAGAGGTTATCTCCTCTACGGCCCACCAGGAACAGGAAAGAGTTCTCTGTCTTTCGCCATCGCCGGCTACTTCAAACTGAAAATCTACATCGTTTCCCTCAACTCCCCCGCAATGAACGAAGAGAACCTCGGAACCCTATTCTCAGAACTCCCCAAGCAATGCGTCGTCCTACTCGAAGACATCGACACCGCAGGACTAACCCACACCCGAGACAATAACTCCTCCGCCCCCGAAGAAGAAGCCAAACCACTCGTAACCACCCTCCCCGGAACCACAGTGATCAACCCCGCGGCCCCACCCACAAACAACAACACTTCAGGCCGTATCTCGCTCTCGGCACTCCTCAACATCCTCGACGGCGTGGCCTCGCAAGAAGGCCGCGTCCTGATCATGACCACCAACCACATCGACAAGCTGGACGAAGCGCTCATCCGCCCCGGCCGCGTCGACATGCAAGTGAAATTCGACCTCGCCAACACCGTCATGATAACGACCATCTTCCGCTCCATCTTCGCCACGCTGGAAGGCGACATGCCCGCCTCTCGCAACATCGTCATCCGGTCCCCTTCCTCCACAAAAGCACCCTCAAAATCACCCTCAGCCGAAGAAACACTCGCCACGAAACTCGCCGCCGAGAAAAAAGCCCTGGACGAGAAACTTGCAAAGGAGAAAGAAGAAGAGCGGATCAAGGCGCTAGGCGAGGATTTCGCGGCCGTGATTCCCACGATGACGTTCAGCCCCGCGGAGATCCAGGGGTATCTGTTGAAGCACAAACGGCATCCGGATACGGCGGTCGCGGAGGCGGCGGCGTGGGTGGAGAAGATGAAGATTGAGAAGAAGAAGAAGGCGAAGGAGGAGGAGGAGGAGGAGAAGGCGAAGAAGGAGGGGAAGGGGGGTGAGTTGGATGAGGAGACGAGGAGGATTGTTGATGAGGCTCTGAGTGCTTGTTTGTGAATACGTAGCAGATTGGAGATTAGATTTTGGATGCTATTATCTGTTTGGGCTCTGCCGAAAAATTTGGGATAGCCCGGGCGGGGAGATGTATGATTATGAAGATATGATGTTCTATTAGATACCCAGTTTTGCTATTTCATATGCACATCTCTATACCGAAATTCCTTTATAGAATTCATAAAACATTGCTTGTCTATCTTAACTTTAGAAATCTTTGGAATGACCGGTGATTTCCCTTCGCTTCACAATTTGGCTGTGTAGAAGGACGCTTTCAAGTCCTTGCAAAGACGAAGTTTCACGATCACAGAACTCTCAATTTAGGATAGACCCTTCCATTTTGATAAGTCTATCTAGAGCCATGCCAGGTCAAACCAATAACAATAACACAATGATGAATTGAGAAAAGGTCGAGACCTTCATTCTTAGAAACAGGATTGACAGAGCAACCCTGAAGAGTAGTCATCCAGCTTGACCGAGCGGACCAGAATACCGTAGAAAGGGAACAATGAAATAAGTATAGCGTTAACCGAAAAGTACGACCACGAGTCGGACAACGACGATCCATCGGCTATGCACCATCTCCTGAAGCAAGGAAGCAAAGGAAACTGTACTATGAATGAATTAGCCCGATTCCCGTCTCATCACAATTTCAACTTACATTGTGCCAACCAGATGACCGCAACCACGCATACCTGTACCGACGTCTTATGAACCGTGACACTCGGTGTCAGGAAGCATTTAGTCAGAATCATCACAGCCGCAACCAGCTCGGCGACGATCAGTCATTTCGACATCTCGAGCTGGGTGTGCATAAGGAGGAACACAATGGAAATTATCGCAACCGTAATTATTCCCACCACGTGCAGACAATGATGCAGTCGGGGCAGCGACCGGAGGAGTGGACCATCCTGGAGGCGGTGGAAGGCACAGAGAGACATGGACGGGCAAATTATCGGACTTGTCGTACGTGAAGACGCATTCCATGTCGTCGCAACATGGCACATCCACGTTAATATGAGTGCTTCCACCGCAGGGACCTAGTAGATGAATATCAGTCATCTGGTGGGAAGATGAAAAGTAGAGATGATTTTGAGCCTTACTGTCACGCTTGAGGCAGGTTTCGTGATAACCTGAAGTTGGTTCTGGAAATGCTGCACCAGAGACCAAGGCAATGACCGCAGCGAGCAGGGTGATCGAGGAGATAAATCCGTGCATTTTGATCGTTCGGCAAGGTTTGGATGAATGAGAAGTGATAACAGTGGTGGAATAGTTTTGGTAATCCTGCTAAGAGCAATGTTGATGTGATGCAAAAGTGTTGTAAGAGGAAAGGAAGATAATGAGAGGGAAGATCACTTCATACTCACTAGTTTGCTTTTATGAAGGAAAGGGCATTGGAAGAGACAAATTCGGTAGGTATGCACCGGCTGAGGATGAGAGTGTGAGGTCGAGTTGCGACTTCCCTTGGGGAGAACCACCTGAATTTGGAAGGTGCAATGACTGTCGCTATATCGAACCATGCGTCGTTATGTACGGAGTAGTGTTGTAGTACTACAAGAACATGGGGACCATCTCAAAATGCCAGACTAGCAGCATTGATAGACAGAGAATGAAAGATTTATTCTAGTCCATACGTAAACACTTACAATCCATAAACTAACCCCTTGCTATTTATAAAAGGCAGGGTGTTTATGTATAGCACTCTTAGTTCATCAACTAGCCCTGCCATTTGTAAACAGTTAGACTATATCGAGCTAGCCATAGCTAAACAGCGCCATTGATAAATAGCCCGGAAACAAGGCTCTGACCTCAGCACCTCAGCACCTCAGCACAGCAACAATGCACACCCTTATTGTACTACTATACTTATTGAAGCAATACAGGATTTTAGGGCCACCAGGAAGTAGCAGAGGTGTAAAAGTGCAGCTGTGTAGCGGTGCGGGAGTCTTGGACTCAGGTGCTGAGGTGCAGAGGTGCTAAAGTGGAATAGGGTCTTAAAGTACCCAAAGTGTTAGTGATATTAAAAGTAAGGCATTATTTCCAGACTGTTTATTAGTGGCGCTGTTTAGCTATGGCTAGCTCGATATGCTCTAATTGTTTATAAATGGCAGGGCTAGTTGATGAACCAAGGGTACTATATATACCTTGCTATTCATAAATGGCACATGCGATTCGTAAATGGCGGGGGTCCTGCATAAACGGCAACTGTTTACCTTTGGATTAGAACAGATTGTAGAAATAACTACATAGGAAATCCCCTTCTCCCAGTCCGACTCAATTTTTACCATTTCATTCAATAACGGAAGGATGCCATGTGCAGTTTAATTGAATGAACTTAATCTAGGGTATCTCAGAACTTTCAGGAAAGCTAACGCAAGAACTACAAAAAAAATAACTTCCAGGCCACCCAAGTTGATCTTGTCCAAAGCTCCTCCTCGTCATTCCCACCACATATCGATGTCCATACTCTCACCTCCCACCTAGCCCTCGAATGCTGCGACTCCCTTTTGTTCCCCTCCTCCAAGATAGATTCCCCGAAAAAGCCTCTCTAGCTACCTAGGTAGTCAAGCAACAGATAGAATAGGAAATGTGTACAATGATACAGGTTGCGACAATGCGCAGAAAAGACTAACAAATAACAAATAACAAATGAAATACGATCCATGTGCTGCAGCAGAGTTCATACGTCCACGTTGAAGCCCACCTAGATTAATAGCTGATTGGGTACTAAACAAGGCTTCTTCGCCACCAGCATGTCAATCCAGTCAGTTGACTCCTGCTATGACCTGCTTATCGAGATCTCTTCCGGAGAAATCTCTACTCTCATTGTCGTCGAAGAATCGGGTCATTATCTCGTTGGGTCCTCCTTGGCGGGAGTTAAGGGTGTTGGGACTAGGAGTGTGCATTGCGGATGTGTCGATTACAGTTGTCTTTCCTGAGGAAACCTTCGACGGCATAACGGCAGCCGTGAGTTGGACATAGGAATCTCCTCGGGGGAACCGGAAACTGTGGCCGATGACAGGCGATCCTGTGACGGTCGAGGTCTTTTCGAAGTGCGAATCCTTTGGTATGATATTCACAGAAGGAGAATTCGCATTTGTGAGGTCGGACATGTCGTTTTCGGTGTTTGCTAGGGTTCATTAGTCTAGGTCACTCAGTTGATGTGGGGACTGACTTGAGTAAATGGACACGAGAGAAGGGCATTCCGCAAGTTGCACAGATATGATGGTTTTTAGGTGATGCTTCTTCTGCTGCAGGTGAAAGTACGCCGAGTCCTGGGACATGGACCTGAGGTAATGGAAGATCATCTCGAGAGGACACTTTGAGTCCTGAAACATGGACTTGGAGTGATGGTAGATGATCCTGTGAGAGAACATCAAGTCCTGGGACTTCCACTTGATGTAGTGAAAGATTCTCCTGTGAAAGTACCTCGCATCCCGGGACAATTACTTGAGGTAATGGCGGACTATCCTGTGAAAGTCCGTTGAGTTCCGGGACATTAAAGTGTGGGTCTGGTGAAGTATCTGTAGCGCAAGAGGAGTCTGGTGATTTTGTCGATTGAGCAGAAGAGGCGGAGGTTGAAGTTGCCAAGGATGTACTAGGTGAAGGCTGAAAGGCGAGACTGTCTTCAGAGATAAAAGAGACAAGGTTTCGGGTTGGTGAATGAACGTGTGCTTCATTCAATGGAGAGCAAGCAGGGTCGAGGCAGAAATGCCGTTTAACGGCGACATTGGGCTTCGGCTTCAACTCGAGTTGCGAGAGACTGACATACTCGAGCGGTGGGTTACTTTGATCTAAACTATAGTCATGGTTCGGTAGCGCACTCGGGATTGTTGATGCGCGAAGACTGTTTGTCTTCGCGCGGGTCCGCCGCCTGTTGTAATTCTAGGTAAGGCCTGCTCAGACGCACCCGATGAGGGTGGCAGGCAGGATGAGTCTTCAAAGGTGGAGAATATGGTGTTGGATGAAATTTGAGACTCTAATATGGGGCTTTTAATAAAAATTCAAGGTGAGAGGCATACCATGGTTCCTTTCTTCCATTTCATTTGAGCACTTGGACGCATAGCCACCTGCATGCGCTGTGAGTATTGCATGGTACGAGAGCCAATCAATCTGGAAAGTATGCCTCAGGTAATCGAATTGAGCTATGTGAATGGCAAACTAATGCATGCAAGTCAGCCGCCCTCTACACTGTATACACGGGGAATTGGGAACAAGTGAGCTTTGCCTCACCTTATCACCCTGCGCTTGTAGCTTTCAGAATCTAGAATTCAGATCCCCACCCACCACATTGTCCCGCCTTGCCCATGGACATTACGCACGCTACGCACGCTACGCACGCTACGCCACTTCGCAATTCATTAATTAATATTTGCTTGCAAACACCTACACGAAAGCACGGCACCAAAGTAATCGATTCGTAAAGCATTTATACGTACAAGAGGGGATATCGCCAAAAGTCGCAATCAAAATTCAACCACCCGCTAGCAAGCAAATGAACAAAAAGAAAAGAACCTTCATGGAAGCGTTCGGGCTTGCAAATGAGGATATACATCATACACGTGTGTCTGTTTCGTTTCTTATCTCATCCTCCGAACCTATGTATCTGTCCCTCCTCCATTTTGGGTTTTACACGTCCTCCCCACCCGCGTTGTTAATTATCATTATTTTCATAGTTCGTCATGGGAAGTAACAGAGGAAATTGCGCTGCTAACGCTACTGGCAAAGTTCTCGACGCCCTCGCTCGCTTGCTTCACCGCGTCGCTGGCGCCCTCTCCTGCTGAAGATGCGAATTCAGCAAGCCTAACACGAGCAGACTCCACGGCAGCAGACAGTCTTGATTGTGCGCTCTCGATCGCACCTTGCTCAGGGCCGTATATAGCCTCGCTGGCCCTCGAAACGACTGCAGAGTACTGCTCGCCTACAACTGACACGGCAGTCGCGTAGGCCTCGCCAGCCGCATTTGTCACACTTTCGACGGTGCCAGTAGGTGTGCCCCAGATGGCTTCTGAGATTGCCTGCTGAGCTGATAGAGCAGCATCCGCAATCGAGCTTTGAGCTGCCTCGGCGTATCCTGCGCTGGTTCCGTACACCTTCTCCGAAGCGACGCTTTGCACTGAGCTATAAGCAGAGGCAGCGGCAGATGTGGCTTGTTCGTAGCTGCCCTTCTCAGTGCCATAGAATTGAACACTAGCAGCACTCACTGCTTCATCTACTCGGCTTGATGCAGAGTCAAGGATGGCTTCGATTGTAGGCGGGGGTGTAAATACCGAGCTGACAACAGAGCTCGCGGATGCGTAAGCCTCACTTGCATAGGATGAAGCTGATGAGGCGACTTGTCCAGCTCCGGTGTAGTATGCGGAACTGAAACGGTTATAGACACTTTCCGTAAAGTCAGGCTCCTTGCCTGAGACAAGCTCACCGATAAGCGATTGTACGGCAGCGTACTGGGACATTGCTCCCTCGGTTGCTTGAGCGGCATATTCTCTAGCCTCTGAAAGTAGTCTTCTTGTGACAAAGTATGGAGTAGGTGCGCCGTATATCTGACTGCTTGCTTTGGTGACAAGAAGTTCCCAATTCTCACTGGCAGCAGATGCAACTGATTCGGTCCAAGGTGTTTCACTGCCAATAACAGCGGAAGAAGCAGCAGAAGCCCCCGACTCCAACTTCTGAGAGATCACAGAATTAATACTAGCAAAGGATTGAGAGGCCTGTTCAACGGCGGCATTATAGCGAGACGATGCCACAGCTGCGAGGCTGCTTGTAGGAACAGTATCACCACCTGCATCGCCCCCAATCTTGTGAATAGAAGCAAGAATATCATCATACTGTGCCGACGCAGCTGCCATCGCGCTTGAGAAATGCGCGGACGCAGTGTTTAGTGCGGCTTGGAATTTGTGGGTTGGTGTACCAACGATATTTTCGCTCGCCTTGTTGTAGAGGCTTTGGTGGAATGGCGTTTGGGTTGGCATCACAGCAGAAGATGCTGCTTCTAAGAATTCTGAATATCGAGCATGCGCCTGTTATGCCACATGTTGTTAGCATTCATCCTCATATCCTGGTAACAAGGCTGTAAGATCTAGAGCAGTAGTGAAGTCACGGGATTGAAAGCGATCTGAAAGACAAAAGAGGAAACTATTAAACAAAGAGTTTGACCTTACCATTCCGATTCCTGCATAATACTGGTCCTGCATCTGTCCCAATAATTTTTGCTTTGCTGGAGGAGCAGTATTGACGGCAGCAACGTAGCTTTTTGCACTGTCAAATTGTGCCGAAGCCGCGCTGAGACCTTCGGAAAGTTTGGATTGGGCGACTGCAGATATCGATGCGAGCGCGGCCTGGTACTGGGGAGTGGCTGTTCCGTAAATTGCAGTCGAAGCAGCAGAGAGAGCCGAACCAAGTCGACTGCTAGCTGCATTAACCGAGTCCGAGTATGCTGCTTCAACAGAGCTGAACATCGCTTCATGAACAGGCTTTGGTTCACCAGATATCTGGGCAGACACTACCGATCGAGCGTGGGCGTAGTTCTCACTTGCTTGAGAAAGAGCAGCGTTATAGGCATCTGTCGCTTGTGCAGCCAATGACGCCGTAATGGGCATTGGGGTCCCATAGATAATAGAACTTGCTCTAAATGACTCGTTAGTGAGAAGGACGAGTCGTTTAGGAACCGTACTTACGCAGCAACTGCATCAGCGTATCTGCTCGAGACTACACTAGAGATACTTTCCCCTGATCCTTGCTCAGTACCATAAAGAGCAACACTGGCAGCAGATAGTGCGCTTGAGTATTTTTCTGCGGCTACTTTCGTGACTGGAAATGCTTCGGTGCTGGTGGTACCCACCAATGCCTCGCTAACAGCTTTCGCGATGTCGCTGTACTTATCTCCCGCCTGACTTGCCATATTTTGGAGTTTTTCGCTGAAAGTATCATCGTCAGAATCGTCAATGACATCTTCAAAGATAATTTGTCGAGCCTCAACGTGCTGTGCCATTGCACCGCCCCATACCTTTTGGGAGGCAGCACTGGATGCTCCCGAAACCGCCGAACTGATCGAACTTGAAGCATCAGAGGCGACTTTTGATACAACACCTGGTTCTTCGCCCAAGATAGAAGATGAAGCTTGAGCAGAAAAACTGCTCGCACTTTCACTTGCGACAGAAATGACGCTCTCAACACTGCCTTGTTGCGTTCCTATGATTGAACTGGATGCCTGTTCTGCAAGACTGCTGATACTCGATGATCCAGCAGAGACCAAACTTTCCACAGTTCCTTGTGGAGTGCCAACAATACTGGCAGACACAGATGACGCAACGCTTTGAGCATTGTCTACTTGCGAAGCCGCAACTGAGGAAGCGGCTGATATGCCCTCAACAACTGACTCAGCGATGGACGAGGTGACAGACTCGAGAGTCCCCTGAGATGATGGAGCTACAGCTTCACTAAGCTCACTGACTTTTTCCAGTACTTTTTGGCCTGCCACAACAGCTGCTGCCGGCATTATCTTCGTGCTGAAGTCGTCAGTGGCATCCTTGGCGGATATCTTCCAGCGACCAGTCTCTTTGAGACGTGCTAATTCGGTAGCTGCATCTTCAGCAATTCCCATTGCTTGGCTTTCCACCTCATCAGAAGCAGTACGTGCCTTCCCAAGACCAGGGTGTTCAGTGGCAACCTTCTCGACGTCGTACCGCCATTCGTCGAATTTTGTTTTCAATTGGTGATATTTGGACCAGTCCTTGTGGGTAACACCATCAATCCAAGCCCAACGCATGCCGATCTCCTGCAGGCCAAGGTCGCGAATATGATCCAAGATTTCGAGCGTGTCCATGGCGGCTTTGCTTACAAGAGAGTTAGTCTCTTGATCGTAGCTTTGTCTCCATGTTCGAACAGATTGCGCCTTGGACTTGATAGCGACTCCAGCCTTGCGCACAGCAGCATTCAAGGCATTCTCCGATTCTTCACTGTCGTGGGCGTCCTTGACAATAGAGATGATGTTCCGCTTTAAGGACTCTAGACTAGACTTGATAGTCTCCTCCAGCTCAATAATATGCGCCTTGCCAACCTTCTCAGCTTGATTCTTGACCAATCTCTCTGTAATTTCAGTAATGCGATCTTCAAGATCATCTGATCCTTCATCCGCTGCCTTTGCGAACTTTTCCTGCCATGTTCTTAGATCGTGAGCAACGACTTTCTGAGCCTTTTCTCGAATTTCCTTTTCAGACAGCGGAGTCGAAGCGGGTGATTCTAGGGCATTGGCGGTGCTTGCAGGAGCACTCGTCTGAGGGATAGTTGTCTCGTGGGCCGAGGCGATGGAGGATGAGATGGATGAAAAAGTTTGAGAAGCAGAAGAGGCAGACAAGGAGCTACACAAATGGTCAGTAAAAGTATCAAACGTCGTGTCTATGCACTAACCTATCCACTTCCTCTGCAACGGCTTTAATCTTCTTCCCATCCCGATATCTTCCAAGGCGCTCCCCAATTCTGACGAGCTGGGGCTCCACATTTTCTCCATACAGGATGCGCAACTTAGGCCAGATGGTCCTATCGAGGAACACAACACCGGTAGTCCAAGCCCATTGGGAATAAGGAATCGCCGTATTCACGGCGAAGTCGCTGGCAATGCCATATCCTTGTAACGCGTATGGTTGGACAGCGGTGTAGGTAGGCAAGATGTGTTCGTAATAAGTTTGTAGGGCACTGTTCTTAGCAACATCGTAGTATGGGCTTGTAGTGGTTATAGCTGTGCTGACATGAGGACCAAGTGTCTGATCATATTGGTTTCGGAGTATTGTTTGGTATTTTGAAACCTCTGGTTGAATATTCTTCTCCCATTGAGCTTGACCGAAAGCTTGTGCCTGTGCCACTCGTGGAGAGCCGTACTTCTTGCTTAGAACCACTATGGGAGAAATCACTCTCTTATCGAGCGTCTCATAGTATGGTCGAGCTGCATCAACGTACGGAGCAGCATACGCATCGTAGTAAGGTTCAATATGGGGTGTTATAGCAGACCTTACTTGAAAGTATGGTTTGCATATCTTCGGGGAGGCGTCCGTGAGGTCTACTGTAGCAGGGCATCTGAAAAGTATCGTGATAATCGAGTACCAAGTCAGCAGTCTGATTTTTAGTTAGCTTTGCCACAAATATCCATTATTAACAAGTAATTTTCATACCGAGAAATTGTGCTGAAGACGCTGAAGCTCTGTTGCTTTTTTGCTGGCTTTGATCTGGAAGCTGTGGCATGTCCGTTCATCCCCTTGTGACCAGGCTCAACCAGCCTTCCATTACTGTCTACCGCCATCTTCTACAGCATTCGTATCCAGATCCAGGTCCTCTTAGAAAGTAGGATTCGTGGTGGCAGAGTGAAAATGGCAGGTTTGTCTAAGCTTTGCCGACAAGAAGCTTTGGCTCAAACGTCAAGACTGAGCTCGCAGATCGGATATCGTCTGGAACCGCGACAGAAATAATCCGGTGGGTATTTGTCCTGCAAATTGGACACAGCTACGCGACCAAGGGAGTAGCAAGAGATTCTGCAGTGAATGAAAAGGAGGAAGATGTTGCGGTTATCACAAGCTTGCTTTCTGACAGGCCCGAGCAGGAAAGCGTTAGCGCACATACGGGAGCCAAAACGTCATTGAACATTGGAGAACACCATACCTGGAGAAGTACCAAGACAAACAGGATGGGATGGTCAATAGCCACAGCCAGATCTGATTGATTAGACAATAAAGAACGTAGAGTATCTTTGCATCCAATGGCTCTGATAGTCAGATCCTTCTTATATACTAGGTCTGTGTGTTGCCAGCTTTCATTTTCCGAAGTTCGCGACGAGGATGTTTCATGTCCATCCCATTTGCAGCTTCAAGGATCTCCTGCTACTCTTGACTCTGCCTAAATCCGCCAGCAACAGTTTCACCTCGGACAAGACCTCGAATAATGACACATGAAGCAACCCCACAGACAATGCTGCAGTCAGTGGTGGTCAGGCCAATCGTAGTATATTCCACGTGACTGATTTCGGAATCCGGGCAATAGTTAAGCCAGCCTTCCAAGTTCCACCAGGTGTCAGACCTCTCAGCATCTACCATCTCACAAGAACGCCCTGCAACGAAACACATTTGCCAGCCGAACGACTTCCTTGCGCCGAGCTCTTTGAAACATTCCTTCAACATTCATTTCCATCTCTAAAGATCGATAAAGAAGCCATCTTTTAAAGTGAATCAGCCTAGTCTAACGGGAACCCTCTTGCGCTGAGCGTATCACCAATCCACCTTCAGATGGTTCTACAGCGCCGATAGACGCAAGGCTTTGCCTTTTGGCTCTCCTATCGATCTACCTTTCTTTTCACAAAGTCCCGACTTCGTGGTCGCAAAGTCCAGACAGTACAGCGGCTATGGCAGATCCAGAGTTGGCACCCCCACCATCTTCAGATGGGATATCCGCTCCCGATATCATGAACGACCCACAATATGCGACAAATACAATGGGTGGTGAAGACGGAATGGGAGATGCAGATACTTGTAGGATATGTAGAGGTGAAGGCAGCGATACGGAACCTCTTTTCCACCCGTGCAAATGTAGCGGCAGTATCAAATACGTGCACCAAGACTGCTTGATGGAGTGGCTATCACATTCTCAGAAGAAGCACTGCGAGCTTTGCAAAACCGCTTTTCGATTCACGAAGCTCTACTCTCCCAACATGCCACAGTCACTACCTTTCCATATCCTGCTACGACACGTTGCCATCCATACGGCCAAGAACCTGGCGACTTGGTTGAGATTCTGCTTGGTGGTTACAGTTTGGTTAGGCTTGCTCCCATTCGTTATACGACAGGTATGGCGGCTGTTGTTTTGGTTCAGCGATGGTGGTTGGCCGTCAAATTACATTGCCTACGGTACAACTCGAAATGCTACCTCGAAGGAAGCACTCGAGATGCTTCGAGAATTGCAACAACTTGCCACTATGACAGGAAATGGTACTTCCCCAGTGTCTCCTCTGCAAGCAAGTCAGACATCATCTGCCAGCGTTAGCGGAGTTATGAACAAGCTCACTGGCCTACTTCGACCTGTCTCTCAGACTCTCAATATCACCATCCCGGATCCACTGGCCGCTGGCTTGTTTAAATCTATGCTCTATGGACTTGGATATCAACAGGCTTCAGACAACCCAGTTGACAATGCCACTGTGTCACAGGCTTTTAATAGCCTTACATCACCTTACAGAAGCCCTTCCTTGTTAAGCGAAGTCTCCTTTTTACGGAACTTGACTCGGCATGCCTACGTCAATCAGCTTGTCATCACGGTTGCGGAGGGATATGTGATTACTTTTGTGGTCGTCATATGCTTCATCCTGGTCTTTTTGATCAGAGAATGGGTGGTGCAGCAACAACCAGGGATCAATATGGGAGCTGGTTTCAACGCAGAGTTCGCTGCACCTGAGAGGCCAAGAGATCAGGACGCCCTGCTAGGGCAACAGGAGGTAGCAGCTCACCAAGGTCCCGGTGCGAATCTTTTGGGCAATAGACCAGAGCGAAGAGAAGTTGGTCAGCACCCGAGGGGCCATGGAAGACGCAGACATCTTCACGTAGAAGGTGGAGCGGAGCACCGTCGACGCCACGCAGAAGGAACGCAAACACATGATCAGGAACCTGTGGTTGAGGCAGGAGCCTCGAATCAAAGACCATCTCCGGTTCGAGATGCCTTAGCGCCAGCCGCCGAGATTCAGAGGCAGCTCGAGGAACCTAGAATGACAGAGGAATTTCTTGCTATTTGGAGACGCGCAAAGAGTGACCCAGAGGAGGTTCTGCGTATCATTGAAAGAGAAAATAAGGGCGAGCAGATGCGCTACTGGGTGAACGCGATGATCGTCCTCCGAAGTGCTCCAGAGCCTAGTCCACCGCAAGGGTTCATTCCCGCTCAACCTTCCCAGCCAACGTCGCAGCCGGGAGCACATGCCGGAAGCGTATTCAACCCTGATCATCTTAACTCGAGTGGCAGAGGTGGCTCGATTCTCGTTCAACCCGAGAGTGATAGGAGTAGTGCTAGTTCTGACAGCTGGGTAGACCTTTCTCAGCCTTTAGCTTCCAGAGACACCAACCATCTATCGGCAAATTCCAGACCAGAAGATAGATTAGGCACGTCTAGTCATCCTTTAGATAAAGGGAAAGGGAAGGCTCAAGAGCCAACGTCTCCTGTTTATTCTTCCACTCAGGATTCAGAAGACATGCCCGCATCCTCCCAATTACCCCAAAAAGAGAACTACCCAGATACACATGATCATGGTCACAGAATACAACAACATCCGGTATCTCCAGACAATCCAGATCCATGGTCAATGGTATCCAGCCAAAAACCGTTCGTGGCGTCCCGACCAAGGGCTGTCTCGGACGGTCCAAAGTTGCGAGACACAATTTCACCCTTGGCAAATAACAACTGGACATTTTCGAACTTGCCGGACAACAATCACGATGAGATAACCCAGATCCCTCGGGAAATACAAAATGAAAATCGTCCCATCAATCATCCACAAAGCCCATTAGATCCTGCTGCAAACAACCCGCTTCCACATTCCAGTAGCCAAGTCCAAATAAGGCAAGATTGGAATGGTGTGCCAGAACAACACTTTGTTCCAGAAGCAAATGAGGCGGAACATCCAATAACACGCGCCTCGACGCCGGACTCAGATGCGGAAGGGCCCGTTACAATCATTGGACTCGATGGAATTGAACGAACTCATGCCAATTGGGATGCAGTATTTGCAGCCAATCCAATGCCAGCTGACTCCGATTCTGACAGCGACCCTGAAGATGAAGGGCCACATCCAAATGCTTCCGAATTTGACATGCCTCTTCTTGAACCACGTGAGCCAGTTGTTGTCCGCCAGCCTGAACCTCAGGGAATCCTGGCCAACGTGGCTGACTTTCTTTGGGGTGGTGTTGGTGATGTTCGACCAGATGATCAAGGCGCGAACGACGAACACATAGTCCATGATCTTGCTGCAGAAGCCCCTTTCGTTCCTGTCAACAACGGTCCTTTCGAGGAAGGTGAGGACGGTGGCGAGCAAGATCGTGAGGTTGTTGAGGCTGCGATCGCTGCTGGTATTGACCCCAATGATCAAGACGCTATTGATGATGCAGAAGATTTCGAAGGAATTATGGAGTTAGTAGGGATGCGTGGCCCGATATTCAGTCTTATACAGAATGCCTTATTCAGTGCATTTCTATTAGCACTGACCGTCGCCTTTGGCGCCTGGATACCTTATAACATTGGAAGAGTTTCGCTTCTCCTGTTAGCGAACCCCGGGCCTGCCTTCAAACTCCCGCTAAGGCTTGTCTTTGGTTGCGCTGCCCTTTTGCAAGACCTAGCATTGTCAGTGGCGGGCGTGGTGTCATATTGTCTAATCGCCATCCTCTCCATGCCCATTACCTTCTGGAGTTACCTCACGTCTTCTGCCTCTCCTTCTCTCGCAGTCCAAGGGCTGAGTCTTGGTTCGGCAGCACTGAGTATCTCTCGCGGCGCTCTCGACAGGATCATGGACGGCTTCGTGAACAGCGTTGTTCATATTGCCGATTCTGAGATATTCGCATTCTCTGCTGCTTCGCATGAATCACTCATCACACTGCAGTCATTACTGGTAGATAGCCTTACAGGTCTTGGGAGTCGGGTTCGCTACCTGTTTGTGGGAGACTCTCGCGTGACTGTGAACGGCTGTCTCGTGTTATCCATAGATGCATTCAACTACCTATGGCATTTGGCCAAGGGACTGCCCGAGTTTCTCGCTCGTCCTGATTCATGGGTCATCAGTCTAGAACTTGGGAAAAGAAAGTCACCTCTTGATCTTGAGCTTAGCGTCTGGAGCACTGCTGACCGCTTCTGGGCTACTGTAGCGGGTTATACTGCTATTAGTGTGCTCGGTGCCCTCTATGTCAAAAAAGGGTCACCATTTTCGACTAGACAAATTAGACGGGAATGGGAGGCAACCATCATCGATCTCCTCAACCAAGCGGGCGGCGTCATGAAAGTCATTTTGATCATCAGCATCGAGATGTTAGTTTTTCCCTTATATTGCGGTCTACTACTGGACGCTGCACTCCTACCCCTATTCGAGAACACGACGATTATGTCACGGCTCCTATTCACAATCGAATCGCCACTCACCTCAATCTTTGTACATTGGTTCGTTGGAACTTGTTACATGTTCCACTTTGCTCTTTTCGTTTCTATGTGTCGGAAGATCATGCGGAAGGGGGTTCTTTGTAAGTGCAACCTTGTTTATGTGTAGTAATTTGTAGCTGACCATTCTAGACTTCATTCGCGATCCAGATGATCCGACGTTTCATCCCGTCAGGGACGTGCTAGAACGAAACGTAGCAACACAACTTCGAAAGATTCTGTTCAGCGCCCTTGTTTATGGAGGCTTGGTCGTCATTTGTTTAGGGGGCGTAGTATGGGGGCTTGCATATGCATTTAAAGGCGTCTTACCCATCCATTGGTCCTCTAACGAGCCGGTTCTGGAGTTTCCTATTGATCTTCTATTTTACAACTTCTTGATGCCTTTGGCGGTCAAATTTTTCAAGCCGTCCGACGGCCTCCACGCGATGTACACTTGGTGGTTCCGACAGTGTGCCAGGATGCTCCGACTCACCTGGTTTATGTTTGATGAACGAAAGGAGGACGAGGAAGGCTACCAAGTGAGACGGACGTGGGGTGATATCTTCCGTGGCGCTAAAGGCGACACATTCCTTCGCTACACCCAGGACGATCTCAGTGAACCATTCATTCTTGATCCTGAGCTCAAAGCATACTTCTATCATGACGGTCGATATGTGAGGGCCCCTGCTTCAGATCAGGTTCGGATCCCGAAGAACACGAGTATCTTCCTTGAAGTGGATGAGTTCAACGAGCGTGTGGATGGAAAGTGGGACCGTCCAGATGGTGTTCACGGGAAGCAGTCAAGCTTGTACAAGCATGTCTATATTCCGCCTTGGTTCCGTGTACGAATCTTCCTCTTCATCCTATCGATCTGGCTCTTCGCAGCTTTGACTGGTGTCTCGATCACTGTCGTGCCATTGGTCTTCGGGCGACAAGTTTTTGCCAAAATCATACCTCCTCATGTCCGCAAGAATGATGTATATGCGTTCTCAATAGGAATCTACGTCCTAGGCTCAGCACTGTACGCCTTCGTACACCTTGGGAAATTCTTCACCTATATCAAAGCAGCCTTGACTATCAATGCCAATACGCCAAAGAATGTTCTCCGACAAGTTACGAAAATTTCTCTACGAATCGGTCGGATAGCCTGGACATACACCGCATTCCTATGCATTCTCCCAACGCTTTTTGCATTCCTCGTGGAGTTTTACTTCATTGTACCACTGCACACTTATTTTGCAGCTGAAGAACGCCACGTAGTACACTTCGTACAGAGTTGGACCCTAGGTCTACTTTACCTCAAGCTTACGACGCGGATTATACTTTGGTACGAAGACTCTCGGCCGGCGCAGTCATTGCGAGCCATTATACGAGACGGATATTTGAACCCGAATGCGTGGCTCGCAACACGCAGCTTCATCCTCCCTGTGGGACTCGCACTTTGCTTTGCTCTATCGATGCCTTGGGCTATGGCGCGAGTTACGGTCCTCACAGCACTGAAGAACAACCCAGAGAAGCATATGCTTGCGTATAGGTACGCATATCCGATGTGTCTCTGCCTTTTTTGCATCGGTTTCGCATTTTACATCTTGCTAGGATGGTTGAAAGACTGGAGAATGAAAATTAAAGATGAGGTGTATTTGATTGGAGAGCGACTACATAATTTCGGGGATAGGAAGGCTACCAATGGTGTGAGCATACCTACCTCGAGAAGACTCGAGACTTGATTTGATGGCGAACTTGATATGAGAGGCATGATCGCAATAGAGACGATTGATGCATGATTGCACGTTTGCATCGCGATGGTTGGGTGCTTCGGTTTGGCTGGCGTTTGAGGGATACCATATTGCCTGAGGGCTCATCTTTCTTTCTCCTTTCTGTGTATTGTAAATTATCTCTTCTACCGAGAAACAATATCAGCCACTGGCATATTACCAAGCAGCCTCCCACCCTTTGACAATGATTCGAGCACGGTGACATTGAAAGATGCTTGCTGAAGGGTCTGGCACAACATCTAGTGTTACTTCTTCACCGTGGTGTAGATATGCAAGTTGCAAGATTTGTGGCCTCAATAAGCATACCATTGTCCGAATCTTACTATAGATTGTTCCATACTTAGACTGAAGCTAATCAATCACCTTCAACTTGTAGATTTTGATGTTAGAAATTGGAAAACATACAACACGCGCAACACGCGCGAAAGGCGCAGAATGCGCGAACTGCGCAAAACGTGCAAACCAATGCTGGAGCCTTAGTTTCCTAATGGGCCTGTATTTATTCCAGTACCAGTTCGAGGGGAGAGAGCGGAAACTCCCGTAAAAATAGATTACTACTTTAGGAAACGTTATTCTCAATCCAAATATCAAATATCGAATATCCATAGTGATCCTTTCCCGCTACTAGGCCTACACTGATACATCTGTTCTCATCTTCCACCATAAATTCAGCATTCTCAAGCACCATCTAGAAGTTCGCAACTCTCGCCGTGCTACTCCTTAGCGTTCTTCATCTGTATCAGAGAATGATAACATTAAGATAAGATACGGACCTTATAGATCTGTTTAATGAGTCTATACAAATAGCTGAAGTGAGACTGGAGCCTGCATCTTATTGCCGTTTGACCAGCAGAAGGAGATTTTATGATCGACAGCAATGTCATTTCTACCTCTGACCTCACGGTACGATTCACGCATTCCTCGTGAAGGATCATAACACTAGGACAAATACTCTGATGAAGTAACTGAGACGCAATAAAGAAGACTTGAGCTTGGCTTTTACATGTGTTTCTTCTTGCTCTCATAAACGCTAAGGGTAGCTTCATGGCCACGGGACCAACAATCATAATTTAAGACATAGCAAACAACCCCGAGAGGCTGATGTTAGAGTCAGTCTGATTTTGTGAATCTTATATCAGTAATAATGAGTGAAGATCACGCACAGATGATGACCTGAAAAGAGCAGATGAAAATGAAAATTGACCCAACTTCAATAGAGTAGACTCTGGAGATCTTGTGAAAGAAGATGTAAAGCTGGAGATGTCTTGAAATCAATCATCGCAGTCGCAAAGATAACTCAGGTGATGCATCGATGCTCATCCTGAGACCAAGCATAGCCTTGTCAGCACAAAGCAAAGATTGCAGATCCTTGAAAGTCAGGCTGGATGGACGCCGTGATAGTGAATCGACTCGTGCACACGAAAAATTCGAAACTCAACTCATCGCGACCCACCCAACACAATTATTCACGCTCCGCCAGCCTGAATTCTCTTTTCAACACCCATCTCCGACCCGACCCAAGTTCACCGCCTTCTCTTATCGTTGCAATACTGCATCTCGTTGACAAATCTCCCCTTTTGCCTTCCTTGCCACCCTCCACCAAGTTTCAAGTAGGCTGCCAGAACGCCTGGGCGATTGCACGGTAACGCACTAGCGAAAAACAGATACCACTCTTGAGCCTCCTCGGAATTGAGCCCACTCCATTCTGTCAACACTTCGAAATCCTCCATTCACACAGCCATTCACACTTGATTCTGCCTCGATGTTCAAGTGGCCCAGCCTTTGGTCATAACTACGCTACATGCAGACTGCCAGTTCCTGCAGCCTTGCGCTCACCAATCTCTAGGTGATTCCAGTCCTTTCTCATCTTGCACCTACCCATCCACGATTACAGACAGAGCTGCGAAGCTCTGCACCGCCAAAACGTCTCAAACAAAGAAAAGAAAGCTTTCCCCGCAGCATATACAGAGCCAGGACTCCGACAACAATCCCGATATCCCATTACATTCGGTGGAAGATTGCGAAGCCAACCTCTCATTCTCCGCCGCAGCCCTCCCACCTCGTACCAACCCACGTCCTCCATACCCGCCCTCGATACCAACCTTCGACTGCATCTCCTCTGCGGCCAGTTCACCGAGCGCAGCTTACGCTGGTCTCTCGCTGGAGAGCGAGAGGGGTGGAGACGCTTCTGAATTTCGGCTCTCGCTCGCACCCAGCGAACAGGATATTAGAGGACAGTCACCTATCCGCATATTCTCACACCGAAACATCATGGGGGGTGCGGCAGATCTCCCCCAGAGATCCTCATCCCCTCTGAAGAGACCGGCATCGGACTTGGAGACCGACATACCTTCTAGCCAGAAAGATGATGTTGACATGATTCCCGTTCCCAGCTCCGAACCCACTAGGCAAACAGAAGATTCCGCAGAACAACCTGAACCTCGAGCAGCCTCTGTTGATATGACTCAGGACGAAGGAAATGATGACGAAGTTGCTAAATCTGAAATGATTGAAGCAAACGAGAATGCGGCCCCGGCGAAGTCTGCAGAAACAGGTATGCTCGGTATCTCTATAATCATCGGCATTATTCACTAATGAATATTCACAGAAATTCCTCCCATCGATGTACAAATCAAAACCGTTACGACTATCTACGAGGCCGCTGGCGAACGTCAACCTAATGAAGGAGACGAGGTCTACCTGGTTTCACGGCGATGGCTTGGAAGGGTAATCAGTCGAGGCTCAGACTCCCGAAAGAATAGCAAGGTCGAACCTGATGGCGAGATTGGACCAGTCGACAACTCGGATATCGTGCAACAAATCATTACGGATGCCGAGGAGAAACAATTTGTGCAACTGAAGCCTGGCATGGCGGACAACTTCGTGCTTTTCCCTCAAGAAGCCTGGGATCTGGTCATGGAATGGTATGGCATCATGCCTGGCACGCTGCCCATTGTTCGAGTCGCACATAATACGAATCCCGACAAGAATGGTATTCCCAATGTCCAATACGAGTTCAATCCGCCAGTCTTCAAGATACACCGGCTCTACTCGGACAATGGCATCATCATGGTCTCGCAAGTTATGAAGGCTACAAATCCTGCTGCTCCACTATTCGTATTCAGCCAATCCACGAAGTATGTCGACTTTTTAAGCAAGATCAAGCGGAAAGCAGGTATCGTCCCGCTGAACAGAAAGGTCCGGATCTGGCGTGTACCAAGATTACAGCCTGCTGCAGAACCACTTGCAACTCCTGCAAATGCCGCAACACCCCCTGCTTCGAGACCCAGCTCTCCCAACCCAGGAGACTTGATTGGCCCTGTACAACGTGCTCCTCAAGACTCGTGGACCCAAATGCTCTTAGACGTACCCTCTTTCACCCAACTTAAAAGAAACACTGAGAGAGAGCTGGTTGATTTTAAAGATCACAGTGCCAACTCGAGTTATAACGGCAATATGGATCTATCCATGGCCGGATTAGGGGAGGATCAGACTATTGTCATCGACGAACTTGTCCAGGGTGAGAACAACTTCATCTCAAATTTCATAGCCAAAGGAAGCAAGACCACTGCAGCAAGTTCAAGTCGAAATCTCGCCACACCCAGCCAGACAAATAGCGGTCGCACTAGTCCTGCTCCAACTGGGCCAATGACTCGCGGCCGAACCCAAAAAGCTGGCAAGCCGCAAGGTGCTGTCGGTCTTGGTAATATGGGAAATACGTGTTACATGAACTCTGCTTTACAATGCCTTCGAAGTGTTGAAGAGCTCACCAAGTACTTTCTGGTTGGCGCCGCGGAGAAAGAGATAAATGAAGACAACCCTCTCGGTAATCATGGAGACGTCGCAAGAGCTTACGGGCATCTGCTACATGAAATATACAGAGAAAATCCGCCTAGTACCGTTACACCGAGGAGTTTTAAGAACACCGTCGGGAAGTACGCTCCTTCGTTCTCTGGTTATGGTCAACAAGATTCACAGGAGTTTCTGGGATTTCTTTTGGATGGACTCCAGGAAGATCTGAGCAGAGTGAAGAAGAAGCCATATATTGAAAAGCCCGACTCCACAGATGAAATGGTCAATGACCCTCAGGCGATCCGTGAGATGGCAGCCAAAGTATGGGATATCACGAAGCAACGAGACGACTCTGTAGTAGCAGATCTCTTTACTGGCATGTACAAATCAACACTGGTTTGTCCTGTCTGTTCAAAAGTCAGCATTACATTTGATCCATTCAACAACTTGACGCTACAATTGCCAATCGAGAATTCTTGGAGCCACCAAGTCTTTTATTTTCCCCTGAATGACAGACCTGTCCGTTTGTCAGTTGATATTGACAAGAATGCTTCCATTGCTGCTATGAAAGAGTTTATCTCTTCACGAGTTAACGTTCCCACGGAAAGACTCTTCTCTGCCGAACAATTCAAGTCGAAGTTCTACAAGATTCACGACGACACGAAAGTGGCTTCGGAGGAGATCAGTACTAACGATGAGATTATGATATACGAGCTTGAGGCGAAGCCAACAAATTGGCCCGCTCCCAAGAAGCCTAAGAAGCCTAAGAAGTCATTCTCGCTCTCTTATAACAACACCGATTCTGCGGAAGAGGATGACGTACCTGGATGGGAAGATCCAATGGCTGAGATGATGCTTGTCCCTGTATTCCACCGCCGCCCAAACAACGCAGAACGCAACACACGTGGATACTCACGAAAGCCATGGGCCATTGAACCTGTCCCACATTTCATCATGCTGAGTCGAGATGAGGTAATTGCAAAAGTTCGCTTCTGTTTTGTTCTCTGCTAACGTACATATCAGGCTAAGAGCGAGGAAATGATCAAGCGGAAGATCTTGGAGAAGATCGCAACATTTTCCACGCATCCAGATTTTGAAGAAGAATACGATGCAGACAGAAGTGTTGCCGATAGTGCCGACGCAGATATAGTCCTCACGACAGGCTCTGATGCTGACTCCTCAGGAGGTAGCAAAGTCGTCGCAAATTCTATCGATGGAGAAGATGAATTGGTTGATGTGGTCATGAAAGACTCGTCCCCTAAGACTGCCACAGCACGTTTCAATACTCGTCGGCCAAAATTCGTTGCACCAAACTCATTCTTGACCCCATCTCTCCAAAACATGTTTGATGTTGGTTTCTTCTCGGGCGCCAAGGAAATGATTCCTACGGGTTGGAACGTCGTCGATGAAGATAAGACCTTCCCGAACATCAACACCAGAGCTCCACAACAGCCCATCTCCAATGATCATGAAACAGGCTCTGAAAACCTGTCTACCAATAGTCGAACTCAGTCGGAATCCAGCGAGGAGGATGCTTACTCTGCCAATGGTGTCATTTCGACAACCCGAATGGCTGAAGAAGAATCGAGTGATGAAGATGCTGTACCGCCAGCTGTAAAAGTAAGTTGGTCTATCTCATTAGTTCTCTGCATCAGACTGTCGAATGCACTCCTTGAGCCCGAAATAGTGTTGTCACAGTGTTCTGACCGAAGACTAGGTTCTTCCCGTGCGACCGGCCGGACCAAAATCTGGGGTTAGAGTAGGTTACAACAAACGTCGCGCGAAAGGAATCAAAACTTACTCGAAAAAGGGTATGCAGTCAGCACGAAAACTCCGAGACTCAAGCTCCACTGCATCAGAAACTTCTGATCAAGGTCCTTTGGTCCGTCTCGGCGAAGGCCTGGTTGTCGACTGGAAGTCAGATGCTTGGGCTGCTATGTACGGCAAAGATGGCCCTGATGACAACATGCGAGGCGACAATACTTGGGTCAATATGCCAGATTTCGAGGATCCCGAGCTTGCCGCCAAGCGAGCAGCCCGTCAACTTCGCCGAAAGAACGGCATTACACTCGACGATTGTCTCGATGAATTTGGTAAAGAAGAGATTCTCTCTGAGGCGGACACGTGGTATTGCCCCCGTTGCAAGGAACACCAACGGGCAAGCAAGAAGTTTGAGCTCTGGAAGACGCCCGACATCCTTGTCATGCATCTGAAGCGATTCAGCAATAATAATTACCGCCGTGACAAGCTCGATGTCTTTGTTGATTTTCCAATTGAGGGTCTCGACCTGAGTTCGAGGGTCATTGAAACCGAAGAAGGCAAGCAGGAGGTTTACGATCTTTTTGCTGTCGACGATCACTGGGGTGGCCTGGGAGGTGGACATTACACGGCATTTGCGAAGAACTTCTACGATAATGAGTGGTGGGAATATAATGGTAAGTGTACTCTATTACAGCCTTGAATCTTTAACTAACGAGACCCAGACACTTCCGCCGTGAAGCAAAGAGATTCAAGTCGGGTTGTTACCTCAAGTGCATACCTTCTCTTCTATAGGCGCAGATCAGACGTCCCACTAGGCGGACCTCGCTTTCAGCAAATTACACGAGACTTTGAAAATCCTGGTGAGCGCTCAGAAGACGATGCGTCAGAATCGGGGGAAGGCCAGGGCCTCGTCGGAAACTCTTCCCTTCGTGGATCGCCGAGCGCTTTGACAGGAGTAGGAGCAGCTCGCCATCAGCCAAATCGTGGTTCACCGGATGGCGAGGGGACGATGACAATAAATCCCTCGGCCCTTGAGAAGCTGCCTGCCTATGAAACCCACGAAGAATTGCTAGAATATGAGGATGACGACGCAGACTTGAAACCTCTACTCTACGGCGATCATGCTCCTCCACCCTCCACTCTACGTCCCAGCATCGAAGACGAAGGCATCGACATGAGTATGGGATATAATGATCTCAATTTCTCCAACAAACAAGGCATCCTGACACAACAAGGTGACTGGACCTTTGCCAGTCTCAATGATATTGGATCAAATTCGCGCGGCGAGCACATGGTTTCTGGAACTGGTTCTGACATTGCAAGTGACGATGTTCAGCACGACTCGTCTGCCAGTGAAACCTCGCTGCGAGAACGCTACGCAGAGTTTGGCAACACAATCGCTGAAGACGACGGTGCTCCGTTTGTTGACCAGAGTCCTGTACCTGACCTGGATGAAATGGGCCAAGCTAGTGCCATTGCTTTACAAGCAGATCTGTTGGACAATATGAATCGAGGCGTGTACCCAGGACAAGAATTTGAAGTCACTGCCGAGGATGAACGTTTTGAAGTCGAGGAGCCGGCCGTTGAGATTCACGTCAAAGACAATGAAGATTTGAAGATGGATTAAGAGGTCTGCATTTCTGGTGGCGTTGGTGGTTGGGGTGTTGTGTGATAGACTTGGAACTGAACATATGACTTGCATGGCGGCGCCTCGATGCTGCTGACTTTTGCTTCTCCGAGCAGTTTTGAAAGGCAAAGAGCGAGGTATGTTGTGCGCGCACACGAGCGTGACGTTGACGAAAAGACATGACTTATGGATGGGACAGATGGGTTTACCTTGGTGGCTTCGTCTGTATGTGGTGGATCATGGGTTATGCATTCATGCTTCCCAGTGTCGGTTCTAGATACTGTATGAGCATAATAGAGCATCCTTTTTGAACGGGTTTTTGCAGTTGTGAATTTGGTATCGCTTCCCTGCTTCGTTGCGAGGCTTCAAGTTCGAAGGAAAGAAGGAGAGTTTTCTTTGGCTTTTGAAAAGTGTTACATGAAAGTTTATGGAGCGAGTCTATCATATTGCCGTTGCTAACAGTGATGTAATGACTGGTTTTACTTTTGATACGTCACGAGAAAGTTTGTGGAGCAAGGCTACTATATCGCTATTGCTAATAGTGTTTCAATGGTTGGTTTTGATGCTGGTCTACTTGATGATATGATTGATCACCTCAGGGGAAAGTGTATGGAGCAAGGCTACCATATCGTCATCGCTAACAGTGTTGCAATGGCTGGTTGTGCTGTCGGTCTTCTTGATGATCTCATTGGTCGTGTCACGAGAAAGTTCATGGCGCAGGGCTACCACATCGCCTTTGCTAACAGTGTTGCATGGACTGGTTTTTGCTACGAAAGACAATGTACTGCTTCAAGTCGTACTTCATTTCAAGCCCTCATCTCCTCTCCTATCAATCCCTTTCCCAATTGACAGATTTTTATTCTAGCTTGCGTTGCGCTTGCCATCCCCTCGAATCTCCAGACCATCGCCGCAGACGCAATTCTTCGAGTACTACGTTCCTTGGTAGGTATAGAGGAAGCTGGTCATCTTGGTCAAGATCAACTATCAAAAAGAAGAGATTAGCTACGGATGATTCAATGTCCTACATAAGAGGGGTTTTTTACTTCTTGAAATTGTACGTGAGCTCTGACGAGTAACGAAGATTGTGATGACGGCTGCAATTGTAGAGACGATGCCGAAAGTCAAAGCTAGGGTGTCGCTGGTTGATACTGATACATGAGATTAGATTTGAGGACTTGAAAATTGGTTTTGAGCGACTTGCACATTATCCTTGAGCTTTTCTGCTTTTGCAAATTAGGCAGGTATTTATTCTCCTGCTATGTTGAAGATTTTATGTGGAAAGCTGCGAACTGAACTGGTCCGAGAGAGAGGTAACCAGGTTCACAGTGAGTGGGAAATGGTGTCGTCCCTTCTAAAAGCCCCAAGCACCCCAGCTTGGCTTGACCCGCTTCCCTTTTCCTGGTGCTGGTCGTCTTTTCCTTGGGCCCTGCGACCTCTCAATCCTGGCACCCTGGCCAGGTATGATCTCTTTGGGGCTGGTCGAGGAAGGGTAGGCTCGTAGGAGCCAGGGTCGTCAAGTGTCTGTGGGTAACGGGCGTGGGACTGGAAGACCCAAAAAGCTTGGGGGCTCCCGAGAAATGCAATAGCATGCCGCCGCCGCTGCTTGCTTGCTTGATTGCTCCTCCTGTTCTCCTTCTGCCACCAGGGCTTCCCATTTGCTCACTTATTCAAGTGGGCGTGGGATAAGGCCGGGTCTCTCAAACTAGCATTTCCTATCCAACCACACCGAACAAAAATTGCCACCTTTGCAGAGCCTGGTTCTCGGGAGAATTTTAATAATTGTGACCCTTGGCTTTACCCCGCCACTTTCCGACCTGCTGCTTTAACTGCAACGAATAATCAGATCGCTGATTCCGGCGAGTCAGCCTCGACTGGACCTGGAATACAGGAGGCTTACTTACATCTCCCAATCTACCTCTTTTATTCAACGTTGGTGAGCCAAACAATCTCAGAAAGAAGTCCGCTGTTTGATAAGTCCTTGCGCACATAATCTATGACACAATTTCGCTCTTGCGAGAGAGTACGAACCTAGCAAGAACTTTCACTCCATGAGGACAGCACCTCGGAAGCGATCTTTGCAATCATATTCTGCCCTGTCTTCATTTTCAGCCTGCTATCAATGTGTAGCGGCAATCCAGTTCACGATCCTAAAAGATACGTGTTGACTGCGCATCCATGATCCATCATGCAGCACGTTTCTAGATCTAGTAGGTGGTCCGCATCCAGACGATTGGCAAAGCAAGCAGAGCCTCACACTACGAGCAGGAACCCGAAATCTCGGCCCGGTCCTTAGAAACTTATTCGGGCTGCTTCGAGGACCATCGTCCGATTTGTGCACTCGTACGCCACTCAACAGGTACTACTTTTTTTTGAATGTATAAGAACCAGCAACAAGACGTCTACTGGTACGAGCGCCTATCAATTGGATCAAACAAATGTTTTGCTCGCACAAACGTTTTGTCTCGGAACCGTAAATGGCAGAAAAATCATGGAAAGTCGTATGCCATATAGACCTGAACTCCTAAAAACTGTCGCTAAGCAGGCATATCATTGCGTTCATCCCAAATCTTCCGCATTCCCCCAAACATCTCGTAGACTTGACGAAGGCAATTCTTCTAGTGATGGAAAGCGAGCTCTCGCGTAACGAAGACTAGATACTCTTGTAGTGAATGAAAGGGAGTCTCTCGTAGCGAAATCAATTCTCGTAGCAAAGGCGGAAAGGAGACTGTCCCATAGCGAAGGAGACTCTATTGTAGCGAAGGGATCTCCTCGCGACAGGAGTTTGTTGTGAAGGGGATTCATGTTGTTTCGTTACGAGTAAAAGTTGTTCTGTAGATCGTGGAAGTCTTACAGAATGTGCTTTATTCACTGGAATTGAGCTTTTGCTTATCACTGATTCACACAATGAATGCTACCCACCTGTGTCAATAATGCAAATCACCACGAGCGGCAACTAAGATTGATCGCAGCCCTCACCAGCTCAAGCGTCCGAGACATCACTTCCAATTGCCTGTTCTTCTTCACTTCTATTCCTCTTTGTTCTTTCATCTCATAAGTAAGGATTCGGAGCAGACTTGCTCTTAATGTATCACAAGAAGTCGCGTTGTGAATCTCATCTCATGTCCCCACTTTTCTTGCACTCTATAGAAATCAATATGTATTGTAAAGCGCATTCTTTACTCTGGTGCTGTGGTGCCGATTTTCCTGATTGTCGCTCACCATTTGTAGATTCCTTGACATCATCTCTTTAAGTGCTTGGACCATACATCCATTCTACCGCGGCTGTCACATTCTTCGCCAGATCGTCTTTTGATATTGGCAGCCACTATTTTGAAGTCAGCATTTAGGATCAAATTTCTAAACCCTAATTCATAGATCCGGATGCCAAACAGCAAACAAGAATACCAAAATTTCTTCTTGTATAAGTATCAAAACTTCCCAACCAACTCTCGGCTTCTCGTTAAGAAAGATGAAAAGACGAAAGCCAACTCACATCCATGATCTCGGGGTAGCTATATCCCAAACCCACCAAATCTCTAGCTCCAGTGCTCGTCCATGCACTCCCATTGACCATCGTGAAAGGGGTAAGCGGGCTATCCACCGTCAGGTTTCCTCCTACCACATTCGTGAACGTGCCAGTCGAGTCGATATCCGGTGTAAGGAAAGACGTGGGGTTCATAGCTTGCCACAGAGCGAAGAGACGATCTGCGTTGGCATGTACGAGGAAACTGGAGTTTTCTTAGTCTTCAGACTCGGTGACTAGGTGCTGTACTCGGGAGGGAAGGAGACAACGGAAAGGAGAATCGTACAAAATAGGATCGAACGCGGCATAAGCAAAGACACCCATATGTCCCGGGTCCATGGTATTGAAACCACCGATTGTGTGATGGACCTGATTATGGGCATACTCGAAAGCACTGTTGGAGGTGGTGCCAGTTGCCATTGTGTTGTAGTCGCGAGTTTGAAAGACCGAGTACTTTGGCAATCATGAAGTCAGCATTGGAAGAAGGTTGCACAAGAAGAGGCAAATGAAACCAGAACGTACAGTATTCGCTTTCAAGTTCGAGCCCTGAAGATTCGCATTGATGCTATCACAATTCGATACCCCGTTCACCGGAAATCTAACTGTGGTATTATAAGTCGTGAGGCAACCTTCCCCACTCTCACCTGCCGGAAACAACGTTTCGTTCAGTGGGAATTGCTGGAACCTATAATGCAGCAATGGATTTGACACGTTCATGGGTCCAGAAGAAGTGTTGATTAGGACTTGAGGATAATCGACGATGTCGGGCATGGATGGAGTGAGAGCGTAGTCCCAGTATGGAATACGGAAATTATCTGCTGCGATTTGGTATGTGGTGGAGTTATATGTCTTTGCAAGGTGTTGCGCGTGGGAAGAGAGGACTTGCTGAATAGGTCAGTTCTGAGGGGTATCGATACTAGGGCAGGGAAGGTACTTCGAGGAGTGCGAGATAGATTCGGTGCCACTAAGGGAAAGCAATTAGCACTGGGTTGGCGATGAGGAGTGCACTTTTTGGTGCCATAAACAAGAGCGTGCACAACAATCGAAGACACCTGCGAAAGAAAGGCTTCTCCGGCTCATGGTAATTCAAACAGAGTGTTGGACCACTTACTGATGTGAAAAGCACACTCGAATGTGGGCAATAACCAACTTCTGGAGCAGAAGGGTTCCACTCTATTCCATCCCAAGGAATAAATGGTCTGCCATGTATCCCTGTTTCGTCTTTGAGTTTCAAGTGTTGACTTTGACAACGGTAATAAACCCACCAGCAATCTGGAACCACGAAAGAAGTTCGTCCTCAGAAGTTTGTTGCAAGGCTATGAGCGCTTGGAGGTAGAGAGACCTGCCATCGTGAGTCATGGTGTACATGTGCAAGAGATGTTCTTCGTATTGATCACTAACGCACCATGCTGGAAGGTCTTTCTGCATATCCAAAATGTTTCTTCTTGCCGGCCTAGCACCTGTTTTTGGATTGATGCCTGTTTGTACTCCTGAAATTCCATAATGACGAGCAATGACAAGGTCGAAGGTAAGAGAAAAAGATAGACAAAGAAATAGAATATGTACAAAGAACATACTGAGTGACTCTATGAAGAGAAGTATAAAATTGCCTACGAGATGACACATTTCTTGGCTTGCGTCGTGAATGCGCATTTTGGGCCAGAGCGGACCCCACTTCTCCACAATGGCAAGGTCCAGGTGACAGGCAGATTTGGCTAGGGTAATGAGGATATGGTAGAAGGAAGTGATGTTCCAGATGAAGTGTTGAAATAAACACGCCTCGGCTTTGTTTCCAGCCTGAATACTCCGGCCCAGAAACTGTTGTAGAAGAGCCTTAACCAGCCTCAGGGGTTTCACTCTTCCAAGATCGGTTCGTGATATATGTCGGTCATCTCATCCTCTGTATCTTAACTTTCTCCGAGAGCTCTCTTGAACTTCGCGATGCAGCTGCCGGTGATCTTAAGGGAGATGGGGATTCCTTCTCGGCTAAAGAAAGCAGTCACCCATGGAGACGAAATCGGCGACCGAGGAGTACAGCAACCGAGAGCGTGTAAATGAGTTGTAATCTAATCTTCAACATGCACATCGATGTTAACAAGAACATTAACAGAGTATCGTGGACCTCTTTTCTCATCGAGACAGACCTCAATAGCCTATGTCGCAACTGTTCGCGAAATAGCAATAAGCAAAGAACTCTGCTTAGAAACCATTGGTAGCAGAGCCTTAACTCACACCCAGGGTGTGCATCGAGCATGATCCGCCGGCCACACGATCATGCAAGCTTCGGTGTGCAGTCGACGGCGTGTCCAGAGAGTCGGGATTGACGCCAGTATCAACCCCCCACGCTATCCAGAGCAGGCCGGTCCTGGTTTGGAAGATGACTTGCATGAGCAGAGATCTACTGCAGATGCCATCACGGCTGGCTGCCGACGCCAACTCCCAAGAGCCGGATTACCGGTACCCAGCGCTGTGGTAGGAAGTAGAGCGTGCACCAGTCTTATGAAGGTGGGGTAAGCCTATTCTGAAAACGGAACTGCTACCCAAAGGAGCAATCGCAGAGATAGTATGGACCCTAAAGAGGATCTATTCCTCAAGTCATAACTAAGCTCAAAGGGGCATCTCGACAGACTGGACGTGACCTGTCAAAGGAGATGACCACGTGCGAGAATCAATCTCGCGGGACGCAAAGCCGTTCAATCTTTGCTCGATGTGGAATAGAAGTCCCGAGTGTCGAATTATGGCAAATGGTTGCTGAGTGGAAGATGATGGCCTGGAAAGCTCGAGGCAGCAACCATAGGGCACTCGAGCACCTCAGAGGTTCTCATTCAGGTTTGGCTTCAATGAACGAATTGGCTGATTGCATACGGTGGCGGTGACGTCCTTTTTCATTGCCATTTGATCGCTCAGACAATTCCCCAACTACAAGCCAGGATTGTCTTTTCCGCTCTCCTGACAGACCATCATAAAGATAGGGGCAGTCATATAGCATTGCGGTTTGCTCAACCCATTACTTGCGAGGCATGTTCAGTGGCATTCAACCAGGGAAGACCTTCGCAGGAGGATGGTTCTCCGAGCTTATGGGGACAATCGACCTTCGTGCCGCGCACTCACACCTAGCCAAGGACATTGGCTTGGTGATCTGGTCCTGAAACTTCCGGTCACACTTCAAGGCCAGTTCTCTATTGGGACATGGCATCCAGTCAAGCTGGTTCGCCGACAGATGCTGCACTGGCTAGAGGACGGCCCGAGAGACGTTTCTCTCATTGGCGGGGCAGCGAGCATCACCGAAGACGGTCAACCACCCTTTCACAGTCTCATTAGTGATGTTCCAACTGGAGGAATGATACATTTAGCATTGGAAGCACGACAGGTTAGGGACACTTACTGCTGAGATGATACGAATGAGGGACGGAATGGTATGAGATGAGATGTCTGGCGGCAATCGAAGACCCCGGTGCATTCTCTTGAGCCGAGGACATTGAGCAGATGGCATTAAGCGCTGTAACCGATTTTCCTGTCTCATCCATGAGCGTCGCATTCGCTGGATCGAGGCTTATGTTCGAGTGCAAGTCCGATGCTCGATTGTCTTTGTCACGATGTTTGTTTGCATGACCGAATTGAGACTCCAGCTCATCTCGGTTGAGTGAAACGCTAGGTAATCGAGACCTACTAACTACCTACCTACGGCACATAAAGCACCAAATCCTCAAAGCATCTTGAAACACTGTAGAGCAGTGTCTAAATACTTAGACTTGAACCTAAATTGTGAAGACAATCAAAACGCTTGAAACTTGCGTTTAACATCTGTCACGTGACTCAAAAGAACTGCGCAGATGACTGCAAGGTGGAAATTATTCTTCCAGGGTTTCGTTCTGTGAATATACATAACATAAAGTAAGTTAGGAATGTTCAGGAATGAGTTAAGTAGTATCGAGTCAACTTAGTCCGGCTTTCATTTCAAGAATCTTGAAGAATGCTTCACTGCTATGGGTCAACCTAGCGAAACATCTCGGTGTAGCGACAACATTTTCTGATCAATCTCCTCCAAGGACTAAAGGGGTTTAACATTTCATTGTTGAGCTACAGTCATGGAAATGGGATGAATTCGTCGTCTAGGAACTCTGAGTTTTCTCGAGGCAGAAAGTACGTCCAACAGGTCCATGGGATCGGTAGTACTGATCTGCTATCTGCCGATACTCTCCAATTCCATCGCCCAAGAGAGATTTTGCAGAGCACCAAATCTTCTTTGAACAAGTTAGGAACTCCATCATCATTCTCCCACCATCTCCAAGTCTATCACACGCAAGTGTGGGTTGGGAAATGACCGAATGGCGTTTCGCTAGGCTTACAGTTACAAGTAAAAGACCTTCGCAAATACAAATCACTATTGCCTTTTCAGACAGTCAGTCTTACGGAACACGATACTGAGACTCTGATAATTCTTCTTTTGTAATCCAACTAGCAACGGATCTGAGTCATATTCAAAGTTGATGGATGTTGTTGATACGCATAGACTTCCGTCACTCACTTCAGTGTTGTTCAGGGCACACTTAAAAGTTGGGGCAACAAAAGCGTTCAGCATTCAGTCAAGTTCATAATCTACAATGACCGCCCTCGATTGTTCGTAAAACGGGTGGGTCTTTCCCAGCGAATTGTAGTAGTAGAACATTACCCCGCAGCCTCCGAGCTGGCTCCGAGCTGGCGAAGTTGGCAAGTAGCAATTGCAAAAAAGGCATGTTCTGCGAACTCTCTCAAATATAGAAATCTCCTTCATGGAGACCTCTGATGGAGTCAAAAAAATGCAGCAAAAGCTCCTGGAGATATGTGTCAGGATGTATCACCGTCCAGGTCATACATCCCAGAATGGAAAGCCGAAGAACATTTCTCCAAATCACTCACTCCCTGAGAGAAAACCCCAAAGATGACAGCTACAAGACATGCAATGGTACTGTCTCGGGCCGAGGACCTGCATCGGTGCAACGTGAATCCTTCTCGGTGAATGTCACGATGAGATCTGCTTACAGGGAAGCGAACGAACGCGAAATGGCCCGCATGAGACTAGGTGATGGGAAACTGATGCGGAAGCAATTTCACTAAACCTAGAGAGGATACATAAACTTATTGGCAAGGCTGATTTTGACAGGGAGTCATGCACGGCAAGTGATGACTTGGATGCTCGTAGCCTTGGGGACGGAAAACTACCTGTGAAGATTAAGCATAAATACACCTGCCAGAGTAACATCACTACGACAGCGATCATATCATCAATAAGAAGCAAGCTCTTGTGGGAAATAATTATATACACTAAATATTCTACTCGAAATGATACAAGGAGACAAGCGCAGCTCGCAGAACCGCTTCCAAAGATATCCTCGTTTTCCCTAATTCCCGCTTATCAAAAGCGCGCAACACAATGAATAACCTTATATATACAGAGTATCCTTCTCGTTTCTCCTCTTCGAGACAGGCGGAATAACCTACACAGGTGGTGGGACAGCATCAGCCTTGGGGATGCTACCACGGACACCACCCTTGAAGTTGTTCGCAGGAACGTTTGCCGTTGCATTGGCCGCAGCAGCTTTGTAGGCTGCGAGATTCTCTGTTCCATTATTCCTGTTGAAGATCAGTGAAAATCCTTCCACCTTCATGATCTAAGAAGAGAACACCAAAGCAAAGTGACTTGCCCACTTTCTGTTTCTGAGGTAAGAAGAAAAGCAGAAGGAACACTTACGCATTAATAGTCATAACCATGCCCAACTGACAATGTGGACCTTGCGCACAATAGATAAACATCGGGGTCGTATCATTAATCGGCATATCAAACGTCTGCACGGTCGTCTCGTTCGCACTTCCTCCCGGTACGAACCCACTATGAATACCCGCTGCATTGGGATCAGACTGCTGAACGGGCATACATGGCTCTGCGAAAGTGGATTGAGTAACCGTATGATTCACCTGGGAAAACTGGAATTGGACGACGTCTCCGGGTTTCGCAGTGATCTCGTTGGGGGTGAAGACAAGAGACTTATTCAGAGTTGGAGAACCGACTACGACTGCGATGACTTTGCTATTTGTGCTCCCTGTCCCGGCACCAGCGGCGGGAGTCGAGTTAGCGGTTGGCTTTGTGCTTTCGATAGACAGGCCTGAGATGGTGGAGGTGACTTTCGGCTTGTCTCCGCCTTTGCCTTTCGCATCATCTTCTAGGGTACATGTCAGTGTCTGCCGCTGCTAAAGAGCTGCCACCAGTAAAAGATAACCTCTCATACCCGTGAGAGGGATAGATACTGAGGGGTGTATGAATATCTTACCAGCGGATGATAGGCCAAGTAGCGAGCAGAAGGCTACTGCAGCCAAGAGGGAGATCTGGTTGAGGCGCATCTTGGAATTATTCGGTACGGGGAGAATGTACTAGGATGTTTTTTGCATGGTATGAATCGGGAAGGTTCTTAGAGGCTCAAGAGAAAGGAGGGTAAACGAGTACTTATGAGAGAAATACACTTACAATTTTTAGCATATGAACCTACACATCGCAAGCTTTCGAGAGGGAGGCAGTGAACAGCAATTCGCATGAACTTCAAGTGCGAATATCATCATTGATTTTCAAAGCTGGCAGAACTTTCACCCCATCTTGGCCAAGAGATGTGATGCGATAAGTTGAGCTGGGGAAACATCTGAGGTATTCGAGGCGGATGAGGTTACAGATCAGAGTTATCAGATAACGGATAGTGGATACAAGCAGAAACAATCGCGAGACGATGTTTCTGCAATATGCCAATGGTATGACAGTTTGTCTTGCTTCGAAACAGAATGATGTCTGGGTCATAGCTAAGCGAGCCCCCTGAAGCCGTTCGGGAGATCATTGCGCTTGAGGCTGTGCCGAGGTCGCCTACGTTGCGCTTGCGATGTAAGGTTAAAACATTTGACGCGGACTCCTGATTGTCTGATCGATAACAAAAGGACAGTCCGAAAGATCGATCCTGTTTGCATTGTTGTATCACATTTCATACTGCACTTCAGTAATGGCGAGTTCGGATCGGAGGCTCAACCGGATAAACATGAATCCATATGTCCAGCATACGCAGGTACTTTCGACTCGTCATACTTACTGGATAGACTCATGGGTGTGGGTCTACAATGATAAGATTTCATTTGCGGAGAATGTAAAAAGCGACACTGAATATCGAGTCCGTTGTACCGTTCGTCCATCTTCCAGAACTTTAGTTGAGGTCTCACGACATTTGCCGGGAAGTAAAGTGCTCTCAGGGGTAAATTCGGGTGTAGTCTCCAGGCCTTGACCTCCGGAGCCAAGGATTTGGTGGTTGCGGACAGTCAGTGAACAGCCACCCCAAAAATCCCTTTAGCGAGACGGGAATAGGGATAAAAATACACTAACCTTCTCCACTCCAGCGGGCGCTCCCAACGGCCCAGTCTCCGCTAATTCGATCGCATCGCATCGCATGGCGTAGTTTCCTCCACCACTCCCGCTCCTTCACGGACGTCCGAAGATTTCTCAACTCTCCCAACCAATATCCACAGACACCGATATGGACGTGCAACACAGACAAGACACGTTTATCGAATTCGCACGCCAATCTCCAAGGGTTCGTCGCTGTTCCCACGGATATCACGGGCTCTGGCATAGTGGTCGGATGCACCTTGCGAGAGCGCGAAGGTGCGAGAGACCGAAGCTGAGTTTGAGATGACAGCGGATAGACTTTAGGAGCATTGTATAAAGGTCGACCGTCTCATCAACAGTCGACTTTTCTACCATCATTCGCTCCAGTTTTCAACCTTCGAACTCTGATCTCTCTTCAACCAGAAACATCAACCAACAAATACCCAGCACGTGCTCTTCCAACAGTCAAAATGTCCCCAATCGCAGAATCTGATATGGCCACAAATGGCAACGGTGCTCACCCCGTTGAGACTGCTGCTCCAGTTGACAATGGAACCACCACACCTGCACCAGCCACTACCAACCAATGGGCGACAGTAAACGGCCCTCTTGGTATCGGATCTGCCAGTCTCGCTGGAAAGATCGCTTTGGTCACGGGTTCAGGTAAGGGTTCAAACCGTCAAGAATACACCTTTTTGGGAACTAAGATGATAAATAGGACGAGGAATTGGACGAGAAATGGCTCTCGAGTTGGGACGTCGAGGAGCAAAGGTTGTTGTCAACTACGCCAACAGCTCCGAGGCCGCTGATGAGGTCGTTGCCGAGATCCAAAAGTCCGGAAGCGAGGCGATCGCCATCATGGCCAACGTCTCTGTTGTCAAGGACATCATTTCTCTGTTCGCTCAAGCCGTTGCTCACTTCGGCAAGCTCGACATTGTCTGCTCAAACTCTGGTGTCGTGTCTTTCGGCCACATCAAGGATGTTACCGAGGAGGAGTATGACCGCGTCATGAACATCAACACCCGAGGCCAGTTCTTCGTTGCTCGTGAGGCTTACAAACACTTGTCCATTGGCGGCCGTCTCATCATGATGGGTTCCATCACTGGTCAAGCCAAGGGTGTTCCAAAGCACACCGTCTACTCTGGTAAGTAGATATCCCACGTGATTTGAACCACCTGCTGACAATCTGAACAGGTAGCAAGGGTGCCATTGAGACTTTCGTGCGATGCATGGCCATTGACTTCGGTGACAAGAAGATCACCGTCAACTGCATTGCTCCCGGAGGAATCAAGACCGACATGTACCACAAGGTTTGCCGAGAGTACATTCCCAACGGCGAGAAGCTTTCCGACGACGGAGTCGACGAGGTAAACTTTATCCCCCTCAAATAAACCCAAAACAGAATACTGACTCAATATCCATAGTACGCCGCCACCTGGTCTCCTCTCCACAGAGTCGGTCTCCCAATTGATGTTGCTCGCGTTGTCTGCTTCCTTGCCAGCCAAGACGGCGAATGGATCAACGGAAAGGTGTTGGGCATTGATGGCGCTGCTTGCATGTAAATTTGCATTGCGAAGTCTCTTTATAAATCATGATACCTGTTCTGGGATTGCTATTTTTGGGGCTTGGGAAATGTTAGCATAGAAAGCGAATTTTGCTGCTAATACATGAATTGTTCAAACAAACAAAACGTGCGTCAAAACAATAATATCAAAGTGACACGGTGATATCTCGAGAAATTTGTGGTGGTGCTACTGCAGCTGCATGAAAACAACCTTAAGAAAATATGTTTGGTTATTGTGGCGCAAAACCCATATTCCAAAAGACCAGTTCCCACGGTATCTTCCATCCCATCCATCTTCACCTCCATTCCCAACAAATCCTACCGTACCACCTGCAAATATGGATAAACTCCCCATCAAAAATCTCGACATGTCAGATCCGCCCTCCCACACTTAAGCGACCCGATCACGTGACCCCGATCCTCCCCCTATCCGACCCGACGCCAGAAGCACCTTCCACCAAACATCATCCATTCCCCCCAAACAGCGGTACCCTTACCAGGCCATCACCATCCCAAAACAGAAGCCCTCCAAGTACTGTTGCAGCAGCGCGATACAATCAGGCTGGAAGTCCGAGGAACGAACACCCCTTGCCTAGGAGCCTGCTAACCAGCCAGCCAGCTAACCGAGCGTGAAAAATCTCCGGCTTGGGTCACTTCCTACCCGCTCCGCTGCACTACAACCCTCCCTCTTCCTCACGGCTCCCTCACCCTCTTACCAAAGACCAGACGAACGGAAACTTTCTCCCGGACAGCTATCGCCGGCCCAGCCCCAATGAGAACGCAGGTGGACAACAGGCCCGAAACTCCTTGCGCCGGCTGCAATTTATGTCCCAGAAGTCGTGGGCGTGGGAAGGTGGCGAGGGGTTTTTTTATATTGTTTTGCGGTGCGTAGCGTGAGGTTGTGTGACGGACGGGACGGACGGGTGAGTGAGTGCGTTTCATGACGGAGAGGGTGGGAGGCCGTGGTGGTGGTGGTGGTGGGGTTTTATATTGCTTGGAGGTTGTGCAACGGGGGAGAGGATTGGGGGGTGGTTTCATGACAAAGGGGTGGGTGGGAGGCCGTTGGGAGGGATAGAGGGGTTCTTGCGGTACGGTAGGATGCGAGCGAGCGGGAGGGAGGGAAGGATGTTGCATTGCAGGTAAGGTGAGGCGAGAAGGGGATGTGGCATTGGGGAGAGACTGGAGAGGTGGGTGGTGGTAAGGGTGGGTGAAGTCCGGGAGGGAGGACCTGAGGCAGGAGTGGTACGTACTTTACTGTTGAGTGAGTAGAGTGTGAAGATCTTTGTTATCACGGAGAAATGGACAAGGCGTTAACTTGATTTTGATCGTTATTGAAATCAGGAAAAGAAGGAGGCGAAGCTTGTAGATTACTTTGTTACTTTGAGATATATTACCATGACTCGGTGGCTCACGATTCTTTTTCTTTTCCTTGAGAAAACAATTTCATTTTACGTCTTCCCACTCTTCCTTTATTGCACAACCTAGTACTCCACTTCCCAAAGATCTCCCAAAACCCATCCCAATCCATACAAAATAACTCACCTATCAAAACCCACCCACTGATAATCCGGACAAGTACCCAATCCATCTCCATACCAGATACCAGATAGAAGATCATTGCGGCACTTCCCGAACCAGGACCTCTCCTCCACCCTATCTACGGTCAAGATCATCACGTAAAGCCGCGTCAAAGCTCCTTCAAGTCCCGGACTACACGTATCTAGACTTGGGAAGCAAGCAAGTCTTGCCGGAGTTGAGTAAGTGGGTATCTTTGTATCTTGCATACCCTCTGTACTCGATCCTACTGCTGTAAGTGATTTTGCAACTCTATGATGTGTGGCATGCAATGGAAAAGACAGAGTTCATTACAATAGAATTCCATTTCATCGTAAATAACCGCCTGTCAAGCAGTAGCGACGGCGGTTGTGTGTGATACTATAAACAACAACAATGAATACACTTTCCAAATCATACCCAGAAATGCATATCATGATCCCCTGAAACCCCAAAAACATCATCCTCTTTTTTTCTTTCTGTCAAAGAGGGGAAAGCGAAATTACATATGAGCAACAACAACAGTAGACTCCAAACTCCAATTCTTCCTCAACTCCTGCAACTTCCTCTTAATCCCATCCGAGACCCGTAACGCGACCCCTTGCCCCAGTAACTCGATACTATGACCCAAAATCTCGTCTGGGAGAAGTTTAAAATGCGTTTGTCCGTTCATTCCTGCGCCGACTTTCGTCAACACGGGAATGCCCTCGCCGCTCCAGAGGTACGAGACGACGGCCGGATCATCAAGCATCACGCTGTCTATCGCGAAGATTTGCCCTTTGTCTAACCGTTGCGCGTTCTGATCCATGCGAGACAGGGAATCGACCCAGAGGATCAGAGCCGCGCGGTAGATGGCTGCAGACCACCAGTGCGGACGGCCTTCTCGCGGCATGGAGCAGATGAGGCGGATGATCTGGCCGCAGTGGATGGTGGCTTCTTCTGGTTGATGGATGCAGCGTTTGTGTCTGATGGAGAGCTCGCGGCTGGAGCCGTCAAAGGACTCCTTTCGTGCCAGGCGCTCGATTTCGGGGAAGGAGGTGAGGGCGTTGAGGGAGATGAGGTGATAGAGGACGAGGTTGGCTCTGGTGACGGGACATGTTGGGTCGTTCTTTGCGTGTACGAGGCAGAGTTCGTACCAGTTCTGAAGGAGTGACTGTACTTCCTCGAGACGGAGGAGGGTTGAGGCTTTGGTGACCGTTCTCGTCCCGCGCCGCGATCCGAAGAAGTCGGAGAAGCAGCTGAGCACTTGGCGAAGGTGGCAGAGGAGAGACTGGAGAGGGTGCAGGAGAAGCTTCAGCTGGAGTGGTGAGAGCTTATCGTATCGTCTGTTGATGTTGTCATGGAGCATATCTTGAAACAGATCACAGAGCGACGGGGTCAGTGGCGGAACTCCAAGCGAATTAGAATTAGGGTTCATCCAATCTGCTCCACCTCCATTGGCTCCGGACGAGGGACTAGCGTGCTGATGCTGATGTTGTTGCTGCTGCTGGAGCGCAGTGAGCCATTCGGAAGAGTCTTTGGCAAGCCATAAGGCCTCAGAGCCGGGCATCGGTGTCTCCAACTCCGTGATAGACAGGATAGGTGCAGTATCATGAAACAGGCTTAATTCCTGATCGACCATCACCCAATTGTAGACCAGTCTGCGTTGATTATTAGTCTTTTGGTTCGTTCTTTTTGACAGAAATGCAGAATTTTCATTGGCTGCAGGTCCGGGCGATGGGGATGGGATGACAGATGCAGCTGATCAACTCGCTACGAGTTGCTGGCCTCTCGTCTGCCACACCACTTTCGGAAAGGAGGAGGAGAAGAGGAGAAAAGCATATATACATACCGGCTCTTGCCCTCTCGTTGTTGCCATTCTCGCCATATCAGTTCGGTGCTTGTGGACAGGTTGGAGAAATTCATTGGTGGTGCTGGCTCCAACATACCCGCATGCTTCAGCATCTGAGGTCATCGTCAGCATCTCATACCCGCAACCGGATGACCCGAGGAGAGAAAAAGAGAGCACTTACAGCGAGATACATTCCGCGTTGTCCCATCGCAATGTTCATATGCCACGCATCGCCGCTCCAGGCTCCGAGGATGGTGAAGAGAAGCGCGCATCGCAAGACGACTGGATCAGCCGAGAGCTCGACATCCTTCTCGATGATGTGGAAGAGCGAGATGCGACAAGTCTCTGTCAAGCCTGCTGTTAAGCATCGTGCTTCTGCTGTTGGAAGAGCAGCTGCACCATAGGCGATAGCCAAGAGCAGGAGAAGAGTCGACGCTTGGTTGTTGAGCATCACCTCATTGGGATCGAGAGTGCCACCGTGCACCAACGTATAGTACGGAGCAAGACTGAGCACATAGCTGCGCAAAAAGTACTCAAGCACTCTCGAAGGGGGAAGAACAAGGAAGTTGAAGCCACCAGGAATCGACGCTTGTCGCCATCTCTGCAATCCACCTCTGTGCGTCTCGAGCGCAGTATGGAGGAAACCTTGTGTGATGGCAAGTATCCTATCTCTTGAGCTGGCATTTAGTGGTACTACTGATATCTCATATTTGTGATCCACTTCCGCAGTTGCGATGTTGTGGTCGAGCAGTTTCCACGTGCTCGAATCCTTGGAATGTTGTTCCAGGTTCTCGAGGTGCACGATGGCTGTTCGAGGACAGGAACCAGAGAAGATCGGTCGGTTGCATCGAGCAAGTGGCCATGCAGCTTCTGCTGCAACGACGACTTCGAACTCGGGCACCATGGTATCTCTCAGTAAGATAGGCATAGCCATCTCTACGGATTGGCTGCCATGACGATCAGAGTGGGATGCGATACTGGTGGATCGGGTATGTGTGGATAACGACGTGTCCATGGATGTGGAAGCCATGGCATCTGATGCTGAAGAACTTGTGCCCATGTCGATGAACGACGGCAAAGACATTTGCGCTTCCATCCCACTGCCAGGGAACATGCTGTCTATGTCTGGTGGGTACGAGTTCCAGAGACCAAAGTCATGATAGACTTCCATATCATTATCAAGACACATGGTATCCATACCGTGACCATGGAGCGTCCCATTCGGTGGAGTCCCATAGCTACCACCAGGCATCTGAAGAGCGGGCATGGAAAAATCCGTCTCTGCCTGCGAGACCCCCTGCAATTGCGGGTCTAGAACATTGTTATTTGAGGGCATCGGTGGTTCACTCTCTTGCTTCGGGATTTCGGGCACCGAATTGTGTGATATTGGAGGTGAAGATCGCTGTTGTTGTGCGGGGATGTTGGAGAAGCTCTTTGATCGTGCTCCTATCTTTGCTTGTCGTCGAGCAAAACGGGCCTCGCAGGGCAGGTTCTTTTCTGCGCACCGCGAACATGGTACCGTTTTGTCACAGCCAGTCTTCGCGCTCGCACAGTTGAGGCAAGCAATGGGAGTTCTGCCTGCAATTGCAGGGACGCCTGTTGAGGGCTGCATTGGATCTTTCGCCTCGTGGTAGGTGAAGTGATGTCTCTGGAGCAAGTCTCTGCAAAAGTGCCAGATCAGCAAGGTGCAACCTGAAGAGGAAGATTTCACTGCTCTCTTACCTTCTTGGAAATGATAGCTGACACAAGCTACAACGATGCGGTTTAACATTTGTATCTGCATTTTCTCGTGTTAGTCAGACAGCTCTGAGCTTCAAAAGTCGACGACGGGAAGGTCTGGGACTTAGTGTCCAAGGACTACTCACGACTAGGTATATGTCTCTCGAGATGTTCCTTCCGAGTGAAGCTTTTCCCACAGTAAGTGCAGAAGATCATATTCTCTCATGCCTCTGCGTGTCTTCCATTTGCGTTTGACTTTTTTTTCTTCTCGATGTGCAGTGAAATGTTGGTAACTACACGTGTGGATCTGCGCGCTTTGATGGTGGACAAAGATGGTGATGGGCTTGGCTTTTCCTTTATCGGTGCTAGAGAGCAGCAAGGCGGGAAGCTTTTCTAAGTATGGAAAGAAGAGCTGTAGCGTGATATGATGTTATCTTTGAGTATGGTGCGGCGGAGAAAGGGAGTAGTAAGTAGTAGTGTCGAGCAGCCGTGTGTTGACGTGGGAGCCTCTATAAAGTAGTAAAGCTCAGTGCGGTACGAGGAGGGGTATCAAAGCACCTCAAAGCGAGAGAGTGTGTCAAGCGAGGGGTTGCAACTAAAATGGTTTCTGGCGCCAAGAATGGAACAGGCAGTGGTGGAGAAGAGGACGTGAGCAGACTCAGCAGAGAGTGCGAAGAAAATCAGCATAGGAACGAAAGGCTTCTTTCATGCGGAAAATGCCTGTCAGCCCCCCATGTAATGCCTGCTTTTGTTCTGCCCTGGTCTTCTATCTAATGGAAATGAGTGGATTGGCCTGAGCTGGCCTAAGACGATGAGATGAATGGATGATGAGTTGACAAGAGCTCGTCTGGCTTGGGTGCTTGCTGCTCTCTGTGAGAAGACGGATCTATCGTATCGGACCCGATTGAGTATGCATCCCACATTGCACGATCCCGGTGTAGATCATCCTGGTGGTTTGGAGGGAGTGGAATTTGAAATCAGCACTTTCCAGCCGCACCCCCCATGCTGAGTATGGGCTGGGATCGTTTGAATGGGTTGGGGTAGAGTAGTAGGGAAGGGTAGGGCAGGGCAACAGGGAATCTGGAGAGATGGCCTCGTGCGTACCTGGTCGAGAAACGAATGACGAGGCCCTCGCTCAATCTGGGCTTCGACAGATGATGGCCGGCGGCCATTATCCACTGCCCCAGAGGATTGACATGATCATGAGCCATTGGCCGGCATGGCGGGGGCTATGAAGAGAGGATATGGGCAGCGCATAGCATGGCATGGCATGGCATGGCATCGAGGAATCCTCCTCCATCTGCTCTTGTCATCCACTTGGAGTGACGCTGAGTTGAGGTCCTTCATGCAGGATTCGGTGGTTGTAGTAGTCCATTTCGTCCAGTATGTCGTGGCTGGGGGGCGGCGAAAGCACCAATCGCCAATAGTACAGGAGCAGGGACGGCAGGTGGCGGCAGTCGGGTCCAGGGTGGGTCGAAATTCTCCGACGGGAGCACACAAGCGGGCTGCTGCTGCTGCTTTCAAGGGACCAAAGGGGTGCAGTGGGTGGTGGCAAGGGGTCACAGTGGGAAGGGGTGTCTGCGTCAACAGGAGAGGATACCATGGCAAGACGAGGCGAGTGGCGAGAAAGAAGTATACGCGTGAGCCAGAGGCAGGAAGGAATCAGTGAGTGAGTGAGTGATGGTGGGAGTGAAAGACTGTGAGTGAACAGAAAGGCGAGCGAGCGAGTAGCAGTGAGCTGGAGCAGCATCAGCAGCAAGAGAACGAAAGGGAGTCAGAAAAGTGCCTGGCTTGGTCCTGCATTCGGTCGTTGCGTGATTACTACTTGCAGTTAGTCCAGGTCAGGTCAGGCTCAAGCTCGGCGCTACGGGATAACCTTTTACTCTAGCTCGCTCGCTCACTGAGTACTGTACCTGTCTGCGCTGCACCGTGCTGTACTGTATTAGAGTACTATACACCTTAGCTTAGGTACAGGTACAGGTACAGCTGGACGTTTCGGCGAGGAGTTGCGGTTCCTTCGTATCCTTTCTAGCCGCGTGTAACCCAGGCCCGAAGGGTGGTTGACGGGTGGTACGAGGAGAGATGACTGAGCCTGCGCCTGCGCCTGAACCTTATCTGTTTATCCCTCCAGAGTCGCATTGTTTCCTCACGCAGTGTTGGCAGTGGAGGGTAGGTAGGTATGTACCAAAATACACCAGAAATACACCAGAAGAAGGACGATCAAATAAGCAGTGATGTGAGGCCAGCATCAGCGCGCACCAGCCAGGCGAAGGGAAGGGCTGGCGCTCTTGCCCCGATACAGCTAGCCCCACGGTCATGGTGTGCGTGCACTGACCTAAGCAGCCAGGGGCCTCGTTCCATGGTACAGTACTGTATCAAAACACCATCCAAGCAGAGCCGAACTCACTCACACACAGACAGGAAATCCATCCATCAAGCAATGACAACACCATCACCAGAGCAGCCATGACCCTGAATACCTCGAATCACAGCAAATCAGCTCCGTGCATCCGCCCACCCTTGTCCAGGGGCGAACAACGAGCTCGAAGTGCTCGCTACCGTGCTACGGTAAGTACAAGACAGGTATCGGCTGAATACCGACGCGGTCCCAGAATCGTCGAGAACTCGTCACCTCTGGTCTGCGAGCCATGGTTGCTGTAATTGCCGTGTGCCTTTGCTGCTGCTGGAGCGCGGAGGATATACGTACGCACGTAGCACGGAGCAAGCAGTTCGCAGGCAACGGGGAAGGGGGATGGGTATTCGGATACACGGCACCATGGCAAGCAAGAAAAAGATTGGAAAATCTGGAGAAGAAGACGAGGACATGGGAGGCACGTACGTCGTCGTCGTCGTCAATATCCATCCAAGGCATGGCAGGCATATCCAAGGGCGAAAACTTTATTTTCCTAAGGCATTTGTGACAAAGCTTAATGTAGATTAGATGGCAGGTGGGAGCCGATGTGGTTCAAGCCGTGTATTTTTAGAGTTAGACAAGCCCATGGCCATGCCATGCCCTCCATGCTGGTCCTGGTCTTGATGCCATGCTTTCATGCTGGCCCCCTGTCTACCGGGCGATGGGCTGAGGCGATATTGCGTCAATTTGAAGTCTATTGCTAGCGAGTTGAGGTATACCACCTTGCACGTATATGGCGCGAAGTAAATTCATATGACGGCCGTACGAGAGTCCCTTGTACCTTGTCCCGGAGGTGATCCCGTCGTTTTGTCGCCGCCCGTCTGTTGCTCCGTCTCTGTCTCCAAGGTTGTCCCGGCTGGAAATAGCCGCGGCTGGTAAAATAATATCGACTTGCCTTATCTCGAGAGAGAGAAAATGTCAACAAGCAACACTCTCTTCCTTCTTCCGCACCGCACGCTCCGATATTGTGCAGACGAGAACGTGATGTTGAAATTTACTTTATATGAATCCCTGCACGACTTTCCCATCACGAAGAGCTGACAAATGCATCCTTTTAAATTGGGGGAGCATTGCCTGAGGACTTGCCGTTGGTGTCTCCGTCCCATCCCCAAGAAGAGCGCTCTGGCAAGCGAAGGAACGCACTCTATCTGACGCAAAAGACGTAATAATCGAGATACGAAAGCTGGCCGTTCGTCTTGGCCCGAGATGGGCTGAGGAAGGGAAAAACGTTGGTCAGAACTCTATGCAGCATGCGCACTACACATGGCGGTTGCTGTTCAATAACAAATGATCGTGGGGATCACCCTCTCTCTATCGCTTCTGAATGGGCGGCGGTTGCGTCGCGCTTGAGGACGAGAGAAGGTGCTTTAGTGAGATGGCCTCAGCGCCGCGCCGCGCCAACACCAACACCAACACCAACACCAGCGCTATGCTCGCTCTCCCTAGCCTACGGGTCAGCAAGATCCAGGGCCGAGCGGTGGATCTGGTGGAGGTTCGTGGGTGGAGTTAGTGTGTGTTGTCGGTGCTTCCAGGGGGAATCCATAGTGAGCAAGGCCACTAAAGCCCCTAAGCGGGAACGTCCAGATTGAATTTCAGGGGCACTGAGCACCACAGCCGGGGAAGCGAGTTAAGCTTACAGGGGCAAGAAAGGGCGAGATGCCTTCGACACAGCAACACTTCTGCCGAGAACACACCAGACAGAAGAGCAGACCACACTTGCGGCCGCGAGGTGCATTGTAGACTCGCGCAGGATGCTTGGCCTGCAGTAAAGCAGAGCAGAGATTGCAATGCAGTGCTGCAGAAAGAAAGATCTCTTCCGAAAGACCCGATCAATAATGAATGTATGCTGTGGTACGGCCGCGGGAGCTTGTGGGAACAGGTAGCCTGGCCGCTTGGGAACTCGTAGGAACCTTGGGCCCATGGCTTCATGGTATGGCAAAACTCGTGATGAGATTCGATACGGGAGATACCATTCGCAAGAAGGAACGAGTGCGATGGATTTAGCAACAACGATCTGGAACGTCCATGCTGACGAAAGAAAAGAAAGCTGGCAAGCAAGGCTGAATCAGAGCGAAAGCAATCGACGTGAGGCTGAGGAACTTACACTCTCTGGGGATTATTTTGTTTTCATAATTCGATGTATTGTGTTAGGAAATATTGCGGTGGTGGAGAATTATGAATAGCATGAATGTTATTCCAACGCCATACCGCTAATGTCACTAGTGTCTTGGACCAACGGAAAGCGCTTTGGAATCCAACAAAGCAAAATCGCCAGCGCCCAACTCAATCTGAGCCTCAAAAAGCATATTTAGATCCTTCTTAGACCGTTCTGGAAGGAAGAAAAGATCCGATTTGATCTATCGGGTTTCTGCCACCAACCTTTCCTATTCTTGCCAAACCACAACATAGGACGCTTTCATCCTTCGACCGGTGAGGGCATTCTTGAGATGGAGGATTATGTACTTACCAGACGACACCGGCCACCCGATTGGGGAAGATAAGCTTCTTGATTACCTGTTTTAGGAGAGTGGTCGCCTTGTCGCTTCACGACGATATATCAGCTTAGCTTAGTCTGAACTTTGTCGGGACAGCACTGAGGTGAGAAAATACAACAAACGGTGAGCCTTAGAGTTTCATCTTGCATCCTCCCCTCCGCCTCCGCCTCCTTCCACCTGTTCTCCCCCGCCAACGCATAGACTGACGAACAGCTTGCTCTGCTTGTCTTGGTTCAGGTTCAGGTTCGTGTCAGTAGTCAGTCAGAGCTGTAGCTATTCGGAGCTGAGGCGGCTCGTCGTCATTGCTTCGCCCAGATCCTCGTTTGCCGTGCTCCAATCTCCAACGTTGAAACACGACGGCTTCTGATCAGCTCTGTAACGGTGTGATGTGTTGTTCTTCAACCAGGAACTCGGATAGCAGGGCGCAGTCGAGGTTGTGGAATCGTCTGAGAGAGTGTGCTGATCTCGGTCAAAGATACGACCGAAGCCGCAAACTTTCCTGAATAGGACACCCCAGTGTAGCTTTCCAGCTTGGAATGGCATAGGGCGTGTCGTATGAGGGTTCGTGTGTTCGTGTTTATTGTTGATCACCGACCGAGCAATGCCGACTCGGACATCTGAGCGAGCCATTTGTTTCGACCGTCTAGTAGTTAGACCGCCGTGCACGGCACCAGCATCTTCATCTCTCAACATCGCTTTGTTCTTCTTTTCTTCTATACCCTCCTCCCACTAAGTCTCACCACGCGCTTTCGTTCAAGTGAAAGAAAGAATGATGACAAGATACGAGACGAGACATGAGACGGTCTCCGCCGCCGTCCTTCCCGTCATGATTCATGATGCATCCAAGAGCCGATGAGGCAGGCCTACCGTTCCTGTACACCGTTCGAATTGGGGGCGCCGTGGACTTGCATATGCTCAACGCGAAAGCGATACACGATACGAAGCTAGAATACCAGTAGCAATGAGCAGCGAGTTCCCAAGAACACGCCAAGCCAATATCCATCAGACAACACTTCCTGTTCCGGGTCATGGCTTCTGATCTCTGTATGCAGTGACAAGGTGCTGCGCAGCCTCTTTTGCTTCCGAATGTCTGGATGTCAGACAGTAAGCATATTTCGACAAGCGAATCGCGTATCGAGCTCCTCCTTCCTTCCGCTGCCTCGTCTTTCTCTGGGTTGGAAACTCGTGGGATGGATGCGATGTAGAAAGTCGGCGCAGCTGAAGAAGGAAGGATTTGCCATGTGGTCACGATTAGCTGATAACGAAACGAGAAGGATCTGAGTTCCCATCCTCAGCCCTATGAACGCATACTTCATATCCGAAAGGCTGTTGGTGGTCAGCGATAAGGCCATCGAAACGGTGTGGGAAAGGCTAGACTCGGAGAACCTCGAAGCCGAGGAACAAGCTAGAGAGACTACTAGAGCGATCTTTGGTGAAAATAATTTCACATAGCCTTCACGTCAAGAAGGAGCTCTAAAAGATCTCTTCTTATCCAGCGAAAAGCGAGCATTCGGAAGCAATATCCCATCTCTTTCTCTCTGGTCTGTATTCTCTCACCGTGTCACAAAAAAAAAAGATTCCTCACAGCGGAGCCAAGAGCGGGGCAAATTCGCTGCAAGGCGGAGATCTCAACCAGCTCGGAGCTTCCTCCAATGACGAGACCAGACCAAATCTTACTCTACAGTACAGCACCACGAGAAGAACACCACTTCTCTGCATTGCATTTCCGATCATCTAGTACTATCCATGTGCCGAGCCCTTGGGATCAGGCCATTGATGCATCGTAGAAAAATTCGTTACAATAGCTTCTAGCGGAGCCTGCCTACGTTGTCAATCACCTCACCCAAGAGTCTTGGGTGATTGACAAGAGAAAGTTCGATACAATAGAAAGTCCGATTGAAAGCGCTGCAGCTGCTGCTGCTGTATTGTCGATCACTAGCATCGGGGGAGCGAAGATCACTTTGTCCGGAATTATTGAAAACTCTAAATTAGTGTAGTCACGGTAAAAGGGATGAAGAGCTGTCAAGATCTTGGAGATCTTCATGGATTCAAAAGCTTGATTCTCTGTTGCTTTGCATGCAAGCCACGAATCTGGGGTAAGTGAAGGGAGGTATGATTTTCCATCGGTGGCGATGATGAGGAGGAAACTTCAGACGAAAGGACAATAAGATGGAATAGAGTGAGATATGTTGTATAAGATCCTTTCTTCATTTCTCTTTTTGTTTTCAAGAAAGAGGCTCAACTTGCCAAGCTCTCTATCCCACTTCTCCACTCTCGCAACCCAACCCCAAAGAGAGCAAAAAATGCGGCTCTTCCACCATACCTAGATCTCGATCCCCTCGTGAACACTTGCCCTCCAACCCCATCGATCGACAACCCTATCCATATACAGTAATCGCCCAAGCATCTTGGCCTTCTTTTCACACGCAGATCACTTTACCAATCTCTGCTCAACCCCCAAAAGACAGATAGTAGCATCGCAGATCTCAAACCGATTCTTACCTTACCACGCCACGGCTCTTCGGCTCATCTGCTCAAGCCGAAAATACGACCTTACCATTATTCCTCCCAGAAGCAAATAAAAAGAACGTTGTCAGCATAGTCTGTGCGGAAACGTGAAGATCACAATGCCCAAAACGGTAATCGGACCACGATGCAGCCGTCCCGTTTGGGCAATGAACGCTCGGTTGAGGAGAGCTGGAGAACGGACTGACAGACAGACAGACAACGCGAGGCTGCATGATGATGACTGACTGACGTGTTGGCGGTAGGTTATAGTTATTGTATTATATCTTCATTCTGGAGATGGCGGGATGATCGTTTGTCTTTGCACGGGGTGTATCATGGGAGAGGGAAGGCAGGAGGGCACGCGATCGTCACCGTCGTCGTCGGCGGCGGCGGTGGTGGTGGTGGTGGTAAACTTGGATTTTTCTTTCTGCGCTGCACTCCTCACCAGCATTTACGCCCCAAAAGCCAGAGGAGAAGCGGTGGTACTGCGGTGGGTTGAAAACTGGTTCGAATCACGAACGTTCAGGAGGATGTTCTCCGTAAGACAACGTCCACAGACAGACAGAAACACGATAAGATCAGAGACACGACGACTCTCCACAATCTCTCTCTCTCTCTCTCTCTCTCTCTACCGTCTCTCTTTTCGGCACTCAAGCCCAAGCCCACTCACCATATAGAGGGATTTAAACAAAATGTGCTGCTGACCGACCGACCCGACCGACATACAGATACGAGACTGAAACCCCAACCCCAATCCCCTCAGCAATCACATCAAATCACTCCTCAAGTGGAGCCAGACAAAAAAGTTGGAGGCTCACTCCTCACATGAAACTATTGAATTTTCGCTGGCGGCCGTGCATGGTGGTTGACGCCTTTCTCTATTATGATATGTACGGATCGGTGTTCGGGGAAAGTGAGAAGCCTATTTTTCTGCCCTCTATCCCGTATGAGGGATACGCTGTTTTTCTTAGTGGGGTTTGTTGGGACAGGACAGGACAGGACAGGAAATAAGGCTGAGATCGTCCAAAACAACCACGCTAGGAATTTTGCTTTCTTATCCCCGGGTTTCTCGTACCTATCTATGTATGTAAGATAGTAAGAATAAGTAATCGTATTCGCGTCATAATTCATCTTAAGAATTGAGAGAGGTAAACCCGGCGAGCGAGAGACAGAGAGGAAGAAAGCTACGTGTAGGAAGGACAAGCATGCTGCTATTTTCGGGGCTTATTAGGCTTCAGGAACCGGCTTCCCGGGTCCCTTCCTATCCCTCTGAAACATGCCCTATAGGAATTTTCACCGCGATAAGGACGAGGGTTCCTGATCTGATGTAGTGGGGGTTGGAGTCAGTTAGCACACGATCAATTTTTTTTTTGTGTATGTATGTATGTATGTACTGATTAGGTAGGAAGCTTTTTCTGTTGAGACATACCTACAGAAAGAGTTTGAGGCAAAAGTTTGAGACACACAGAGATGAATGAGACTGGACGATAATTCTCCTCGTACGACCCCGCAGCAAAAGGCAAGCTGAGTCGTAGAATTTGTCAAACCACCACCGCAGCCAAGCCACATACATACGTGTAGTTAGTGAGTGAAGTCGGTAAGTATTTTATGTATGGATGGATGTACACTACATGTACATGTACATACATTTACTTATCGTGATGACGACGAGGTCCCGATTTTATTTTTTTTCTCTTTCCTTTCTCTCTTCCATGCATGCCCGAATCATACATACATACATATCTTATGACCTGATAATGTCCCGAACGAACGATTGTATTCCCCGAGCGAGAGCTTGTCTTAGGGAAGGGGGGGTATGGAAGATTATCTACATAGGTAGGTACACATGTCTATCTGTCTATCTAATCAGATTGACTTCCCGCTACGCTGTCCCACCCCCGTACAAACAAATGAGCTACGGATTGAGTTTCTTGCTACCTACCTAGTTTGCATTCCTTCATCTTTCACACGTGAAAGCAAGGAAAGAAAAAGAAGGGGACCACACAACACAGCAACAAAGAAAGAGGGGACCGTTGCAGTGCATTTTGTTATCGTCATGCATATAATGGACTTGTTGTATCCCTGCCAAAGTATGATTGATGATCCCGTCCCGTATTCCCATCCCAGAACCGAAGAAGCCGACGAACGCCCTTTGCCAAGACCGACCCTTTCCTTCTTTCTTTCTCTCTAAACTCAATCAATGAGCGAGCGAGTGACTGCCTGACTATTTGGTGTATGTAGGTATGAACACATGTAAGACGGAAAGTACAGTATTGAAACGCAGCGGGATAAATGTACAAATCCATCATCAGAAAAGAAAGGGAATCCAATCAAACTTTCTCTTGATTATGAGGAAGGGGGGAAAAAAGAGGCATCAAGCCATCCCTTCCTGAACACAGCAATAATTCCTCTGAGACTTCAACGCCTCGGTCGTATGATGCAAGCTCTGACAAAGGTAATTCGTAACCGCACTATGCATCCCCGCCCCCTCATCACTCTCACTCTTCACGGAACTCTCCTGGAACTTCGCAAACAGCTCCTCCAACTTCTTCAGATCCCTCAATATGATCTCCATCTGCAGCCAGCGCACATCTTCGCTCGCCACGCGGTACGACCCGAACGTCAACGGCAGCTGATCCGGCCCCACGCTGCCGCCGCCGCCAAAGTAGTTTTTGGATGCGTCCTGGTAGATGGCGATGATCATGCCGAGGATGGTGCCCAGGAACATCGTGCGGGATGAGAAGCCTGACCGGGACATGCAGATCGGGCAGTTGAGCATGACGGCGCAGGTCTCGACCGCCTTCTGGTTGACCGTCAGGATCACGTCGAAGGGCGACGCGGCCGAGATGCCGTCCGAGTTGTGGAGCGCGCCCAGGGCGTGCAGGCAGGTGTTGAAGCAGTTGCAGGTGGGGTTCTTGCCGGCCATAGCAGCAGCATTAGACATATAAACATTATTTGGCATCGGAGCTAGGCCGGCTTGTTGGTGAGATTGGTAGTTTGCGGCGGCGTCGGGGTGGTCGTACCAGGGAACGGTGGATTGGGGGATGGGGCCGTCGTTCATGGATTTGGAGCGGTAGTGGAGGCTGTTGTCTAGGTAGGGAGAAGTCATATCTGTGTGTGGTGTCCACGAGAAAGAGGGATCAAACAGAGCTGGGTTTCCCGAGCTATCTGTCCCAGAACTATCGTCTCCATTCCGAGGTAATGAAGCTGAGGAAATGGATCGTCGGCCCATAGATCCATCTGGAGACCCCAGCATGACTGACCATTCCGTCTCCTCTGCCTCCATTCCATATGCCGTGTGATTCCCGCCATTCAGACGCATCGAAGGGTGTCGATTCGAGACGGCTCCTTCAGCTATTGCCATATCCGCCGACAGAGACGGACGATGTGTCTTGGAGGAGGAAGAGCCATCTGCCTTGGGTTTCCCAGCTCTCGACGAAGGGCTGTACTTGCAATCCGCTCCACAAGCGAGACATCGTGAGCAGATTGGCCTCGTCTTACTGCATTTGACCTTTGCCAGAAAGCAAGTATCGCAAGACGCTCTCAATTTGGAATATCGAGGTTTGGTGTTGTCGACGGAGGTGCGTTTCGCTGGCCCATACATTCCGAGGAGGTATTATGTTTTATGTATTGGTTGTAAATAATAGAATTATTGGTATTTATATTGGTTGTTTTGTTTTTTGGCTGACGAAAGCGGGCGTGGGGGCGGATTAGGTAGGTATTTGGGGAAGGAAGAAAAACGAGAGTATTCTTTTGTTCGTCGTCGTTGAGAAATATCTAGAGCCGGTGCGGCTGAGGCAATGGGATCTTGAAGGGATCAACCATGAGGGGAATATCGACTCGGACGAAGCTCGTTTGAGGGCGGTGGATTAGAAGGGAAGGGGGACAAAAACGACTGCGGATGCCTTGGGGACGTGAGTTGAGTGAGTGAGTAAGTGTGAGTGCGTGAGCGAGCGAGGGAGTATCGTATGGGACGTAAGGAGCTGAGTAGTCCGTACCGTACCGTACGAAGCAGCGGGAGAGATACGACGAGGGTTTGTAAGGATGATCGACGTCGAGGTGAAAGATTTAAGGTTAGGTTATGTCATGGACCGTCAACACGAACCCTGACTTGTTTCTGATGCTGCTCTGGTTTTGCACTGGTGCACCGCTCTCGAGCTTGTCGGTGTGCCAAGCCAAGCGTTTGGGCGGTGGTGGATGGTATTATGTTGGGAGTAGTAATCCTGTTCGGACTCGCATCAAGCATCAAGCATTAAGCAAGCAGCAGAATGGAGCAATTCATCTCCCGTGTTGTCGAGAGAGGGCAGAAACGTGTGGAATGATGGGCTGCACGGTAAGGCTTGCAGCCACAGGGCCCGATGGATGACATGACCATGATGAAGTGGTGGTCGTAACCTTATCTGTCAGGAGTAGCAGCCGTAGCTCGCTCGCTCAGGACAGGAGTAATCAGGGCCCGGCAGGGACCGTCAGAGTCTCTCACCCGCACGGTGGGCTCTGTTCATCAGACTTCGGACGTCCGAGCAGCAGTAGTAACATAGCGAATAATAGCAGATGGGGTGTGTGTGTGTGTGTGTGTGTTGGTGGAGTTGGTGGTGAAGAGGGAACGGATTATCTTACGGAGGAGCTTGAAGCCGGTGTGTGATGGTTGTGGTTTGGTTTCCTTCTTTCTTTCTTCAGCCTCGAAAACGATGATCCGGGTCAGATAGGGATCGTAGCATCCGTCGGTGATAGGGTAGCCTCGAGAGGGGTGGGGATGTGTCTATACCGGTATCAGCACCAGCAGCACCAGTATCTCGATCGAAGAGGCAGAGAAGTGATGCTTGGTCAGGTCAGATCTCGGGCTTAGCTACCCTTGGCCTGACCTGACGTGGCGTCCTCTCGAGCTCTATCCCATCAAAGCGAGATTGAGGGGTCGACCAGAGCTCCACTGGCGGGCAAGATGAGGTCAGGCAAATGCATGGCACGATGCACCCCTCCACACCAGACGGCCGCCTGGAAGGATCGGGAGGAATTAAGCATATTGGGTTGATGTGCACTGCAATGGAAGCCTGTACTGCGCTGAAGAGAGCAGCATTGCGCTCCATCCCATCAGCAGTGCTGCTGCTGCTCCACCATACGGATGTTTGGAGGTGGGATGGGGGATGGGGGATAGGGTGTGGGCACTGTGGGTGTTCAGGTGCGGGAAATGCCCGTACAGTAAGGTAAGTACAGTAAGTTGAGGAACACGAGCCGGAACGTAGCGGAGGATGTGGGATTGTGGATCACAATCGGGGATATGATGAGCATCCAGGATGTAAGATTACCAGTGTTTGATCTGTCCACCAGCATCGCTCGCTCCATATGGCATCCTCCACGCTACAGTAAGTACCTATTGTACTCCCTACGCTGTCCATGGCGCACCGACGCCTGCACAAGCCCCCCAGCCTAAAAAAGCCAAGCCTTGAACCCGCACTTCCAAGACATCCCCTAAGACCACCCTAAAGCACCCTGTATCCTGCCCAGGCACCCCAACGCGGCACAGTGCAGCACGCTGCAAGCCCGGGACGCTATTTCAGGAAGAAGCGGGGCGGTCGGGGGGTGAAAGCGACAGGGTGAGCTGAAGTAAGTTTAGGGGCTGATCTCAAGATCCACCGCAGATCTCCATAACCTTACAGCCTGTCCTGTCTGTTACTGTATCGGCCTACTCGCACCGGCAGATGCAGCGCTACCGTAGCGTCGGACTCTATTTGCACGGCCAGCGTGCCTCTAGTCATGATTCACATTCTTTTCGCGCACCGGAGCCATTTCCACTGACGACTAAGCGAGCGAGGCAATAGGGGCATCCGATGGGGACAATGCGGCTCACGGGCGCGTGCAGCACGCCGTCAGCCTAACTCGGTCAGTGCACACGAAGCCGTCGACGTCGACGACGGGGTTTGCACATCTTATTTACGAGAGAGGAAGAAAGAAAGGAAAACCAAACTATCGAAAATAGATTTTTCTCCGAGGCATAGCAGCAGTCCTATGACTGATCATCCCCATCGGCTAGCTACATGACATATTGAACATTCTGACTGCTGATGCTGCGAAACGCCAAAGTCTAAGAGGGAACAAAAACGAGAGCCCAAAACTTATTATACCCGGCAAATAAAATGAACAATAGACAGTAAAATGAATGGCAAGGAAATGCAAAGTCTTGCGAGGTGAACAAAAAAATCACAATCTCCCATTCTCCGGACCCCGAGAAAATCAACCCAAAGAAAAGGAAAGTCGTTTACAAATCGCCGTCAGGCTACTACACCGTCGCGAGGACGGCCTCTCTAAGCAGATCACCCAGTTCTTTGACCTGTGAGACAACAGATGTTAGCACGGAAGGCGCGGATGCAACACAGGGGAAAGGCACTAGGAGGTACTTACATATGGACGCTTCATCATGGAGAAATGATTGCCGGGCATATGTCGAGTAACAAATCTCTCCGAGTTGAGGTATTTGTCCCAGAGGTTGGGTCCGAAGTCGGTTCTATTGTCTAAAAGGAATTGTGCGTGACCGTACGGGAAGGGATCAGGTCGGGGGTCGGTAGGCAGCTTGCAGACGCCGTCCTCGCACCAGATGGCAGTCACATGAGGGCTCTTTTTGGAATCGATCTTCTCTGCCGTGTAATTCGATAGAGCGTTGACTGACGCGGCAAAATGAGGCAGCAGCCACTTGGGCAGCTTCGAGAAGTCGCCGTCGCCAAGGAGACCGATGGAGGCGAACCAACGATGGAGGGAAGCTGGCAAGGGCTCGATAATGTCGGGGCAGGGTGAGTCGATGAGGATGAGTTTCTCGACTTCGTCGCCAGCCTTGGTCAGTTGATTCACGGCTTCGAAGGCAATGACTCCACCAGCACTCCAGCCAGCCAACATGTAGGGACCGGTTGGCTGTCTTCGCTTCATCTCGGTGACAAATGCTGTAGCCATGCCAATGACACCACACTTGTACTCCTCGGGAAACTTCATGTAGGGTGAGTTGAGACCCATGACCGCAACTTGAGGCGTAAGATCTGGAATGTCGACGTATGAAGTCGCAGATCCACCTCCGTCAGGAATGATCCAGAGCTGCTTCGTGGCGCTTCTCAAGCTACCTTGAAGGAGCACTGAAGTCGCGAGGCGCTGAGGAGGCATACGTGATATTGTCATTTCCACTTCCTGCTTCACTTGCTGCTTGACAACCACTTGCTTGACAACGGGGGCAGCCTTAACAGGTGCTGGTGGTGGAGCATCGATGTTCAGTGACCGTTTGATCTCCTGGATGGTAGTGTTTGTGACCAAGAGATCGCCAGGAAGATTCATGTCAGTCTTTTCTCGTAGACGTCCAAGAATAGTCAAGCTCATCAATGAATCCATGCCCAGCGTTGAAAGATCAACTGTATCGGCAATTTCATCGGTGTCGACTCCCATTTCTTCCGCAATGGTTTGTCTAATGAGTTCTGTGAGACTACCTGCCTCGTCAGGGCTGACCTTCTCATCATCGGTGCTGTCTTCAAGTGGAGTAGTGACATTAGAATCATCAACCAAGTCAGGTGTAGATTCATTGCCAGATGTGGTAGAGCTTGTCTCAACCGAGTCCACAGCGGCTACCCGTTCAGTCTCAAATTTGGACAAGAAGGACTTGAAAGCTCCGATGGTTGGGTGATCGACGAAGTCATTTGAGTGAACATCGATATCCATCTCCTCTCGGATCCTGCCACTGACGGTCAAGGACATGAGAGAGTCCACACCAAGGTCAGCAAAGCCAATGTTGTCGACGAGCTCTTCGAGTTCAACGCCAACCTCCGTGGCCAAGATATCGAGAATCTTGGATGTGACAGAGCCAATAAGCTTCTTGTTGACAGTAGCAATACTGGTCATGCTCACTTGCGCAGTCTTTGCAGGCTTAGCTGGTTTGGCGACAACAGCAGCTTGTTGTTTTGGAGCTGCGATTTGACGGACTGGAGCAGACTTGGCAGCAGCACCAACAGGAGGCAAGAAGATGTTCATGACTCTGCGTGGAATGCATTGGAACTTCAAGCCTTCGCAGACAGCCACAATTCTGCCACTCTCGAAGATGAAGACATCACCAGATTTGACATTGGGCTCGCTGTCTTGCATCCTCACATAGGTGCGGTAATTCTTCTCGGCAGACAGTGGCTCAGCGACCTTGAACGATCCCCATCCGTGAGAGATGTAGACACTTTCGCGAGAGTCGACGGCATCAGATCCATTGAGAATGAAACCAGAGATGTGGTTCACGCTGTCGATCCAGTATGGACTGCATACGAACTTTCCATCTGCTTCCGTTGTCTGGAACTTAACCTTGGCAGTAGCCTCGAAGTTGTCACTGTGAAGGATGACTTCTTCCATGCCTCGGAATTTGGGATTGTAGTCAACCAAGGCAGTGAACAATTTGTATGCCAAGCCACGTCCCACCTTGTGAGCAATGCCAGTCTTCTCGGCATTTTGTAGCCAATCAACACGGCCTTCGATGAGGTAGGCGCTGCGTTTCCAATCAGCGAGGTATTCAGAGCTCTTTCCGAAGTAGACCTGGCAAATGCCGTGCTCAGTAAGAGTCTTGCCTGAGCCAGACATGAATGTGAGGTCAGCACGACCAGCACCGACATCGACTCTTGCTTTGAGGGTGAGGATTTGACTCTTGCCCTCCGGAGAAGCGACGAGTGGCTTGGGGACCTTCATGTTCGACAAGTCCATACCAAGATCAGTGACATCTGGCTTGATCAAACGGTATGCATAATCACAGACCGTCATTGCCATGTCGCCGTATAGTGACGATGGGCAAAGGAAAGCTCCGTTCACAACGTGGCCACTGACAACCTCGCGAAGACCAGGCTTAGCAAGATCTGACTCGGTGACCATGGTGACAACATCGCCTTCGATGACTTCGCTGACGACGTTGTGGATTGATGTTGTAGACAACTTGGGCTTAGCCTCCTTCTCTGCTTCGATGAAACCGCTAGTGGGGAGCTTGCCCTTGGTCAAGCACCAATCGCCTTCATACTGGATCCAGTAGTTCTTGTCATCAAAGCTGTAGCTAGGAAGATCAAGAAGCTGAACACAGTCATTGAAGTCGCGGTGGTATTCGTTCCAGTCAACATTGAGACCAGCAGTGTGCATGGTGCTCAAACTGGAGCTGATGGTCTTGTAAGGACTCTCACCTCTGCGAAGAGTAGGAGCGGTGATTGTTGAAACATCGAGAGTTGCCTTGACCATGCCGGAGCATACGGTGTGAGGACCAACTTCGACCCAGACGGTCTTGTTGTCCACGCTACCAGACTGTTGAGCAGATTGAAATCCACCAAGGAAGTCAACAGGGTTGCGAGCATGGTTTCTGAGGTATTCTGCATCGATGACCTCAGGCTCGTTGAGCATACGGCCAAGGACAGATGAGATGAGAGGCACCTTCTCCTTCCCAAAGTGAACGGATTCAGCAAGCTTCTGGAAGTCGTCCAAAATGGGGTCGACTTGGCCAGAGTGGAAGGCGAAAGGCACCTTCAGCTGCGTGCACTTAATGCCTGCGTCGTTGAGCAGGTCCGAGATGGTGGCCATCTCTTCGACGGCACCGCTGAGGACGGTCTCTCTTGGGCTGTTGATGCAAGCAATGTTCAAGTTCGAGGAAGCATTTCCAAGAGCTTCGGTGATAGAAGCAACGGAACCTTGAACAGCAACCATGACGTGGGTGCCAGGAGTGCACTTCTCAACCAAAAGCTGAGCTCGCATACCGACGAGATAGATCACATCACTAGCTGAAAGAATGCCAGAAACATTCAAAGCAGCGTACTCTCCCAAGCTGTGTCCAAGGACAACGGAAGGCTTGACTCCCCATGAGTCCCAGAGTCTTGCGACAGCCATCTCAAGGCATACAATGCCAAGCTGAACGATGACTGGCGAAAGTGCTTGAACATCCTCAGCGCTGCCATCAATCAATGGAATGAAAGATGGGAAGCCGTGGATGTTGGCGATGCTGTCGAACTCATCAATCGTCTCCCGGAAGAGGGTAGAGTTTGCATAGAGCTCTTTGCCCATTGCCGCATAGTGGGATCCTTGACCAGTGAAAAGGAACGCCACCTTTGGTGGCTCAGGCAAAACGGGAACGACCGTCTCACTAAGTTTGGATTTGAGAGCTGCCTGGATTTGGGCAATGTCGGTTCCAGTAACTGAAATTCTCCAGTTGTGTTGGATCTTTCGAGCAGTAGTGGTATATGCAAGATCGGAGATGGATGTTGTTGGGTTTTGGTCGAGGTATGCAATGTATCGCTCGGCATTTCTGATCATCGCAGACTTTGACTTGGCAGTAACGGTGATGATATGGGTTGATCGAGGATCAATGACGTTTCTGAGGTGAGCTGGGCCTTCTTCCAATAGAAGTCCAGTGTTTCCACCGGCGGCACTGAAGTTATTGACAAAGATGCGTCGAGGGGTGCCAGCTCTCTTTCGAAGTGGAGTCTTATGGAATGCAATGTGAACATTGCGCTCCGCAAGATCTTTGGGGAAGCCCTTGTTGATGGTCTTCTTAATTCCAACATGTGGAGGAATGGCATTGTTCTTCAACATCATTAAGACCTTGATCAAGGCTGTGACACCTGATGCAGCTTCACCGTGTCCAACGTTGGCCTTTACGGCACCGAGGAACAACGGTTGTTCAGCAGTCCTCTTGCGGTCGGCAGGAGCAAAGACATTGGTGACAGACTTCATCTCAGTGCCGTCACCTGCTTGCGTACCAGTTCCGTGCATCTCAACGTAGTCAATATCGAGCGCGTCAACACCAGCCTTCTCGAGAATGGACTTGTAGAGGATCTCTTGAGTTCCTCCGTGAGGATGGGTGATCGAGATAGCATCCGCAGAGTGATTTGTAGCAGTTGCGAGGATGACAGCGAGAACATTATCCTTCCTGTAGGTTGTCAATAAAGCACGTGGTCGCATCCATGATGAAGGAGAACTTACTCGGCCAAAGCATCGTCAAGTCTCTTGACAATGACTGTTCCTACACCATCTGCTCGGCAGTATCCGTCTGCGTCGTTGTCAAATGTAGCACAAGGTCCTGTCTTCGACAAAAACTGGCCTCGACTAAGACCTGCAAAAATATCCGAGTTGGTCATACACGAGAGACCACCAACGATGGCTGTGTCACAGTCTCCAGCCCATAGGGATGTGCAGGCTAGTTGCATTGCGGCAGCACTCGATGAACAAGCAGTGTCGATGTTAAAAGAAGGTCCAGAGAACCCGAAATGATAATTGATTCGCCCTGGTCCGAAGGCTCTCACACCACCGGTGATGAAATATGTGTCGACTTCTTGAGCCGCATTAATTTCTCGCCAGTCGTCACTAGTCTGTCCATAGAATGTACCGATGCGATCAAGCTGCGTTGAGCGCGTCCGGTTTGGAACGTATCCAGACATCTCAAGGGCCTCGTAGGCAGTTGATAAAGCCATTCTTTGCATGGGATCTGTTTGGAATGCCTCACGAGGAGACATGTTGAAGAATCGAGGATCGAAAAGACCTGGGTTCTCAATCCAGCATCCATAAGGTGTGTGGCTAGTGTTTTTAACCTTGCCGTTAGCGTCGACATGTGTTTCAGCGTTAAACCGGTCCTTTGGAACCACGCGATGAACGTCGAGTCCCTTCTCAAGCAGTTCCCATAGCTTCTCGTGGCTTGCAGCGTCAGGAAATCGACCGGCCATGCCGACAATTGCCAGCTTAACGGGTCCATTGGGCTCGCTCTTCGGCGACGAGTTGTCTTGCTTTGCGGCTGTTAGTGGTCGTCGAAGAATGATCTCAAGATCAGTCTGGGCTTTGAGCATCGACGCCAGGGTGCTTGCTGCTTTTGTGGGGCCTGGTCTTCATCAGTAATTTGTATTTGTAATCGACGATGTCACTGACCATAGGGTATGACAAGGCACTTCTCGCCCTTGTATTCTTGTGCCTTGACGACACATGCATGAACAACCTTCTGGAAGTCAAGTCGGTCTGTCAAAATGTCTCGGACAATTGCTTGAATAAGCGAGATGGAGGTCCGTTCGGAGTACCACGTGCCCGTCGCGCAAGACAACACGGGATAGCGAGGTACGCAGTTGCTAAGCACTCTTTGCACTGGCGAGCTGCTCAGACGTAAGATTTTCTCGGCGTTGAAGTTTGAGAAAAGATGTGGTGCATGATATGGTCCATGTACCGGAATAGACATGGGTTTGGTGTCGAAGACATCAGCGGCGGAGAGTGTCTTCAGGGTCGCAGGTGGTCCACTGATAGCGATACTAGTAGCGGTGACGGCACTCACGTAGGCTTGGCTCGCCAATGGAATGCTCTGTAGGAAGTAAGTACGTGTGTCAAGATGATAGAGTGATCAAACTTACGTTCTCGGCGTGAAAATCTTTGAGAATTGAGCGTGTTTCTGCTTCTTCCAAAGCAGGTAGAACATAGGTCCAGCTCTCTGAGGCTTCTGTGTTTCCTTGGAGACGATCTGCCAATGCAGCAACATGTGCTCCAGTCCGGAATGCCATGAGGACAACTTGCACCGCAACTGGAACAAGCCCAGAGAGAGATGGCGCTGAAGAAATCGCAGCAGCAGCGAAGAGACCTGTACACAGGCCGACCAAGAAGGTCTCTGCGGGTTTTGTTGTATCTTCATGCATCTTCTCGGCGCGGCTTTGATTGCAGGGTTAGTCGCTTCATTCTCAGAAAAGTGAGGTCTGACTTACTCAATATAATGTGCCAATTGTGTGATGCACAGCAACGCGCTATCCACAGCAGCGTTCTTGATATCTCTTGCATGATATCTGTCGTTCAATTCTTTGATGCTGGAGAAATGAGGGACTCTTCGTCGTTCAAGGACCGACAATTGATCCACCTCAGCTCTCAATGCGGATCCCACCCTATCCAGGAACGATTGTGTCAATATACTAGGATTTCCAGACTTGAAGAAGTCTGCCAGAAATCCATGAATATCCAGTGTCTGGTCTCCAAAAAGGAGAAATGCCATCTTTTCCGCCATCGTGGAGCTGAGCTATGCTCTCCTTAGTAGAGCAGCCCACAAGCTCTTCGACGTCCCTCCAAGTCTATATCAATGAAATGAGCGAGCGGGATGTTGAAACAAAGTCGAAGATGATGAGACGTTCTCAGATACCATTGCACTGTTGTTGGTGCTTCTGGTCAGTTCTTTGAGACAGCAGCTGGTACCTATAGTGCTTGAGCACCCTGATATGACAGATTGTCTTACCTAGTTCGAGACTCCGTCGAAGGCAGTGTCCGTTCAATCTTTTTTCGGACATCGATAACCGAGCCGCTTATGGCGAGATCACTACTCGTGAGGGATGGTTGGTACATCGATGCTTGGGTTCAAAGTCTCGTATTGAGTGGGCTCGCATCCTTTGACCCGAAGGGTGGCTCCGATGGTAATTCTTACAGTATAATGAAACCAGCTCACCTAATGCCAGGCTGTTGAAGCTCACTACTGCTCGGCGCAGCTATGGATGTAGCCCGCTGGGCTTGCGATCCGTGGACCGTGTTAGGCTCATGTCATCTTGTCCGGCGGACATCCCCACGAAAAGACCTCGGCACTGCCTCTCTGACTGCTTTTTTCCGCAACATACGATAATAGAGAGACGTATCATTAGTCTTAGAAATCCATTTTCAGACCCTCTTAGAAAGCTGAGATCATGACTGTGTACTTGTCCTGCCCGTATGGAGTATGGGGATTGGACTCCGGTGGAGAGGCTTTTAGGCCGCGGGCCGCACCAACACTTTCAGACGAGCCCCAACCCCTTGTCCGCAAGCCTCTGATAATTTCTGAGATATACTGCGCGCATGTGAAGGCGACGTGGATATGACACTTCCAGTCCATATCGTTTTGGGCAAGTCGTGGTCTGGTCGTTCGTGAGCAGAGAACGGGAAGAAGTGAAACAAGAAACGCGCATTGACGATCAACCAGAACTTCAAAAATTCGTCAGCAACGAAAAGGATCTGCAGAAGAAGTAAACATAGATATGGTGAAAGTGCTTTATATGAGAGAATGTCTCTGACCAGGCATCTTCGAACCTAATTTGACATTTCACACTCCCCGAGTACAAATTCGACGTGCATGCTGTTTTTTCGCCGTCGCATTCTCGCCATCTCATAAATTTAGGCGCACGCTTTGCTGGCACGGATTCACGTGAAGATTGCAAGATTGCGAACTTGATGACAAAATCGATGACAGACACAATATGTTCGATGGGAGAGTGATGTGTCCGTGAGGCACGGTGAAGGTTCGTCTCACGATTTGCCTCAATTTTGAAAAATACGCTAAGGTTAAGGTTAAGCTACTATTCTCCGCCGCTAATCAAGAAAGAGTTAGACGCGGACTACCATTTAGTTTTGAGAACGACGACCGACGACATTTGATCAACGAAGATATAATAGATCATCATCAACAACCACGAGCAAACGATGATCAAAGGTAGAGGTGGCAACATGGACAGGAATATGATCCATACAGCGGGGTAATGACTGCTAACTATTCGAGAATCAAGGAAATCCAGCAAACTCCCTGTTTCCAATCTTCGGTATCCCACATGCTTTCCAAAACGTCGCTCAAAAGACGAAATGCTGATCGTTGCATGCCAGGTCATTATTATGTATCGATGTTAGGAATGAAGAAATACACTCCCTCTGGAGTCTTTTTGCCTTTCGCGACCAGAATTAAATCAGTGTGAGACCTCATACACCATAGCCATCTTGAGCCCATTCTGCAGCCCGTCTGGCCAGTGCAGTGCGCTTCTCACGTCTCATTGCACCAATCTGAGGCAACTGTCTGGGATAGAGCGCTCTGGTTCTCGAGTCAGTCAAAGCCACAAAGACGCATCTTGGGGATTTCTTACCCATTGTCTGGGAACGGTGGCACGGTGTTAGCACCCGTGAGGTCCGTGTAATTCTGGGTGTTTCCAGCAGCGTTACCAGCAGTTGGGATTCCTTGTGCTTTGCAAACCGCCAAATGGTCCGCTGGAACCGGCAGCCCAACAAGCTCTGTGGGAGCCTCGATGATGGTTGCCGAGAGGCCCATGATGACATGCCATTCGATATGGCAATGGAACAACCAAACACCTGGATTGTTGGCCTGGAAGCGGATCACAACATAGCTATCAGCATTGACTGCGATGGTGTCTCTTTTCGGAGGTACGGCGGGGAAGTTTCTGCCCTGCCCTGTGTACAGTCCCTTGCCACTTGCGGGCCGCTGGCAGACTTGGAATTGATGACCGTGCAGATGGAACGGGTGGATTGCGGCATCAAGATTGTTTAGAACGATCTGCACAATATCGCCTTTATTGACCACGAAGGGATTGACGTCTCCATAGATTACAGGATTGCTATTTGAGCTCCCTGTAGTGTATGCAGTATACAAGGATGGCACTTTCTGTGGAATATAGGTTTTGTTGTTGAGGAACGCTCTTTATATTCGTCAGTTCGCGAGATAAACATGCTGGTTGATGGGGAACTCACCTGGGTATTCCATTAACATCAAATCCGAAATTGAAGTCCAATGTAATGTCGGCATCAACCACGTTTGGCTCGCCAAGGAGTGGCTGATTATCCAATGCCACGAGAGTGGCGTCATCCTGAGGCGACCATTTGGGCACGACGAATGCGGGAGCTGGGCCCTTTGTAGCATCGTACAGGATCGTGCCGCTTATGTTGAATGGCCAGATGTTGGTTGCTCCCCCCGTAGAATAATCCCGGTTCATGTCAAGTGACGCCAAGAACGCATAGTTTCTTCTGACGGAAGTTTGTGCATTAAGAAGTACAGTGTATCTTTGGGCGGGCGCAACACGGATCTGGTACGCGTCATGCTCTTGCACGTAGGAGCCATCGATCTCAATAACCCTCATGGTATGGGAGTCAAATTGAAGCATGACGGCAGCGAAAGCTGCCAGACTGATAATTCTGACTTTGTAAGTCTTTCCCGCCTGGAAATTAAGCGTGGCAGAGCTTGAGTCGTTGACCACAATAGCATCAGGAAAGGGCGGAAGAAAATGAGTGTTTGAAGTGGTCAACATTTGATCAATCAACGTTGGCACTGGTGTGTGGTACCAATCTCCCACGGTGAGAACAAATTCCTCGTCATAGTCCCCAGCATAGGGATCATTGGGATCATGGATAATCAGAGGACCTGCGTAAGTCAATATGGATGCTTGTCACAAGTCACGAGATGGCCAGTCACGCACCTCTCAACCCATCGGGATACTGTCCCATATTATGGGAATGATACCAATAAGTTCCTGGCGAATCGATCTAATCAAGCTGGTTAGAACTTTGCTTTGGGAAAGACTCTTTCTGGAACAATTTACAGTGAAGCTGTATGTGAAGGTTGCTCCGGGCTGGATGGGACATTGCGTGACTCCAGTAGGACCGTCCATTACTTGGGTGCCGAATTGACTCAAGCCATGGAAATGCAGACCCGTCGACTGAGTGCCCAAATTATTGGTTAGGACAACCACAACTTGGTCGCCCACATTCGCTTCGATTGCGGGACATGGCCATTTCCTGCGGCAGTCAATATCAATGCCTGTACGTGACCGTAGTTGCACGGGGACGGTATTTGAACATACCCATTTATCCCAATTACCTGGCGAGTGAAGTTGTCTGGGGCGGCGTTGACGAAGTCAACGCTCCAATTATATGTCACCGTTGCAGCCAAGGTGGCTGGTAACAGACTCAAGAGCAAAGGAAAGGTCTTAAACGAGAGCATGTTGAGCCGAGTTCAACAATTATGGATTAAGTAATGATTAGATGCTCAAAGATGCTCAAGGAAAAGTGCACACAACTGCCTCGAATTGCCTCTTGCTGACCTGGGCCTGCTGCTCTTTATCAGATGCTACCCTCGTCATTCTTCGGAGAGGGCTCCAATCTCTCATCAGTTTTCTTTTGGGCGGTGCTAGGTTTTCCCGTGGCCGTGGCTTTCTTTCATCTGACTATTGAACACAGATGTGAGTGTTGGCATCATGACTTGGACCACATTCCACCACTTGGAGGACGAGCGGAGGAGGAGCTTGTGCTAGATACGAGCTCCAAGATCCAGGACCAGCACCTCAGCTGAGATTCAACCATACACAGAGCGGATAGACCAATATAGCCTGCATCCTCCCCAGACAAGGCTTATGCGAAGCAGCGAACGGGTAACGTGAAAAAGAAAAATCTCCCCAAGTACCCAGGCAATTGCCCCTTCCAGCACGCATCCTCCCCAGGAGACTTTCTCAGCCGCTCTAGCGCTGATCCGTCGCTAGAAAACCGTTGTCATTTGCTGACGGCCCCGACCTCAGGATTTCGTGTGCAGCCAGGGGCGTTCTGCAGCGCTCGGTCGTGAAGTCAATCAGGGACCCTGGATCTGCACGTCTCGGTGATGCACGATTCGGGGCTTTCGACTTGGCTGAAGTGACCTGATCGGAAGTGGCTTGGCTAAATCGACAACCCTCACCGAGAAAAGTAATCGAGCAATTCCACCCGGAAACGGCCCTCACTAGAGACACCCTGAAACGCGATACTCTTGACCGGACAGGATTCGCGATGCATGATGATGTTCGTTGAGTCCGTTCAATTGGAGCCGAGCGTCCCTTTGCACATTCTCCCGAGTGCCGTGCTGGTACCGGGATCGCCCACTCTCAATGCATCGCCTTACTGCAAACATTGTTGATGATGCGAGCGTTACCAATACTCTAGACAGACAACGCAGGAGCCGCAAGCCGCGCGTCGTCAGTGTCCGGGAGAGGCTGGAGAAGGTCAACTGAGTATATTACCATGCGGTGAACACCCTTCTTTGGGAGCTTCTCAATCAGGATATTCTCCTTTTGATATTGACGCCGTCACAAAGCTACCCCACTACGAGCAACAATCTGCATCATGAAGTCTTCACTTGCATCACTTCTCGTGCTAGCCTCCTCCACGGGAACCTTTGCTTGGGGCCCTGGATTCGGTGGAGGCTGGGGAAACTGGCCTTCTTGCGCTGTATGTGGTGTCCCGTCTAGTGTTCACAAAAATTAAGTACTGACAGATGTATGTGATGAACAGAATTCATGCATGAGCACGTTCACCAGCAGCAGCTGTGCTGGAGATGGATCTTGTTTCTGCAAAGATACCACGGCGCTCAACAATGCCAACACGTGCATCGACTCATCCAGCTGTTCAACCTCCGACAAAGAGAGTACGTACTGTGACACTCCAGACTTCTTGAGCTACTTCTGACTTTTTCAGCTATCTATCAAAATATTGATCAACTCTGCGCTGATGTCGCCGTCACGGTAACTGCGGCGCCCGAGGCCACCTTCAGTGCCACCAGCAACTCAGCTTGGAGCGGTGGACCATGGTCTGCTGCGTGGGGGAGCGGAGCTTCTGGCTATGGCCCATTTGGCGGAAATTGGGGACCATGGGGCTCTTCGGGAGCATGGACCGCGGGACCTTGGAGCGCCTGGTGGGACGGAAATGCTTGCCCACCCGATAGCTGGACGGGTTGGACTTCGGGAACATGGTCCACAGGTGCTCCTTGGACCACATGGACCGCGTGCACAGCCAGTACCACAGCGACAAGCACCTTTACGACCACGTCGTCTGGAACAGTTATCACGGGAACTTCCTATGGCGTCAAAGTTGCTGAGCAGACTGGAACCACCACCTCAGGGGCGATTTCAACCTCGACGCATGCAGGCGCTGCAGCCAGCAATGCGGTGAAGATAGGCTTGAGTTTCGTTGTCGTTACTTTTATCGTCGTCGTCCAAGGTTAGAAACCAATAATAGATTATTGGGTGCCACGACATGAAGGCGGCGCGCGACGCATGTATCGGTGCAACACGGCTACTTGCTTTCAGCTTGTCAGAACAGTAACATTCACGTGGCGTTTGGAATACTGGAAATACCACCTTCTTTCTTTATGTGGCGAGGTCTTTTCGTGTAGATAAGACTTGATCGAGGCTGCCAATGTCTCTCATTTTTGCTTCTTGCGGGTACTTCCGGCAGCCTTCAGGTCCGCTATCTTTCATTATCTGGTTTAATTATTTCAGTGGCATCAGCTTGCGGGTATTGTAACATCGGGTGGGGTTCTAGCATGAGCATATCTGGCGGTCTTCCACTTCTGATCGAGGCGTACTTATCTATCATTTTGGCTGAGCGTCTTTAAAATATTTCATAAGTAATCTAGAATGAAAATTTTTGTTGTTCAAAACACCATCTCAAAATCCAAGATCATTGTGGAAGTAGTGATTTTTTGCATGTTCTTGAAAACAAACTCTTCGTCTTCCCATATTTAGGTGCGTATATTCTTCGATCGCCAAAACTCAGGGGTCTCGCTAAACTCGTTGAGTAGAGTGTGGTCGAACATCTTCACAGTGCTCTTTTCACTCATGGTGCTCGGAAGTCGTGATAACCATTTTCAATAGTCATTCGGGTACAGTCAATTCTCATGGGGAGCTTCATTGGATATATATAAGAATCCGTATGTCTCGAATGAGAGAATTTGAGAGCATTTGAGTTGTCATTAATTTTCTAAAAATCAATAAACCTCATATTCTCTCAATACACATCATAAAGTCACTGACATCTAGAAAACTGTCTCAATGGAAACGATATCGCAATGTCAAACCAAACCACGAGAGCACATGTGAATCTGATGTTCAGGCTTTCAGCCCTACTCGGAAATCCTTCCCAGCATCGCCTCAGGAGAACATACAGACTTCCGACGAGGCCTTCCACAGAAGCACGGCTCGTAAACTCTATCAATGAAATGATAGCGCTATATTAAGAGCATCTCAAATCTTGGAAAAGGATTCCTCACAGATCTCTTCACTGCCCACCCAACTCGTAACCTTAAACCAACCCGAAAACCTGGCGACAGGAAAGCCTGTAGCTCTAGCGATGTAAGCGCAAATTTTAAAATTTCAAGCCCCGAAACCTTAGCGATCCTACTCCCTAGGGAGGGGTACCGCACGTTTCCACGGGCATCTCGAAGCCTGTTCAGTGGAGAACGTTGTGAGCCGGGTTCCCTCCCCAACCAAAGCCTGCCTGCCTGCCTGCTCGGGATTCCCCATGCGCTGTTGCAGCGCTGGAGGGGGGCAAATCTTACAAGAGCGACGGATCCCCGTGCTCACCATGAGCTTAGGATGAGCTCAGAGTGAGCTCGACCCCCGCCACAACCCCACCAGAGTAAGTAAGCTTGTTGTGAGGCCAGCACACCTTGCTTTCCACCCCTCATCGCATAAATCATGATATCAGCCACGATGCCAGATCATAAGGCGACCTACCACGGTGACGGATCTGGAAGCTGCTCCACCAGCACAAGTTCATCGCGAGTGCGGACGTCATTGACCGTGCCGCATATCCCGCTCAGAGGTCCGAAAATAGAAAGCGACAACAAAGTGGTTCCGTGTTTGCCGTTGGGAAGGCATAATGTGTGATGCCTGGCAACACTGCCAACGCTGGAATTTGTTTTGTCCATCGCTTTGATAAATGCGATCCTGGAGCTTCTTTCACCGCTCATTCGCTTAAGATGAAGTTGTGCTTAGTTATGCTTAAGTGAGCTTGTTATGGGATTAAGCTATCTGATATATGGGGCGTGAGAATAGAGCACAAGGCAGTTAGAACGACAATGTCGTGCATCTGGTGGAAGTATTCAGCCGTTACATGAAGTTCAAGGAATGTCGTTGATTTTAGCATTTAGATCTCGGAGAATACACGTGGGGCAATAATCTTGAATGTCTCGATCTTCAAATTGAGATATGAGATCGTTCTAGACACTGTTCCAGTCCTTCGACAACAGCCTCGTTGCCACGGGGACTGTGAATGGTCGGTCATCTAAGATAGATTGTTTTCATCTTGAAGCTGCCTTGTTTCCTATGTAGCTGTTCAAATAGGTACCACTTCACGCTCTCAGAGCAACGAGAATTCGTTGCTAGATGACACGATGCTAGATGACCCACCGGTATCAGACAAGGTCAAAAAGTTTCAGGACGGGACATCTCTTTGCGGGCTTGAGTATTGAATGAATTCTAATGGAGAAGCGTTGTTAGATCAATCTGGACGTGGTTGATGAGGTGTGCTGTATTGTCCATGAGATAACTCGAGACCATGGCAAATCAACGACTTGCACGAGAAAAGCTTCACGTTCCAGAGTGAAGCAGCGGCCATGAGTTGAACGGAGGGTACAGCGCGATGTATCTTCTTTCATCAAGATACTTCATGCATGTCTCGAAGATAGTGGATATGTCTTGGTGATCTTGCGTGTTGATGAAAATCTGAGAATTTGTGGCATCAAAATGATTCAAGAAGTGGTAGTTCACACTTTAACTTCCATAGATCCATGAACTTTTACAACTTCCAAACAAGTGGACTAGCTTACTCTCCATCTTAGTGTCATCTTCATGAATATTACGAGTGAACGCTCGTCTACGGCTTTTGAACAAGATCGAGTACAACCTTTGGGAAAGTACAAGATCAACACGGGACAAATCTTTATTACCTCCCTCTTCCCACCTTCAGAGTGTATCATCCCCCTCGGATCTATATCAAACAAGAAATGAAAACAAGATCTCATAAAAAGCTTCATCCTCGCTTGAGCCTCGCTTGTAAACAAACAAGTCTGCTCCTATCCAAAATAAAAAAATAAAAAAATAAAAATCTTCCTCTTTACACCAAGACGGAACAAAAAGACAAGCGAAGCAAAAACTCGGACCTCACCACCGAAGTGGGGAGATCGTAGAAAACTTGCTCGTTGTCGGGTGCAGTTTTTGAAGTCGCGATCGTTCGTTCGTATGCGGGCCAGGCGATTTTATCCCTATTCCTCCTCTTAGCATCACAATTGTCCTGAGATGGCTGCCTAACCATTCTGCCATGTGAGCTTATGGGATGGAAATGCTTGTTTAAAGTTATAAGACGGGTAGATGGGTACTTGGGTGGGGGACGAGGAAGTTTCGAGCTACGTAGTTGCGCTTTCACTACGTAGTTTCGTCTTCGAGGCATTGTTCTTTTGTCTTAGTGTCATTCTAGTATTTGATTCTCTTATTCTCACGCTTAAAGCAATTTAAATCGGAGTAGTAAGTAAAGCCGCAAGGTCTGCCGCATTGTCAACATATTGTTCTGTGTCAAGTTACTCATGAATTGGCGTCTGTTTCCTTAGTCCCGCGTCATTGAAGGGATTGAGAATGGCGATTTGAAGACTGAACCATCTGTACGTGGGTCACCTTTGCGTATTCTGCTGCTAGTTTACATTAGGAGACAGTTTTACTGCCTCGTTGGAAGATATTTTGACTATGACCTCAAGTTAGTTATTCATTCGATGTCTTTGTAAGTGGCTCAGATAAATGTAGGTTGGCTAAGAGCAAAAGGTCTTCTAGAATCTTGGCAGTCGAGAGCTCTGACTTTGAAGCAGTGTGTCTGCGCCTAGTATACCCATTTGGTCAATTCGTTGTGTAGACTCTTGAAGCTTGCTAAATTCTTTCATAGAAAGCTGGGCCACTTATTCCACAAGTCAGGTGCGAAGTGAAAAGACTCTTGCGCTATCTTGGAAATACGCAATTTTCCATCATAGCAATTTCAGAAGTAGAAAGTGCGGGCCTTCTTGAGACTTCTTGCGCGACCAAATATGCTTGTGACTCTGTTTGCGACGCCGAAAAATATGTTCCACATGCCACAATTGCCTCTCCATATTTACCCAGAGTGTAAAGTGCAGAGACGAGAAGATGCCCGAATCCTGCCTCCCAACGGTAAGCCTACCGTACGCTATGCTACCACGGACCCTCTTACATATATCTTATCCAAACATGAAGACATCCAAGATATCAAGCTCTTCTTTCCTATCGACAACTCAACCGCTTCTGAACTCAGAGCTTCGCCTTCGCCTTAAGCTCCTCGTCTATCCATCTCTTATTTATGACTGTATTCCTCAAGTAGGTCCACACCCCAATCATCCCAGCAAGCGGCGGACAAAGCAATAACAGCCAAGCCCACCACCTCGGACTCCTCTCCTTCACAACACTCATAACCCTATCGATCTCCCTCCTCAGCTCCTCTCTATCTCCATCATTCCAAACCACCACTCCCCTTCCCTCCCCCCGCCCCTCACACCTCCTAGCCTTCTCCCTCACATCCCCCTGACTCCCCACCCTGTTTTCCGCATCCTCCCTCGTTAAATGCGCGTCCCGATCCATCAACCTCCGCATCTGCACCTCTTTATCCCGCACCGCAACCACCATCACCGTCCCACACAACACATCCAGCTTACTCTCAAATAGCAACGGGATATCCAGCACCACTGCCCAATGACCTTTCAAATAGCACTTCAGCAACGCAATATACATCTCCTTCCTCACCGCCGGATGCACAATCCCATTCAAGACCCCGCGATCCCTCTTCCTTTCCTCACTATCCCCAAATACTCTCCTGCCTAACGCCGGTCTGTTCAATGGCGCGCCTTTGGAGCGATCGTACGCTGGATCATCGGGGAACGGGAGCAGCAGATCCGGAGTCGTGGAAGAGAAGTGTGCGACGATTTTCGCGTAGCCAGGTGTACCTGGTTCGACGACTCGACGGGCGAGTTTGTCGGCGTCGATTATGGGGAGGGAGTATGGGGGTGAGGAGAGGATGGAGGACACAGTTGATTTGCCAGTGGCAATGGAGCCGGTTAGGCCTAGGAGGAGCATTTTTTGGTGTTTCTTGTCGCGATGCGATATGCCGAGGAGAGGTGGAAGTATATAAAAGGAAGAAGCTGGTTTGGATTGCAATTGGGATGAAGTGGGATGACGCGATGTGGAATGATGGCGGGGCAGAAAAAGATGCCGAGCCGAGCTTGTCACTTCTCGGTTGAGTGGGCGGTGAAGACAGGGGTTGGAAGCTGACCCTACCGCTAATATATCTGCTCAGTTCAGTCGTCAGTCGTCTAGATACTACCTAATAAGTAGTTTTTCAAATGGGTAAGGAATTTGACGAAGAACTAGTTTTATCCTAGGAGGCCATTTTCAAGCCCTCGTCTCACTTCTTCTCAAATATTAAGATTAAGCATATGATATGTATATCAATTTCCCACCAGGGGCTATTCTGGAAGTGAACTCATGTACTCATGTCCTGCTACCATACACACTGACCTATCACAACCTCATAACCTCATTAAGTCACTAAGTGAGAAGAGTATACGCCAGCCATAAGTGAGTAGAATAAGTGCCCCTTTGATGAAAACCAAAATAAATCGCTCATTGTTGTATTTTGCCCTCTTCATCCTTCGTCGAAGGTTTTCCAGAGCTTGATACCACCGTCTGTTCTCCAGCAGTCTCGCTGGGTTTACTTTCCGAAATCTCCGTACCAAGAGCCATTGCCTTCTTTTCCTCATCAACCAAAATCAATTCGTCGGTCTCGTCGGATTTGAGAGGCAATTCCGCTTCGCCACTACCAACAAATTGTCCATCCTCCTTTTTAACATCCTTCTTCTCGTCTTCCTTCGACACCTCATCTTCAACATCTGCGTCAGTGCCATCGTCGTCCTTTGGCGGAATCTCAGCCTCTTTAACTTCCTCCTCTTCATCTTCGTCGTAGATTTTCAGACAGAGGCCTTCATCTTTGCTATACACCCTAAAGCCAACAATACAGACCGCATTCCATGGATCAGGCTCGTCATCTTCCTCTTCTTCTTTATCTTTGGACTTAGCCGGGGCAGGTGTGCTTCCCGTATTCGGACTTGGTCGTGGTCGCAAGGTAGGATCGTCGTCAGAATACATATCATCGAAGTCGGATATAGGGCTAGCACTGGATTCTCCATCTGAAGTGATGTATTGCTGGCGTTGAGGTGAATGCTTCCGCTCCTGTACGTAGACATGAGGAGGTGGAGGACCAGATCTTTCGAGTATGATAACTTCTTCGCGTGGAGAATTTGTGATCGAACTACCACGTGGTGTATCAGGCGTAAATTGCGAAACGTCAGTAACTGACATATCATCGGTTTGTACACCTTTGTCGGTGTCGTTCACCGCTTCGGAGGCTGGCTCTTTAATTGTTTGCTCAGATTCAGCACTTGATGTGCTTCGGTCATCTGTCTGTATACCTCTGTCTTCTTTGGTCGAAGCTTCCTCCTTGATGTCCTCAGTCTGAACTGCTTGGTCCTTTGGCTCGTTCTCTTCTTCTTCTCTTGCCTCTGCCTCATCTTTTGCTTCTTTCCGTTCCCGCTTTTCCCGGTTTTTCTTCTCCTGCTTCTTCAAGATGTCTCGGCTTAGATGTCTCTTCTGCCAAGCCTTGCGTCTAGTAGCGATCCGGGCTTCACGAGCCTTTGCCTTCTCTTGAGCCTTGCGACGTGCCACTTTCGATTCCATATGCACCGCACCTTTGCTATGAGCCAGATCATAGGACATGCCGACTTGAGCCAGTTTCTCATTGTCGGTCCTGCGTCGAGTTTGATACTTAATGACATCTTCTACCGATTGCCGTGAACTAATGTGACGATCTGCAACAATTTGAATGAAGACAGAGTAGGTCCCTGCGGGTAAGCTCTTCAGCTCAGCAACAACGCTTCTTTCCATTAGATAATTGCCATGGCTACGGACAATATAATCGTTCTCGTCTGGTGAGTCGACTTCATGTAGACGAAATTGCAGTCGGAAGTTATATTGACCCTGAAGGCCGTTGAAATAACGATCGTCAATTTGACTGAGAACGAGGACCACAGGTGACTCTTTTGTCAAGATGATGCGGAACTTCTGTTCGAATTCGGCTTTCCAGGGTACCTCTATAGAGATCCAATTCTGGGTAATTCGCCAATCTGGAGAGTCCATGAAGAGACGCGTGCGATCGAAATGCTGGTATTTTCGAAGAAGATCCTCATAAGAGATCCAAAACACGCTATCGGAGCCAAACTTGTGGTCTAATTCCAATTGAATCTCCGGCGTGAATTCCTTGCTGCCATCAGACCAAGGACCTTCCCAATTCCCTTTCTTTCCTTTACCCCAGGGATTACGAAGTTTGAGTAAGCGTTGACCAGTTGAGATTTCTCGTGCTTCCATAATGACATACGCATGGCCCTCAGATATCCCATCTCGATTGCCGTAGCCACCACCAAGAAGACCAGTAGAGCAGCCGAACAGAAATTCCTTGTTGACTTTCATGATTTCATCGTGCCAGAAACTTTCAGTGTCCAGAATATCAGACGTCAAAAGTTCCGTAGTAACACCGCCGGTGAGATCTTCAACTCCTTCGCCAATCCATCCGCCGCCCAAGGCAGCGTAATCACCATGTGCCTTTGCGTAAGCTTTCTCAAGAAGAGGTAGCCATGTCTCATTCTGGTCTTTACATTGAGCGAAGAACAATGCCTGAGATCCGGTTTGATATGTTTTTCGATATTCGGTCTCGACATCTTCTCGGTCGGTTTGCTCCAGCAAATGGCGTTGAACAGATGGAGAATCCCAGTCTGGTGACTTCAAATACAGCTTGTCATCAATTATGGATATTATCCAATCGCCGTCGCGATGAAATACGAAACCGTATATCCCGATTTTGGTATCATATTCAACACATATCCTCTGAATCCCAACTTCCATATTAGCCAAGGCGGTGAGACTAGCCATCAACCAACAGTCTCCCAAGCTTCCTTGCTTGACATCTGCAGGAGATATCTTGTCCTTCAAGAAAGTAGGCTTGTCGTATATTTCGTGTACTCTCTTCACAGACTTGGGGACATTCGAAGTTGGATTCGTGAATGCTCGTCCATTGATATCGAATTTGCACTCTCCAAGACCGTTGAGGCAATATCCCTTCTCCCACTTCAGATCCCAATCGATATCGAAGTCTGGGTCTCGATATCGCATATTGACTCGCCGACACTCCTTTATAAGCTTTTGTACTCTTTTTCGACATTCTTGTACAGCTCTTTCGAAGTCTTCGGAGACGAGGAGATTGGTTCGCTCGAGCTTGGGTACCTCTTTCGTGGAGGGGTCGGGGGAGCTCTTGGTAGTGGGGGTAGCAAATGGCAAAATGACAGTCGCTTTGCTGAATTTGGGCACAGAAAACTTCTCCCATATCTTGTTGATGGTTTCTTGAGGAGGTAGCTTCTTCTTCTTTTTCGTCTTAGGTTTAGCTCCAAAGAGCGGAGGAGGAGGTGGCGGAGGGGGCCGATGCCTTCTTCTGCTGATATCGGAGGATTCTGAATCGGAAGACATGTTCGCAGCTCGAGGAATAACTAAAAGGGACAATTAATGGCAAGAGAAACGGGCGTTTTGAGGAGAGATAGCAAGAAAGAACAGAAGCAGAAGTTTCGCAACAACACTTGACCCGTGCGTGGTACAGGATCAGGTTATATCTGGTCTCGTGAAGAGCAGACAGCCTTGCGATGAGTCGGACATTAGGACTATCCTTGAACGATGCACGATGCAGCTATCGATTGGATACCCAGGCAGAAGTGAACATGTGAGCGGCGACCGCTATCTGGATCCTCTTACCGTCTCCGTGTTTACCGTGTTGCCTCAACAAGTTCTGGGGTTATAGGAAGCCATTCGCCTGGAGGTGACCACTCTGCAGCTTGCATGCGATGAGATGCAGGCAGAGGAAGCCTCGTCCAATCTTTGCGACGATGCCATCTTCGCACCCTGACCGCGCTGTGCAATGTGACTCGACGGTGATTGCGACTTTCGAGGCCAGTGTTCAGCCGCACAAGTCACCTTTTACTGACCGAGTCTATGCCTTGAGGTGCCGGAGCTTTCACAGCCTCATTGGCAGCCTTGAATGGATCGTCACTGACGTGTCCCGGGATTTGAGAGCGAAGGAAATCAGACAAGGCGCCAGTCCGCAAAGACATTGTCGGTCTGACAATGTGCGACTTCAGATCGATTCTCGCGATATGAGGCGGGGGCCAAAATGATTGATAGGCCACGGTGAAGAGTTGGATAAAGTGGCAACGTTGTTCAGTGCAGGAGATGTGGATGGTGACAAAAATCATCCGCAGCGGAGAAAGAAGAAACATGCGCCACTTGCTCTCGCTTCGGTGAGTGGACCAAGCCACCATGCAGGACTCTCACCGAATCCAAGCTGGGCAATCCCATCAACTTGACGGGATGTCCTAGACAAAAGGCAAATGAAGGGCAACAAGGGCAGCACGACAAGAGCAACTAAAGATACTCCTCTTACCAGTAATGAGAGAAATCTCTTCTTCCCTCTTCTCTGTTCATGATCCGAGACTTGCAGTCAAGGGAGCTCCGGCTACCTACCTAAGTGGGAAGAGTGCCAAATTTCTCGGTCCTGCCAGAACAAATATCTTTTACGATCACGAATCTTCTCGCATTCGAATTCGGGAATAATCTCTTTCTATGCGTACTATGATGAGATTCTCAAAGGGTATCAAGACCCGATCTTTCATCAGAATATCAAGATGAGATGATCTGGTTGAGATGCCCATCGACCGTTATTGTGACGAAGGAAAGCTCTCTCGAAACACCTCGCAAGAGTTCTGACTGGCTAGTCGAACAATCTTTGCATCCGAGAGCTTCTCTCCCTCAAGCCTTAACTTGTAGCTCGGCCTTTTCACGCTTCAGAATGATCCGAGGAAACTTCTCACATCTCCCGAGTTTGTTTCGGAGATCAGACGGCCGGGAACACCATCGTTTAAGTTGTGCCAGATCTTTCCAATCGCTATGCTCGATTGCTGTTTTGTTTCCTTCTGGTCCAATCGCAATTTTAGATTCACCAAATAGTCATATCCGTTGAGTTCTACCTCGGCAAGTTGCTCGAGGAGGACTATGGTTTGTCCGAGTAGACACAATGCTGAGCACAATTGCCTGTTTGGTAACATTAGCGAAGGCATTGGAGAAACTCATATAAACTGATGGATTTCCTGTTGATTGTAACGTTCTAGTTCTGTGGTCATCTGAATTTCTTCGTCTTAACATTTTCTTGCCCCAATAATCCAAGATGCTTTTCCCATTAACTATAATATTCATCTCCCTCCCATTTCTCAACGCCGCTGGTACGGACGCTAATACGGGCGATCTTGGAACGTCAACCACGCAGAATGGACTTACGAACGATACTGGCTGCAAGGCAATGACCGTGATCTTTGCACGTGGCACAACAGAGCAAGGGAACGTCGGCACACTTTCTGGACCACCATTTTTCGCATCTCTTGCACAATCAGTAGGAACTGAGAACTTGGCTGTCCAAGGTGTGGACTATCCAGCAGATATTCCAGGATTCTTGGCTGGAGGTGATGCAAATGGAAGCAAGACGATGGCCCAGCTGGTAACTCAAGCTATGACAACTTGCCCCAATACCAAAGTTGTAATGAGTGGATACAGGTATACAGCACCTTCCATCATGAAAGTGCATCAAGGCTAACATATGTATAGTCAAGGAGGCCAACTCGTCCATAACGCGGCGAAAATGATGGACGCATCCACGACCGCAAAGATCAACTCGGGTATTATGCCTCCAGTAATCAACACGATCATGTCAAAAGCTTACAAGAGTTCAGTCCTCATTTTCGGTGACCCAGACAACGGTACTGCAGTCGGTACAGTGCCAGCATCGAAGACTTTGGTTATCTGCCACGACGGAGACAACATCTGCCAGCATGGAGACCAGATTCTACAGCCGCATCTCACGTACTCGATGAATGCGGGTCAGGCTGCACAATTCGTTGCTTCGGCTGCGGGTATGGCAGGCAAGGGGAATGGTACTGCGACAAAGTTTGTTGCGTAAAGCTTAGCAGTCTCTGTTGAATGTAATCTGCTATGTTGTAGATGAATAGACGAGGGCTCATTGTTGGCTGCTGTAATCTGAGAGATTAATGTTTATAGCTTTCTTGATATTGCTCACGATGCGCTACTTCTAGTTAATATTTAAAATGCATCGTGCTAATCCCGCCATTTCTGTGTTCAGAACTGTCGTCTCTTAGACGACTGAACAATTAGAAATGTGACTCGAGGCATCAAATGAAATAGCCATGTAATTGGCGATATTCTTAGTTTGATGAAGCTGAATACGCGTCGTCGTCTTAAGGATGTCTTGCACATCTTCAACGCTGCGGTGCCGACGTCACTCTCTCTTCCTAAGGCTACCTGATTCGCTAATCCGAAGCTTGCCTTATAGATTAAAATAAGAATTTTTTATGTCGCTAAGTCCGGAAAACCAAAGGTTGTCTAATATCTTGTTAGCTCAAGTGACAGATTTCCAGATGGACTTAGCCACGCCACAACGAGAACACGCCAAAATCGCGACTTTAAAAACTGCACCCGACACCGAGCAAGTTTTCTACGATCTCCCCACTTCGGTGGTGAGGTCCGAGTTTTTGCTTCTTAATCCTTTTCTTTTTTTCTGAGTTGAGTGGTTGCGAAGAATTTTTTTATATTGGATTTTTGGGACGTTTGTTTACTTTTTAAGCGAGCTCAAAACGTGGTATTGGTTGCGCACAATACTTTTGAAGTAATAGTAGGAGTTATGGCATGGCAGATCAATGTTTACAATAAGCCTGATTTGACACAATTGGATATGAACTGGGAGTTGGACTATGGGAGTTTTGATAATAGCATTGCACATGGAACGAACCCTTTCTCGCGACGTTAGTCAGTCTTGAGCAGACTGAAAAACAGCAAGACAAGACAAGACAAGATTAGACATTGATGAGAACCATACTAGAAACAAGGCTAGAGGCTTTTGATGTGAGAAATGAAACGCAAACTTCCACAGAGTGAGTCTAGAATTAAGATACCACTTGTGTCGAAGAGAACTTTTCACTTGAAACTACCCAACTCTACTCAAAAATTCGCCGAGTAGCTTAACTCAACCAAGTAATGCAGCATCTCACCCTCGACCCTAGTCCTCGTGATACTGATTTCGCTAGAGCCCCAAGAAGTGACGTTCTCGCAGCAAACTTTCATTTCCCCGCAATGTACTCTTACCCCGCCATGCCCCACTTTCTCCCTCCCCTATTGTCGCTCGCTAAAATGCAGACGACACTATGGCGACTTCTCGGGCCTATTCATCCATGCCAAGATATCGGATGATGTCTTCCGATTGTAATTGCTCGTTGAACCTTCAGAGAGAGGGGTTGTAATTGAGATGAACTTTTGTTCTTATGTAGGCCAAGACTGCCTTTGGATGTGCTGAGGAGAGCTTTCCGGTCCTGATGTTCGTGGATAGTGGGGACACTGAAGATCAGTTTGCTTGTGGTATAGCTCTCCACAATGCTTGGAGGTTAAATCGAGAGAGCTGTCTTTGTTTGTGTGATTTTCAAGTTCCTGGACTTGAACTTCTTAGGTCAGTGTTTTGAAGACCGCAAGATGTTTTCTCTCTCAATTCATTTGAGAGCTGCCTGCTTTGCCTCAAGTCTGTTCATACCCACTGTCGTAGCCCAAAGTGCTCCCACAGCCAAAGTTCTCAATGGCAGCTATTCCGGCGTGTACAGCGATGTTTATGATCAAGACTTCTTCCTTGGTATCCCATTCGCTCAACCTCCAGCAGGAGACCTACGATTCCGTCAAGCACAATCACTTAACACCTCTTTCTCGGAGACCAGAAACGCAACAGCATATTCTCCAGAATGTATCGGTTATGGTAGCGATGATTGGGTCCTTGGAAATGATGTCTCAGAAGACTGTTTGACTCTGAACGTCATTCGTCCTAGCGGAGCAGCCAATCTTCCTGTTGGGGTTTGGATCTATGGCGGTGGAAACACAGAGGGTGGAAATTCGGATCCACGATATAACCTCTCGTTCATCGTGCAGCAGTCTGTATATGCTCGTTCGCAGTTCATTGGTGTCAGCATCAACTACCGTGTCCAAGCTTGGGGGTTCCTCTTTGGACAAGAGGTGATGGACGCCGGGTCCGCTAATATGGGCGTGAGAGACCAACGTTTGGCCCTACAATGGATTCAAGAAAATATTGCTGCTTTCGGAGGCGATCCAACGAAGGTGACAATCTGGGGTGAAAGTGCTGGTGCAAGTGGGGTTGGTATGCAACTCATTGCATACGGAGGAAGGGACGACAAGCTGTTCAGAGGAGCAATAGCTGAGTCTGGAGGGCCAACAGGTTCCAGCAAATACTTATCTCCAGCACAATGGCAACCATACTATGACAAGATTACAAACGCGACAAACTGCAGTTCAGTAGCTGATTCGCTTGACTGCTTGAGAAAGCTTCCGACGGATGTACTCAGCAATGTGCTGAATAGCTCAGTCACAACAGGAGCGTCTTGGGGACCACAAATCGATGGAGACTTTCTGCAAGAGTCTGGCACGACTCAAGTTCTGACCGGCAAATTCGTCAAAGTTCCCTTCCTGACAGGTCGAAACCACGATGAAGGCACATCGTTCGCCACAAAAGGCATCAACACAACAGACGAATTCCTCGCAGATGTCATGTCAGCTGGACCAGACAATGCCACAGGACTTACAATTGCAGCTCTGTATCCCGATATACCCAGCATCGGCATCCCGGGCACACTCGCCGGTCGACCACCACCATCTCAAGCCTCTCTCGGTGCGCAGTGGAAACGAGCATCATCGTACACCGGAGATCTGAGACAACACGCACCTAGACGGCTCGTCACCCAGAGCTGGGCAGCCCACAACATAACAGCATATAGCTATCTCTTCAACGTCTTCACCAACGGATTCGATGCCACGATCGGAGTAACCCACTTCACAGAAGTATCTTTCGTGTTCAACAACATCTATGGGAACGGATACAACAACTCTGTAGCCTCAGATCCGTTCGAGAATAAGCCGGAGACGTACATGCAAGTTGCGAAGATGATGTCTAGGATGTGGGCGAGTTTTATTGTGGATTTGAATCCAAATAACGCTGGATGTAAGTGTCCGTCCTAACTTCCTGGTTCTTTCTGAACTTTCGCAGACGGCTGTATCGAGTGGCCGAAATACACGCTTGATGATCCAAGAAACATCGTTTTTGATGCGAATGTGACTGGTCTCGCATACATTGACCCGGACATTTATCGTGCAGAGGGGATCGCCTATATTCAGAGCCACTTGAACACAACATATGGTAGATGAATACTTCCTGGTTCCTGGATGTGCAAGAGACATGAGTGTGAGAGAAGGAGGTCGATAACAGTGCAAAGAGGAGACGGCATAACCTTAGTAGCTGTGCGTTTTCCAACCTCCTTATCTGATAACTTCCAGAAACCAAAGCTATTTCTCTTGAATATTTCTCAAAAGATGGATGTTCTCCTTTTCCATGTGGTCGCCTCGAGAAATAAGCTCATCCAATCACCGAACACTCACTAATGCAGGCACAACCTCGGCCCATTTTCACTAGCTTCCTATCGAAAGCAACCAAATTTCAGATTTTCACGAGCCTCATGAATCATCGCGACTCAACACGACCCACAAAATGTCTCTTCTTGCTCCAATATTTCGTTATCTCCCGCGCGGTAAGAAGATAAGCTTGCCGCGAAGCCTCGGCATGTATTTTTCTCCTTCCGATGTCATTTCTAGTTGATTTCACTTTTTTTTGCCTCTCGCTTTCTTTGGTCTTTGAGTATAGATTCCATAGACAGGATGAGCAAGAAGGGGGATTTCGAGGCTGTCCGGAAGGATATTGCTGAATTGATGCACCAACCAGAATACGATGATGGCAGTGCAGGTCCAGTGCTTGTTCGACTTGCTTGGTAAGTTCAGGTCCACGCCTCTCTATACATCCACACATTCTTGTCCTCTGTTATAAAGGCAGAATAGCATACTAACCCATCTCCAGGCACTCAGCTGGCACATTCGATGCCGAAACCGACACAGGAGGCTCCAACGGAGCTGGCATGCGCTACGAAGCCGAAGGTGGCGACCCCGCGAACGCAGGTCTCCAACACGCACGCGTCTTCCTCGAGCCCGTAAAAGACAAGCACTCCTGGATCACGTACGCGGACCTCTGGACTCTCGCCGGCGTCGTGGCTATCAAAGAAATGGGTGGCCCTACCATAGCCTGGAAAGGCGGACGAACAGATTATGTCGATGACAGTAAATTACCGCCTCGAGGCAGGTTGCCGGATGGTGCGAAGGGCGCGGATCATCTGAGGTGGATCTTCTATAGGATGGGATTCAATGACCAGGAGATTGTGGCGCTTTCTGGGGCACACAATCTAGGGAGGTGCCATTCTGATCGATCAGGGTTTGAAGGAGCTTGGGTCAATAATCCTACACAGTTTTCGAATCAGTATTTCCGACTTCTTCTCTCGCTGCAATGGAGGAAAAAGACGTTGAAAAGTGGAATTGAGCAGTTTGTCAACTTTGACGAGGATTCGGAGACGGAGCTCATGATGCTACCAACGGACATCGCACTCACTCAAGATAAGAGCTTTAGGAAGTACGTGGAATTGTATGCTCGGGACAAAGAGCGGTTCTTTGAGGACTTCAGTAGGGTGTTTGCGAAGCTTGTGGAGCTTGGTATCCAGAGGGATGCTGATGGGAATATCACCAATACCGATAACGAGAAGGGTGGTTATCATGCTGCGCCGAAGAAGAAGAGCACCCCTGGAAGTCCTGCGAAGAGTACTGATGATAAGGTGGGAACGAGTGAAGGAGAGCCGTTGAAGGAGGAGAATAAAGCTTTCAGGGCGAGGTTGTAAGATAGATATATGACTTTGGGTTGTTAGACGAGGTTCGAATAGACTTAGACTTAGACTTAGATTCTCGAATAGAGATTGAATGGATTCTCATTTCATTTCGCGTGCTTATAATTCTCAATATCCAGTACAAGAACGCTCTTCGTAGTCCACTACAATCGACGATGATACGGCATTGGAACAGGTAGTCTGATAGTTCTGTATCACTTTGTAAACACCATTTCGAAGTTGGTGCCTCCGCATTTCGCACATTTCGCGCGATTTGCGCCACTTGCGCAATATGCGCTGTCCGCGCCATTCGCGCTGGTATCGGTGTGGGGTATATTCACAGCAATGAATTTTACTTACAGCTCCATGAACTATTGAGAGACATTTGGAGGCTTTTTCACGAAGTGGTTAATGATCGTATTATAACTTGCGCCTTGCTTGACTTGTTATTCTGCTCCCCAGATGTAAGACAGCCAGTATTACAACTGGTATTCTAAATCAGTTCACAAATGAAGACCCTCTATTGTGCCTGGCGGCTCTAAAGGAACTCCTAGAGAAGAAACGAGGCGTCGCTGGTGGAAAGCAGTACGTCGTGGAGGAGAGACGATGGGATTGTATGATGAATTAGAACCTAGACGCAGAGATGCGCTGTACTGAGCAGATCCTAAGCCATGAATGGCAATAATCGTGGTGAATCGCACATGAGTTGGGTTCAAGGAATGAAACCATCCGCTAAGCCCAATGTCTGGACTGTCACTGCTTTGACTTCTGATCTTGAATCTCGGTCACTTGGTTGCACAAGCCTCGAGCAAAGATTGTGGGGAACGAATACCAAGGACAATATGTGAAATGGATGCAGCGCTCTGAGACTTTGATCGGGGAACAAGATCCACTTTATCATACGCTAAAAATGATCGGAGTTCGAGGGGTAACTTGACTCCGATTCTTTGGTGAAGACTTTTCATAGTACCAAATATACCAATTGTCCTGCGTGAACATCGAACATTAATTTCCCAAAAGTTCTCAACTACCTACCAGATTCAAAGTAGTTCAATAACTCCCCTTTCCCAAGCTTGCATAAGAAACTGCTGATACTGGTCAGGGTTACTTTCATGTTACTTGTATGCCCAACTAGAGCTACAAGAAGAGTGTCAGGTTGCTGAAAACTTTTTAGGGAAATCGAACATGCATTATAAGAAAATTAATGTTGTTCGCAGTAAAAGTACACCTTCGTGATCAAAGAACTAGCAAATTCCACAGAGTTTCAAATGAAGAGCAAGATAAGCGCCTCTTATAAGCTTCCAGTTCAGTAATGTCTCTCAGCAACGACGGCAACAAGTACAGTGCATGTCCGGATGCTTCTGGCATTACTTTCTCGTTGCTACGGAAAAGTAAGCCGGAATCCCACCTCTGTTGAAACAAGTCAGCCATGAACGTGTGCATCTAAGAGCCCACGTTGTAAAAAGAAATATAGGGCACACAACATTATGTGAACCCTTGAATTACCCCATAACAACTCAAAAGCAGCCAGGATACCCCATCTATTGGAACATAATTTCACAGCCGTAATGGCAAAGCCCTGGGATGTTGCAAAAAACAAAAGTGTGCATGCAGAAGTTGCAACAGAATGAAATCTGCTTTGTGATCGTCAACATCATGTGATACCCCTTTGTAGGATGCGCTCTCAGCCTCCACTCGGGGACTTTTGCCTTTGCGCATATGAAGCGTGATTGGATAGAATCGCAACCAATTGACGCTTCGCAACAAACCCGTGTTGACATGAATCGCAAATGCTTGATCCCACAGGCACCGGATCGCGGTAAAGCACTCAGCTTAGATAATGCCAAAGGAGCTGAGGAGAAGCAATTCTCGAACTTGCGTAGAGCTTGTCATGCTGTCATCATAGTCCGTGATAGATGTGTCGAGTTTTCCTCGAATCGAGGCCTTGGGCTAGAGTGGGCTGAAGGAACCCAAGCCTCGAGCCGCGTGGGAGGTGGAGCTTGGGAGCGCGAGCTATTTCCAGCGGCTGGCTGAGACGTCCAGATTCCAGAAGACAGTTTCAGGGCCATTCAGAACAACAGACGCAAGGTACCCGAAAAGTCGTTGAAGTTCAGGAACATGTGAGGGATATAATATTTCGGCTTCCAAAGGTTGAGGGAAATATGCAGATACTGCACCGTATGCAGGCGGTTATTCTTGTAAGAATTATTGATAGGGCTCGAAGATGTCGGTGCTTGGCCATCCATTTAAGCTTCTCCAATTATGCTGTGTCTAACCGGTTTGGGCCTGAACTATTAATCGACGCCGCAGCAAGACACTCGAGCCAGTCCAAGTCCTGCCTGCGTAGTCCAGTCCCTAGTCAATCCACCCAACTCCTCTCGCATTTCTCGTCGTGTTATCTCTCCTCTCGAATCCCACTTCCTCGACCACATGCGCCTGTCAGCTTGCACCAATCATCCTCCGTGATACCATGTCGAGGTAGATTGCACGGCAACCTGCCATACACCCTCCAATACCTCCAAAGATAGGAGAGCTCCACCACGCTCTTTTATCATCGCTGATTCCCCGCGATGTCCAACACAGATCCGAAAACTCCAGCACCGCGACATCGACAGGATGAGAATACTCTCTTGACAGAACATGCGTCCCCGTCGTCGCCGAATCTCGCTGCGGCTGCATTGAACATCCAGCACGCTCTGCAGAATACAGCAATCCCACTGTCCTTCCCAGAAACTCAGACCCCAAAGTCTGCCTCGATATTTCAGACCACCACCATAGCTCCTTCTCCGCCTCCGAACACGTCTGAACGAAAAGATTCTCCTCTTACCCCACTCGATACTACCTCCCGTCTCCTCCCTATAGATATCCACAATGCCAGTCCGAGTCCATTGAGCGCAGGTCTACGGATACAAACCGATATCATCCCTGGCTGCACAGTCACGGCAGCAAGCACCAATAATACGGCGCGGAGCTCGAGTGAATCGTCGCGAATTCCAATTCCGCAATCGAGACAAACGAACATTCCTCTGGCGAGAACCCCAAGTGTCAAAAACGTCTTCGCGAGCAGTGTAGGCAGTAACTCGGCAATTGGATCTGCCCCAAGCTCAGCGCTCTCTTCCCCTATGCTGAGTGCTATGGCAGATGTCACACCTCTACCCTCCCCTCTGATGTCTGGAGATTCACCTGGACCTTGGAGAAAGCTGGCATCACGACCAAATTCACGAGAACTCATGATACCCATCAGCGCAGAGTCGGCATTGGTTACGGCCAATGGCGAATCCATATCTTCAGCAATTGCAAATCAAGTCAAAAGACGAGCATATCATGGACTAGTCACCAACGCAAGCGAGTCTGCCTTAATACAAGCAAGCAAGGAGAAGAATGCGGATGGCCATCACAGGAATAGAAGCCTGAGCGAGTATATACCAGAAAATGTTCAGGTACCGAAGAACAGGCATATCACAGTGTCAGGCTCACACGCCCCCATCGAGGGAACTCCTGAATCAAATACAGCTGTGGACATGCATATGCGGAGGGAACCACATCTTGCAGTATCGAGAGGCTTAGCACCAGTTCCTAGACCACCAACACCACCATCGAGCAGAACTGGCGGGGAAAGCAGTGATAGTGACTCGTCCATGGTAAATCTTCCTCGAGCACACAAGAATCCACGTTATGAGTACTACGCAGCACATACCCGAGATGACTCTAAGTTGAGACGCTGGACGGCGTTGAAACTATTGGGACAAGGCACTTTCAGCAAGGTCATGCTAGCCACGAGTCAAGTTCCAGAAGAAGACAATCGGATAGACGAGAATGACGTGTTTGGGACTCAAATGGAGGGCATTTCTACGACAGTTCCTGAAACGAAAATGGACCGGAAGAAACTGGTAGCTGTGAAGATTTGTGAGCATGGACCAAAAGGAGGAGCATCCGAGGAGCGAGTAGAAATGTCTCTGAAGCGAGAATTGGAGATCATGAAATCGATACACCATCCTTCTTTGGTTCATCTGAAAGCATGGAACATTGAAGAAACTCGAGCTATTCTCGTTCTCAGCTATTGTCCTGGAGGAGACTTATTCGAAGTTGCAAGCGAGCATCGTAATATATTGGTTCCTGGACTTTTGAGGAGGATGTTCTCTGAGTTGGTGGCTGCTGTCCAGTATTTGCACGATAGACATATCGTGCACCGGGATATCAAGCTTGAGAGTATGTCTTTTGACCATTTGAGATTGAGTGGTGCTGATTGCCTGCCTTCTAGATGTCCTAGTCAACTTTCCCCAGCATGAGCTTGCTCGCCCACAAGACTGGTCAAAGTTTCCGTATTCCATCATCACGCTCACAGACTTGGGACTTTCTAGGCGTGTTGCCGATGATGAGAAACTAACTACTCGTTGTGGGTCTGATGACTATGCTGCTCCAGAAGTCATCATGGGCCAGCCATATGACGGAAGAGCAACAGATGCTTGGTCTCTCGGCGTTCTCCTGTACGCTTTGCTCGAGAGTAGGCTACCGTTCGATCCCAATCCAGGAATGTCAGAAGGACACAAGCAACGAAGCCGTACCAGTCACCGAATTGCCAGAGTGGAATGGCGATGGATCGAGTACGCAGGTGAAGAAGGCGACCATGAGGGTGACCCCGAGAAGTTCAGGGAGAGAGGCCTAGAAGGCGCAATGTTGGTCACAGAAGGACTTCTTAAAAGAGCAAGAAGTCGATGGACCATGCAACAAGTGGCTGATCAAGAGTGGGTCAAGGGTGGCATAACTGTTGATGGCGAGATCAAGTTCCGAGAAGAGGACAATCCCGAAGAAGTCTTACATCCGGATAGTGGCATTGAGATTCAGTCTGCCTTATGACACGACTCTTGATATACCCACCAATGGGACTTTATACCTTCTTTCCTTTGTCAGGGAGACTCTAGGGCGGGATGGGTAGGACAAGGTGGGATAGGACGACGGGACCATGTTTTCGAGATATACCTGCAGCGACATTTTCCCTTTGTTACAGAAGGACATAAACCTAAATAAAGAGGAAATCCTGGGTCTTTCTGACAGCGCGCGAGCGAACCTTTTGCTGGGATTTTTGGGTTAGCATTGGCGTTCTTTTCCCTTTTCTCAGCTACCTGAATGGGGGGCGTGGGAAGACGCATTTGCGTTGACTCCATGGCTTGAAGAAATCGCAGAGTATGAGTCGGGAGTGTGAGCTGTGACTTGGCGGTTGAGAAGCGAGCAGAGATTTCTGTATATTATACTAGGTGGACTAAAAGTTTCAAGAGGTGGGACGTGAGCTTGGTGAGGGTGTAGAGGAAGGTAGTAGACACAGAAATAAAAGATTTCTGTGGAAGTGTTTGAGACTATGTCTGATTCCTGTTGGGTAGCGGCGTGCCAAAGCTGATCATCATCTGTGGCATCTCTTGGACAAGCCCTTTGCTGCTTTCTTCGGATAGGCATTGTTTTGTCTTACATTCGGCGTACACACTTGGCCCTTATTCTGGCAATTGATGCTAGACTCCATCATGTGCAGCACAGATCATACCATCAAATTTTGATTTGGAATATACTGGGTGGGCATTCACATCCAACATGTTTGGCCACAGACATTGGACTGAAAGAAGGAGGTTTTGATTAAGTAGTCATTTCTTATGTCACCAGTCATAGCAAGACCCAGAAATGCCATAGCGTGGTCACTTATACTTTCACCACTTTTCTTCTGTTGCAGGTCCACTTTCCGATCCCTTTCTTGAATTATTCTGGAGAGTTCGGACTCTGTTCTTACTCATGTCAGTCGAGCTCTCGTCGGACAATATCGGATTAAATACCTACCATTTCGTCCTTCTATTGTCCATCTCCGTTTCGGGTTCTCTTTCCGTGTGCTTATTTCAGGCACTTCTGAACTATGTACGTTAGTTAATGTCTCGTGCAGAAAGAAAAGATGTGTAGGTACCAGTTCTTGAGTTCTTGAGGCTCTGACTTCGCTCATGTTGTAGCCGGACTTGGACTTTGGCTCGAAATTCCTGCCTTCCTCTCCTGTAAGCGCCTGTGGAATCGGGCCATAGGGTCTTCTGCCTCGTTCTTCTCCTTCCTTCCATAGTATTGATTGATTTGCTGAAGAAAAAGAGCAGAAGGTCTTTCGTTCAGTGTCAGTAAATCTATTCCCATGAAGCAAAGAAGAAGAACTTGCCTGACGTCCGGTTTCCGCTCCTTTAGATATTCGAGTGCTTCTAAGGATGTTATTGGCTTCTGGGAGCAAAGATACGAGAGGATCGCTGCTGCGGAGCGGTTCTATAATATGTCAGCACGAATTTATTTGATATGGAAAAAAGAATTAATTACTAGTCCTAAAGCACAATGCACTAAGACAATACCACCACCCTTGATCGCAGAATCGATGAACGCCACAAGTTCTTGGATGTGACGCTTCATATCGTCGATGTCATCCAAGGCGATGTGGAGGTAGGTTCTTGTTGCATCCTCGGGATGTTTGTGGGTGCACATGTTGAGAACGTGCGTGATTTCTGACGGTATCGTGGTTGGGAATTTGGAGATGTAGAGGTGAGGAAGGCCTTCAAACATTTTGAGAGAAGTATTGTCTGGTTTGGTGATGTTTGTCGAATCTAGCTGGTCTTGCGAGGCTGGAGGTGAAGTTGCCATTTTCAAAGGTGTATTCTGTGATATTGTGATATTTTTGTATTTGTTTCTGTTCATTTGTTTTGTGCTGATACGAAAGAGAGAACTAGTCTAGAATATATAGCGGGATTTGGATGTGGACTGAATTGGCTGCGCACGTGACTTTCGCACTGCATTGGACAGACTTTTGAAGACTCAATATTGGTTTGGGAATGCTGCATTCTTCAGTATTGATATGTAGTAACATATGTGTGTTGCACCTCGATTTATTTTGAGCAAAATTTGGCACATGATGCCTACAAACTGTAGATTTTGAAAACTCGACGAAAATTAACACTAAAATTCCCTGCAATCTGATTGGCCGAGCTTAATTGCGATGAGACTTTCTAAATTTTGCATTTTTGATAGAACCCTCTCGTTGCGTGATGCTCAAACACCTTTTTAGCGTGGTGCGATGTGCAACAAAATATTTCTCTGTCTCTAATTGGTCGATAAGACGCTTAGCAAATTATACATTGATTGCAACGGATCTGGACAATCTACGTCTGGGCTCTCGAACAACGATAGCCTGTGACCGTATTGATTCTTAGTTGTTAAACCCAGAGAAACCCTTTGGAAGCTACAATAAGATCGCAGCGAGAAAATTAAAACTTTGTCGGATCGTCAACCTCAAAACGGATATTGTTGATCTTGTTCAACTTTATATCCCCAGTAATGAGGCCCGACTTTCGGCTGTTGACGGCTTGACATCGGCTCGGCCCGACATTTCGGATCTAAAAATAAAACGCCTTCAGCCACCGCAACAAAACAACGAGGCGCAGTCGGCGTGTGGTCTGAGACGCGTACGCCCAGCTTAAGAATGTGAATAATATCGAGTGCGCTGGCACTTCTCTCCCTTCACTCACATTCATTTCATTGTCTGCCTAATCATAATCGCCATGGCTCCAATATCTGCTACCGAAGGATTTCTCTATGCCGCGAAGAGAACTGTTGTCGCTGCAGGCCCTGATCTCGCGAGGCTATCTGCCCACCATATTGCGCGCCGCAGCCTTACCGTAAATCATACCCAGGGGGTGACTTTGGGGGTTATCGTTGCATACACGGTTATCATTGCGCTGCTATGGAATCTGCCGTATGTTCGCTGGTCGTTATGGCCGTTCAAGGTGGGTAAAAGGACAAGGCTACGATACTCTATAGCTACTGATTGTTGAATAGATGCTTGTTATTGCTTTCCATGAGTTCGGACATGCGATCACGGCTTGTTGCACAGGAGGACGAGTCGAGTCCATATCGCTTGACCCTCGAGAAGGCGGGGTTACACACATGCGGGGTGGTATCAGTGCTATTACGCTTCCAGCGGGGTATCTTGGGTCCTCCCTCATCGGAGCTCTACTCATCTTCTGCGGCTTCGATATCGTTGCTAGCAAGATTGCCAGTTTGGTATTGGGTGTCTGCTTTCTCCTCACTTTGTGGTGGGCTCGCAGAGATTGGCTTACCATTGGTACTATCCTGCTTGCTATTGGATTGCTGGTAGCATGTTGGTTCATCGCCCATGCTGAGGCCTTGAGATATGTCGTGGTAAGTTGTGCATCAAACTCTACTACCGTGAAGGTTGATTCTAACACTTTATAGCTCTTCATCGGCGTCATGTCAGCTCTATACAGCGTTTGGGATATCGTGAGTGTCCTTCTCTTGCTCCATATTCTTCTACTAACAGAAGCTTTCAGTGCGATGATCTTATCCTTCGCAAAGTAAACTCCTCCGATGCTAGCGTCTTTGCCAAGAAGTACGGTGGCTCTTCTCAGTGCTGGGGCGTTATCTGGTCTATCATATCCTTGATCCTCATGATCGTTGGAATAATTGCCGGACTCGCAGCATTCCCCGAATCGGCAAGCCAGCAGGAGGATGATTCGAAGAAGTTCATTCCCACACGTTAAGCGGCTCTGACGCTTCGGTGTAAGGAAAGATCGACAAGCTCCTGAGGAGACTTGCTTAATAACTACGAGAGCGAAGGGATAGGACTCAGTTCGAGGAACAAGGACCCAATCGAGTGAAGGCTTGTGTCAGATTCGAGATAGAGAGCCAGCTGCATGGGTAAGTCCTTGCAATGGGACATCGCCCTTGGAGGAGACTTTCGGACTGACGTTTCTCAGTCCATCAGCACAAATACCAGAATGCGCTGCCATTGAGGTGAAAGCTGTGGGAGAAGTGCTTACCGAGTGGGCAAAGAAGGTGTTGCCAAGTAGTTATCGAGCGAGAGTTTCTCTTGACTGGGCATGCTTTTGAACAATGCAATTCTATGAATCAAGGATCCCTACCCTTTGGCCGTCCTAGTTAATTCCGCTGAGAAGTTTTCTCTCCACGTATCAGACACGAGTGATGTTCCAGAGCATACAGCTTTCACCATTTGTGTTTCATCGATTCATTCGTTGAGATGCAGAGCAGTAGAAATTCAAACAACGCAATTGTTCAATCGTGGTTTCTTCCAATCATAGTGCATGTGCAATCCAATGCTATCCGTGTCTGTGATGATTATCATTTTCGTCACGCTGAAACATTTTCCAGCCATCGCACAACTTCCGAGCCTCGACTGATCCCTCTTCTCCTTACCGCTACTCCATCACTCAACTATTCCGTTCCACGACTGGAAGTTATCGGTGAGGGCGGTTCTGCGCCTAAGGCCGTGCAGACAACGCCCTACATGACCGAGAAACAGGGCATGTGCAGTCGCTGGCTTGCTGAAGTCCAATCGCTGTCATATGCAGCCTTGTTCTCGGGCGCAACACGTCACACTGCTCCTTTCCCTATTGTTTTATCCTTCCCTCGATTCTGAGGTTTTGGGCAATTCTGCTCTCGGGCCATCTTGTGATGAGATTTGTTGTCTTCGAGTCAATAATGCAGCAGTGAGTTCTCACGATTCTCAAGTGACGCTTTTACAGCCCCGTGGTAAAAGCACACGAAGTTTCTGCATATGCTTCGATGGACTTCGTCCTCCGCTCCCATGAATATAATGGCTAGCTCCTGCTCCATCATCCACACTCCCTACAATGAAGTGCTGCCGAAATTACAGATAAATAGATAGGACATATTCCTTCGCTTTTGTGATGGTAAGCGCGGCCAGGGCGAGCAGAAGTACATCATAATGTCCGACTCTGCTGACTATGCCAGCTATCAACCATCTGCCGAATATCGGAGTGTCGATGAATGTGAGGGCAACCCTTGAGAATCTAAAGTTTGCTTTGACATTGTCACTCATATCTGTACAGTTATAGGCTCTGTTTCAGACATAGCTATTGATAGACCTGAAGGTACAGTGGCAAACTCGAGGAGTAGTTACCATTACTCGGTGGTTATACAGACTTCACAGAACTGCCTATTCCAGATCAAACTTCAACTTTTGAGCCTACCACCTTCCAATTTGGTAAGAAGATTCGCACATGGTGGTTCTAGTTGTTTGCTGAATAATACAGATACTCATAATTCATTTCCATTCCGAGACGCGACTTGGTATGCGATCTACCCACTAATGGCTGTTAAAATCGGACGCTGAGCGTAACGTCTAACAATGTTCCTCAGCTCTCAACAAGTGCCTGACGATGCTTTTGACATGACTACCACCATCCCAGCATCTGGAGATCCCGTTGAGGGCAACATCACTCCGCTCAGGTGTAGCATTACCAACTGCTTCGAAGACGTTATCTTTCCGAATACAGCTGCTTTGAGGTGTGTTACTTTCTACTTAATGATTGTACAGGATTAATGTTTCCTAGTAAGCACATCGAGAAGAAACACACCAAGCCATATACTTGCCTTGTCCCAAGTTGCAAACATCCCCAATTCGGTGACAAGTCCGGATTAGAACGTCACAAACGGGAAGTACACAGTTCACAGATCTTCCGCTGCCCCATAATTTCATGCAAACGTCACACGAAAGGCTTCAACCGCGCGTATAATCTACATGACCATACCAAGCGTTGTCATCCACAAGCCAGCAGATCCAGGGCCATGCTCTTTCCTAAGTCATCACGACTCGACTATCAGGAAAGCCAAGGGAGGACCGAAAGCACTGACGAGATTGCGAGCCCAGTAAGTGAAGTCGGTGAGGGCAGGGATATGGGCCAGAGTCAGAATAATGTTCAAGGAATTGGGGAAAGGCTGGAGATGCTTCGTAGATTGAGAGCTGATCTGGATATTGATATTCAGGCTTTGGAGAGGACGGTGGAGATCTTGAGGAATTCGTGACACTGATCATCCGTTGTTTTATTTCATGTTCTTCTTATGTCGGTGTTTGGGTCTGGGAACTGAGTTCAGTGAAAGTCCGTGTGCAAATCTCACCAAAAGACATCCCATATATTATCCCAAACTTCCATGTTTATGGTGACCTCCTAGAGCTGGACTTACTGCCACTCGACGGGGAAATATGAGTTGACGCAGTAATTGCAAATGTTTGAAGGACTATATGGGTGGGACTTACAACCTCCCTGGTGGTTTTTTTGCTGATATTGAGCGGAAATATCAGGCAAGTTTCAATGAGGCAGAAACTATAGACAGAATATCTTAGGGGCTTGGGGTTGGCTTCATTAGCGTTGTAGTTCCATGTCCCTCTCCCAACCTTGATCCGATATAATCATATGCTTCTGTGGGTCCTTCCCAGACCTCTATCCCTTCTTGAAATAACATGAGTTGTCGATGCCATTGTTCTTTCCAAACCTTTCATTCACTGTATCTTTCTGGCCCTGTTCCTTTTGCAAGTCAGTCACCATGCCCTCTTCAAACCCAAGCTTTATCATCGTCGGCTCTGAGATCGTGATACAACTTCCAACGCTGACAGCTTTTGGAAATCACTGAGCCAGATAGCTTGTTTCCGTCTGATTTGGCTTGCAAGTTGAATCGACAGCATCAATCTCCACCTACCTAGTTACCCCTGAGTGCCCACGTGATTTCGGCTAATGAAGGTCCCCTTTCGTCCACCTTTCCCATGAGAAAGATGAGTTCCGTGAGCTGCTGTCACCCGGCGAGTTCCATGAGATCAATAGACATGCTCTTCCCTTCTCCGTGGTTTTCACGATGATGTTTGATTCCGTGGGTATGATTTCGACCCATCCCATCTTGACTAGTAGTTCAAAAGGTACACTTTCGAAGGGTATGTATTGTGGGACTTTGTGGAAGGCTTCTGCCATTGAATTGAGTCCGTGGGAGTGATTTGAGTTGTTGGTGGTCGGCAGATGCTGTTGAAGGATGTCGATAGGGACAACGGAGGGGATTTTCGAAGTTGTCTTGTGCCTCAGTCGACTTGTCAGCTGTTGTGTGAGATGGTTGTTAATGCGGGAAGAACCCAAATGATGATAACGAACCTAAAGGAATAGTGGCAAAGGTTCCCATACTTTATTCAGAGCTCTAACAATGTTTACAGTCTAGTGCAACTAGAAAGAGAAGTTGATGATATCAGACACGTAGCCCCTCTTGCGTTTTTTGTTGTTCCTGTTATATCACCATTAGTCTGGCGCACTGATAGATAAACTTCTTCGAATGAACTATGCAGCGAAGGCGCAGACAGGAAGGCGCAAACGAAGATGATGTTAACGCTCGGGGTGTCGTATCCTTCACAACAAGCCAATCGCAGGGTCAGTTAGGTAGATATTGGAGACTACAAATTTCAAATTAGGAGTGATTGCCGTGCGGGTTGACATTTTATCTCTCCCTATTTGACTTATTGGCTGGCGGGTGGGTACGGCACTTCAAGCAACATAACATATGCCAATAAGACGAGACAGATGAGACGGGTGGGACGTGCCAAGCGTAGTTAAGAAGAACCGCATTGTTTAAAAGCACTTCACCAGCCACTGCGTACAGCTGTAGTGTCCTACTGTGTAATGCATACAGTAAAGTGATAATCTTGACCTGGCCTGGAGCAAAAGTACCAGGCTGCGAGAGATAGAATTCCCCATAGTACAGTGAGCCATGTTTCAACTTCGAGATACACGTCCTAGACGGGGTTAGTGTTGATCCCAGGTGCTCTTCTCTCTCGAGGGTAGATCTAGTGTTCCTTCCCAAAGCGAACTTCAAACTCCCCCCGTCAAAACGCAACCCACCCGCCACCATCCTTCATCACCTTTCGTCGACTACCCATTGTTGACGTGTCAAGACCTTCGAGACTGCCTGGTGAGTCTATTTACTTACTTGAAACATGAAATAGAGGATCCTGACACGTTCACGAGCAGGAGGCAGACCACGTTGACGTCCGCCAGCCCTACTGCGTCTTGTCGCGGGGTCTACAACACGTTCACAAACACTTGAGTCGTCACCCAGAGACCTACCCGGGTGTATTGAGTTCGTTTTCGCCGTCCTCCTTCTTTCAGACGGTACCAGCGATCGCAGCTTCCTTGAGCAGCTTGCGTTGGGAGGCAGGTGCGACAACAAAGCAGGCACATTCCCCAACCCGCACCTTCCTAAAGAAGCTTCTCAGAGTCGTTCCTGCTACTACAGGAGACCGTATCACTCATTGGGTGATTATTCGTCTGTCCTGATTTGCAGTGGTGAATTAACTTGGTACAGGACATATCTCGTTTCCCTGGGGACATCTGGGCTTCCGTCCGGACATCTATCACAGTGTAGCTACAACACATACAGAAGTAGGGCGAAAGTAATAACATCTCAGCGGTTTGTAATCTAAACAAGCCTCTCAGTGTTATTTAGTCTTGTTCTTTGTACTCTGTAAGTGATAATGCATTGTTCTTGATGGCGCGCTTAGCTAATGCTATTCAGCACCTGTTGAGAGCCATCGAGGAGCCTAGTGATCGGAGGGTGACTCCATCCTGAGTAACAAAGAGTAAGTACTTCTTCATGATACACAGACGACTCGAGGATCATGTGTTGATGCTCTTTAGACTATTTTCTGAGTCGACTACATACCACATTTACATTGTCAATCCGGGAAGCTTTGATTGAGATCGCGAGCTGACTCAAGCTGTAATCGTCGGCATGGGTGGCTCCTTTCTTGATTACATGGTTTCGAGCTGCGGTTCGCCGTCTCTGAAGAAATCCTACTGGGCAGAGAGGCATCGAGCTGTTGGCTATACACCTCCTCCAGCCCCCCGTACCAGAATCACAAGCACTGAACAAAAGATTGTGGTCAACCTTGGTGACTCCAAGTCCAACACGGACAGCGACACAAGCTCTGTTTCAAGCTCTTCCGAGGAAATTGAAGTGACAGTGGTCAGGAAGTGTGTTCAGAAGAGACCTGTCAAAGAAGTGGTAACCGTTCCAAAGCAACAAATCATGGAGAGACCCACTCAGAAGGAACAAGCTGAAGAGAAGAAGACCATGCAAAATAGACCGAGTCAAGCAGAGAAATATGTTCAATTTAACGGGGAACATGTCGATGGTCTGAAATCCGCCATGAAAAAGGGTACAGAGAAGGCACAACCTGGAACTATCAAGGATGATGGCAATGGCACGTTAAATTGCAACTGTACCATATGTAGCGATGCCAGAGCAAAGGGACGGATGCCGGAACATGTGCACTGTCGACAGGAAGCTTGCCTACATCGTCCTACGCCTGATGGAAGTAAGAACTCCGAGTAAGTGAAGACACCGATTCTCTTCTCCAATCGTCTCTGTGGTGCTCTCAGCTGTCCTCTCAGCCACAAAGGCTATCCTTGCTGTTGGGCAAATCAAAAGGCTTTTCGAGCTAGAAAAGCCGCTACTGTAAACATGAGCCGATGCTAACTTGGAATTTTACCAGTACCGTGAACCGATGCCCCTGCGCTGCCTCAAAGATCGACAGCACGTGCACGTCCAAGTCGAATGGCAACTCTGGTGGAAACAATAGCCAACGCTCGCAGAACCAGGGTAAGCAAGAGAATCGTGACCAGAACTCTTCGAAGAAGGGAGGTCAGGCTACCAACCCCGGTCAGAACAATCGAGTAAACAACAATCAAGCCAACTCGAACCGTTCCTCGCAAACCCAACAATCCGGCGCCCAAAACGGAAGTCAACAAAACCGAGGCAACAACACCCAATCCAACACAAACTCCGTAACCCTGGATCGAAATCGATTCGCCACCCACGAGCGCGGCGTCGAGAAGCTCTCCAATTTCCAGATCCACTGCATTAGAAACAACCTGTACAACTACCACAACTTTGAAGGTATGGGTCGAACTCTTCAACCTTCTCGGGCTTCCGTCATGCTCAGGGAAGATGTCGTTGAATGTCCATCTGATCCGCGTCCAAACGCGTTCGTCGACATGAACACCGGCGTCGTTCGCGTCTACCACGGTCCAGTCTATGGCAATCCTTATTCCTCCCTTGCTCCTACGCAACCATTGCCGGTTGGTTCCATGGCTGCGCAGGCCTTCAGCAGCGGTGGCCCTCCACCATTCTTCGCTGGTCCTCCCGCCTTGAATAACCGTATGTATGGCGGACTAGCTCCTATGCCAGGCTCCCAACAACCTTGGGGACCTCCACCCGGTGCTCAAGCCCAGGGCAACCAAGGTCAAGGTAACAGCAGCTGGCCAGGACCCACCCAAAACGGCTTTCAAGGACAAAATGGCTGGCGAGCTCAGAATCAAGGACAAAACAACTGGCAAGGTCAAAACCAGAACAATTCGAATGATCAGAACAACTGGCAAGGTCAAAACCAGAATAACTCGAATGGTCCGAACAACTGGCAAGGTCAAACCCAGGATAACTCGAATGGTCAGAACAACTGGAACCAGAACAACTCCCCAGGTTCAAACCGTCAAAATTCTCGCAACTCCCCCAACCCAAGTCAGAACAACGCTCAAAGCCAAAGCCGACAGAACTCTCCCGCACAGAGCATTAAGTCTCCAGCTCAGAACCATAACTCTCCCGTTCAGAGCAACTCTGGCAAGGCCCGAGCTTCCCCCAATCCGAGCAACAACGCTGGATCTCCGAACAACAATGCCAATGGATGGGTCACCGTCACACCTGAGCAAGCTGATAATATGGCTACTGGACAAATGCCAGGAGGTTGGGGCAACGATAATCAGAATGGTGGAGATAGTTGGGGCGCTGCACAGGATACCTCAAACGGCACCGGAGGAGGATGGAATGATAACAACGACAACCAAGCCGCGGGTCAAGACACGGTCAACGCTGGCGACAGTTGGGGCAACAATGATACTTCCAACGCAGGAAATTCAGGTCAGGACAACGGCAACTCTGGCTGGAACAACGGAGAATCGGCCAACTCAAACAACAACAGTTGGAATGCTGATTCTGGCAACACTCAAGGCAACTCAGGCAATGATACCTGGGGAGGAGATTCCGGCAATGCCCAAGGCAATTCTGGTAACAATGACTCCTGGGGTGAGAACACCGGCAACAACCAAGGCAGTTCGGGCAACGAGAGCTCCTGGAACAATACCGGTGGAAATACCTGGGATGCCAAGACCGAGAACAAGAATCCGAATGGCGGTAACAAGGGCGGCAACGGCGATGGTGGTTGGGGTTCTGGCAATAATAAGGGAGGCAACGGAGGTGCAGGCCGGGGTTCCGGAAACAACAATGGTGGAGGCAATGGCGGCAATGGCGGAGGTAACAGCAACTCATATCAGAATTGGGCAACTGAGACTGGTATGTCTGGCGGTTCCTGGGCTGCTGAGGGCGGTTATGGTCCGACTCCTAACGGCGGCGCCAAGAAAGCCAACAATGGTTGGTAAATTGGTGGACGAACAGCATCTCATTTCGGAACTGGGCGATTTGATACGAGCACTTCTAACGGATCCTAAGCTGAAGGTTGATTTACTTCGACTATCGACATTGGAGAAGACTGATGGCTTGTAACTTGCTATGTGGACGATGAGATTTGCTTTCACTACTTCACGTAAATGCTTTGCTTTGCTTGAGGATTGGGATCATTTGCAATGGTTTACTGTGCGTACCTGATTCAGGAATTGTACTTAGGACACAGCTTTCACTTGCTAGTCTTAGCGTAGAATACAGCACTGTCAAACCCATTTTCTTGCTTTCACTTGTGACATCCTCAAGATATCTTCTCCTAGCCAAGAGACAGCTGTTTAGCTTCTTGCTTAGATCACAAGTGAGACATTGCACATTCTCAACTCTGAGCTACACTGAGTCATCAACTACTAATGCAGAGCATCAAAGCGACTTTCATTGCTCATGTCTTTGCAGCATCACAACTCCTAAACCAATGTCGTTAGGAAAAGCTCATGCATAGAATCCCTGCACACTAATTTCGGGCCTACTTATGACGTTCACCCCCACCAAGCCCACCATCAACAAATAAATGCCATCTCCAATCAAAAAACCCACGTCTTCGAAAAGCTCGACATCAATCTCCCTCACTACCACAGTCGCCCTCTCCTTCCTCCTCTTAATCGCCTTCTTCCCATCCATATTTCACTTCCTGTGGTCCGTCCCACTACATCTCCTCTCGCCATACACCTACCTACCTCACCCCTCCTCAAAGTCTTCCGAGACCTACAGATCCTCAAACGACATCATGTCCTGGTCACAGAAAAGCTTCACTCTGCCTGCGAAATCGAGAGGTTCATACCTGATTACCGATACGGTGGTTAAAGAGCTGCCGGAGATCAAAGATTATAAGGTTGGATTGCTGAATCTGTTCATTCAACATACGTCTTGTGCGTTGAGCTTGAATGAGAATTGGGATTCGGATGTTAGGGAGGATATGAGTGATGCGTTGGACAGGATTGCGCCGGAAGATAAAGAGGGAGAGTTGTATAGGCATAGTGCTGAGGGGTTGGATGATATGCCTGTAAGTCTTGCTTTGTCTATTTTTCGGAGCTTGGAAACACTGGCTAATGAAAGAATGCCAGGCACACATTAAATCGGCATTGATTGGAGCGAGTGTTACGGTACCAATTAGCAACGGGAAGCTGGCTACAGGAACGTGGCAAGGGATTTGGTACCTGGAATTCAGAGCGTACAAGCATTCGAGGAAGGTTGTTGCCACGATACAGGGAGAGAAGATGTGACAATCCACGAAGTTATAAGGGAATGAACATGCATGGTGGGCTACGTCGATTTTAAGGCGCACATAATGGTTGGGCAGATCTCATTCTCAGCGGCGTCAAGGCATGGCTGGCAAGAAGCATTGAAATTCATACGCTGCTTGGTATTTGCAATCTGTCTAAAGACAAACAAGATCTCGGAGATCGTATCTAAAGACAGACTTGCCTCCTGGTATCTGCAAGAAGAACCACCGTCTAAAGTCGAGGTATTCCAAGCTTTTATGCCGCTCCCATAAACGCCATTCCATGCCCATAATATTTTGTGACCTTAAACACCGTTCTCCTTGTATCCTCCATCTTCCTTCATCTCTTCGTCCGGGCCTCCAGCTAGAATTCTGGTCTTTGGTACAAAGCCATCGTCTGGTCCACCGCCAGGAGTGACTGCCACAACCTGGCCATTCTCGTCGATGAACTCGAAGTTGTATCTAGACAACAGATGAGGGATTGCAGATAGTTGAGGACCGTATCTCGCAGTGTTATCGTAGAGCTCGAATAAGGGAACCGCCAGAAGCTTCATGTTCTTGGGGACACTGAGGACCTCTGCTCTGTATTAGCTTCTAGTCCCCTTAAATCCAATGAAAAAGGGACTTACTCTGTCTCGGAAGCTGAATGAAATACAACTTCTTGCACTCCTTTGGTCTAGTAACATGCGCCGGAATGAATGGGTACATGAAGGTCTCGAAGTTGGGTCTCCACCACTGCGCCAAAGTGTCACCAATCTCCCACTCCTCATTGACGCCTTCGCCGCTGAACTGCGTGCCTGAAGGCGCTAATCGCTCGTTCAACCGCATCTTGAAGCCCTCGATCTCCTCATCGTCTTCCTTCAGGTAGTCACCGGGGAGCTTGAAGAAGGCATTTGCGATCTGCAGCATGAGGATGTGAGGATGGTTGTGCTCGTGGCAGACGAGGATTCCTTCGCAGGTACGGCGCATGCCATGTTGGACATAATGCTCTTCGAGACGCTTGAGGCGCGCGAGGACGGACGGGTCTTCTTCAGGTTGGGTTTCTTTGGTGCCAAAGGTGTAATTTGAGAGGGGGTAAAGGCGAATTGTTTTGGGTTGGTTATCGTTGAAGGATTTTGGGAGGATGGGAGGATATGAAGTTTGCAACGCCGTAGTTGTTATGGTCGACATCTTGGGTGAGGTTGGTTGAGTGTCGACTTGAGGTATTCGAGGTGTGACGAGGTTGAGGCTCAAGTTGTTGAAGCTTAGCTCGAAAGCTCCATTTTCGGACGCGGCAAGCTCAGTGACACAGCCAGGAACGCGCGTTATCCGCTTTCTTCGAGTCATTGTAAGTGCCTGAATGATATAGAGACATTTACTATCGGTTGCGATGATTGCAGTGCTCAAAGGACCCAAGAATTCGTTGTCACACAATGATTGAATCCTGTTTGCATTTTGATTCTAGGTTTTCAAGACCTTCTACAAGATATATAGAAAGATTGAACTTTGCGGCCGCACCCTTTCAAGCGACTGAGAGGAACATTTTTAGAGCATGCTGAAAGGAGTCACAAGGTGAAGCAAAGGGAATATTGCTGCTCGAAAAGCTCCCTCAATTCACGACGCCATGCCTTAGCATTCGAATGTTGGTGCATTCCATATGTACAGTATAATCAATTCTTCACACTTGCAAACTCCGACGTCTATCGTTGTCCTAGCGCTTCATCTGTGATTCTTTGAGATTCAGGTATCTCAGCAGCATCTCCACGGGGAGCAAGGGGGTAAGCAGTATCTGGAAGGGCTTCGAGATGCTTGCGATGATGTTCGTTTGCCTGTTTAGTGGAGTTAGCATGTGTCTTGAGTTTCGAAAGAAGTTGAAATAGGACATGTCAGCTCTCGAGAACCCAATTCTGCCCCATTTGCTTGAAATCCACTTACAAAGGGAAGACCACAATAAGTGCACATGCAAATTTGAGGCTTGTCTGTATTGATAAAGATTCTTGGATGTCCCAATGGTCCTCCGCCTCCATCACAGGCTACAACTCGCTCATGTGTCCATCGTACTGGCTGCTTGTGAATCAAATCAATTGCAGCTTGTGGTGCAGGCTAAGGAGGCGTTAGATGGTATTGATAGCATAATTGTAGAAGGAGACCTCTAGCAACAGAGAATCCCACTTACCTGTAGCTCCATAATGGTCTGCTCAAATCTTGGTCCTGACATAGCCTTTGCCCTCGGGTTCTGACTTCGTGACCACACAGTAGCTCGATTTGGAGCCTGCATAACTCTCAACTTCTCCGCTTCCTCTATGCTCTCCTGTAGCGGCGCATCTCGGTGTGGGGTTTCTATTGGAACCTCGTTGCTCTTAGAGACGTTCGGCACCTCTTTCGAGGGAGTTGGATCGTTGATCTCTTTGTTATCGTTGGCAGAGAATGCGTAGGCTCTTCTGGCAGAAAATTGTGCTCTTCTGGAGAGCCGAACAAAAGCTCTTGACCTAGCTGTCGAAAGCATCTTGTTGGTTGCTCAATTGCTTGAGACGCGATATTGAATTGAGGTCGTCGTTGCTCGGATACTTCAAGCTAAGGATTTCTGCCTAAGGCTTTTAAAGTTTTCCACCTCCAACCGCAACAAATCAAGAAATTTGTACATCGTCCGATAAAACACCTGAGCATTACGCTCTTGTGTTGAAACAGCTAATAAACAGGTCTACAGGGTCACAGAATAACATCCATTTCTACTTCAACTGGTGTTTATCCTCATTCTCAACATGTCGACCGCAAGCACTCCCGGCAGTGCGCCCAAAACTATGTCTTCCAGATTGTTGACGATGAAGTTCATGCAACGAGCTGCCAATACCTCTCCAACCTCTCGAGCAGAACCATCTCCCGATGAGCCGTCCGCAAAGCGCCGAAAGACCGATTCGAGCCCCTCTACTCCTACCAAATTCAACGTTGATGCTTTGGCAGATCGAAGTGCTATTCAAACTGCGTTGGCGGACGAGGAGGCAAAGCGTCAAGCTGCTTTGGAGAGACAAGCTGCTGAACTCGGAGATACCAGATGGGTTCTGAGCTTTGAGGACCAGCAGAACCTTGCTGCGGCTCCGCCGTTAGCCTTGAGAGTTGTCCAGACTGGCTTTGCAAACCTTGATGCTTCACCAGTAAGAGTGCAATACATGGATGATGATCCCGAGGAAAAGCCTGTGATGATCGGCCGCAGAAGCTTTGGAAAGTTCAACAAGGTAGTGGAGGTATGTCACATAATCTGCTTTCAATTTATGTCTAGCTAATAAGTATCTACAGAAACGACAAGACCCCAATGCCGAGGACACTTCAGAGTCTGATTCTGAAGCGGACGAAGAGGATGACTCTTCCGAGGGAGAGAGCGAATCCGATGACCCGGCAAGCGAATTGATCAGAGCCTCACGAGAGGAAGCTGCAGAACGGGCTAAAGCCGAGCGCAAAGCCAAGAAACGTGCCGCAAAAGCCGAGTTGGAGGAGATGGCAAAAAAGCGGAGGAAGACCGAAGTCAACCTCAACGGATTGTCTTCTTTGTCTGGCAGACAAGATAGGAAACCACCTGTTGCCAAGAATTGTTATACTTGTGGTGGCAATCACTATAAAAAAGACTGTCCAGCCAAGAAGCGAGGTCATCAGGGCGGAGATGACGGGCCACCAAGGAAATCCAGAAAGTCGAGGTGAAAGATCTTGAAGCCAGATGCATACTTAAGGATCAATTCAAGCGAAGAAAGCCTACAACGGTGCGAGGTCACAGGATTGTGCCATACCACTGGCTAGGCAGCCCAAGAGAGCTGCGTATTAAGTCCACAAGGCTAATGCATACAGTCGATGCTCTGACTAGACAGATGCATCCAGAAGTATGAAGCGATTTACGAATCGCAATGTAAATTGTGTACATGGTAAATAGACATAGCGGCTTCGGCACTTTTTCACGTTTGACTTGTTTCGTCCTTCAACCGCTCTTGAGTGATGTATCATTAAGCCTATTCCTTTTCATTTTCTGATTGACGCAAGTTGCCAAGACAAGGAGTTTACAACAGGGCTTGACGTCTCTAGGATGCGGAAGCCTTATTTACCATCTGCTCCCCTTAAGAACGCACGAGTTCACTTCCACTCTTTTGTGGAGTTGAATTCACCTTCGTTCTTTCGACTAGCGCTCTATAACTGCCTACTTCTTCCTCCGCGTTCTCGGTCTCAACACAACACCTTCTTCGACCAACAACGCCACCAATTTCGACTTCTGCTCTTCTACACTACAGGATTTCAACCTTCTTCATTCTTGATCACACTCCGAGCAACTGTTTGCAACTACATCTTCGATTACCTCAATAAACCAAATCGCAAACATGAAGTTCGCCTTCAACACTTCCCTCTTGGCTCTTGCTGGCCTTGCCTTTACTGCCGTTGCTTCTGCTATTCCCACCACTGTCACTGTCCCATCCGGCTCTGGATACAAGAACTACCCGCTGGGTGTTATGACTTTCAGTGGTACCATTGGTGGTCATGCAGTCCAACTTAACGGCACTATCCAGGAGATCAACACTCAAATGGTTGCCAACTTTCCTGACTTCAATATGGATGCCCTTGTTGCTGCCAATTTAGCTAAGCGTGAGGCTGAGGCTGAGGCTGCCACTCCCGCCAACTTGTTCACCCGTAGCAAGGTAATTCAATTCTCACTCCACTTGATAGAAGAAAGTACTAAATCATTACACAGTCTGGCATGTTGTGCTGGCCCGTTCCTAGCCAAGACTGGTCACTGTGCAGTGTTAGCGTTATTGGACAAGGTATCACCTATCTTGATAACTTCAATGGTCTCTGCGGCGTTGGTGCGAACTCCTGTAAGTAGCTTCCAAGAGATTTCTTCTACTAGTAACGAGTTCTAGCTAACTTTTTGGCGCTTAAGGTGTCCGTATTTCCTGCTCGTACAGTTCTGCGATCTATCTTTGCAACGATAATGACTATGGCATCACTCCAACTTGTCCTTACATGGGCTCGTATGCCCAGGATATCATCAATGATTGCTCTCATTGCGAAGGACCAAATGATTGCGTTACTTGTGGACAAGAATTCGACTCCGATAATTATAATATTATCGTTCGTGACAATTGTTAATAGGATTCGGACTTCCATTGCGCTGGTCTTCGCTCTGGTGTGATGCGTTAAGCAGTGGGGCGTTTCTTTTTGGCAAACAATCTACGTGGTACGATGATTGGGAATGGTTAGGCGATAGGGTTTTTTGGGCATTAGTTTGATTCGACTCTTGATTGAAAGAGCTTTTTGGATAGCTTCTTGGCCTGTTGGCATGGTGGGGAAAACTTGGAGTAGCGTAGAAGCATCCTGATCATTTAATGCCAAAACGTGCGTCTTCTTCCTCTCTGTTCCGTTTTGATCTCAAGTGCACAGCTGCGTTAACATTCAAGCTATGTCCACACAATTATTTCCATTGTCTTAAGCTCATGGCATTCATTCAAGCTGCCTCTGTGCTTTGGTACCTTTCTAGCCTTTCCGCTAGTCTTTAAACGCTCTACAGCGAGGTGACCTCGCATATATCTCTTTTCATTTTCAATCATCCAGAGTTGTGCGTCTTCTTCATATCTGCCTCTCTCTTCCGTCTCTTCGTTGAGTTGATCACAACAGGCACAGTTGCTATGACGCTCACTCCAGCCAACACCCATGCAATAATCTCTATTATCTTAAGCTCATGACATTCAGTCAAGCCTCCTTTGATGGGGCCAACGCCTTGATTGCAGATTATAAAACCCCACATCGTATGAATCAAGACGCCAGACACAACCCAAAGTATCGTTGAGATGACCAAAAATATCTATACAAGGGCTTTGTTAGCCTTGAAGGTTATTGAATGGGAGTCGGACAAGGAAGAACGAACCGTGTGGAACATGCTATGGAAGATCTTCGTAGCACAGTGAAATCCGAGGTATACAGCACTTAATGCAATCGTCCTCACGCAGGAGAAGATCAGGAACGCCAGTCTTGCGCGCTCGGTCGTGGAATGCCATGTGTGCGTTTTCTGGAGGTACTGGAACGAATCGATTGTGAAGAATAATTCTGCGATGGAGAGGAGGAACATAAGGCCGAAGAATACACTATGGCTATACTCAGTAGATGTTCTACTTGTGGAGAATGATATTCACTTACGGGATGTCCCAAGTTGGGGCTGATTGAGGGCCATGGCCTTCTGAATGATTGTTTTTCTTTCTACCGAACATTTCGGCTGACGATAACAGAGCAATTGATACTTCTTCTGCTGAAATGATTCTTTCCCAAGAATTAAATTATTGATAAAGAGAAATGTTTTCTTTGAGAAGAACAGCAAGGTAACCCCGCCATGTGCTCTATTATGCCTACCATGCCATATCCCCAAACCTTGATCATAACAAGCCACAACTCCTAGAACCAAGTTTGCGTGTCCTTGGCATGCATCACCACAGGGTCGCAGAATCCCCAATCAACAAATATCCCATTTGGGTAATGTGAAGCATGACGTCTTGTGGCCGTGCCTTGGTTCTTGCCCCTGCTGAAACTGGGGTTTGTGGCTGAAAATTTCAAGGTACGTGCCGCTTTTTAGATTCCAGACCCTTTGAGATCTCGGAGAGGATGGAAGTTGGGGAAGATATTCCGTAGATCTGGGATGTAATTTTCCTTCGAATGAGGTAGGGACTTTGAAGTGGATTTTAAGGGGTAAGTGCACGTGACAGAAACAAGTTGACATCTTTTCCTCCTACTTTGAGGAAGCTAGACCTTACCACAACGTGTTTTAACAGCCTTCCTGCCTAAATCACCTGCAACGATTACTTACAGACTTACTGGTATTTTTGGCCTTAACCTCAACCTGCCGCACTCCACGGTACACTCCTACGATAGCCAAATACAGGATAGACTATCTCAAACAACACAACCATGAGGTCCATCATACCTTCCTCCCGCAACTCGTCACCCATCACCGCAAAGAAGTCTTCTGTAACGGCACCACGTACGGCCCTCTCTAAGGACTCCTCAGGACCGAGCAGCATATTCAGCATGGCGTCCGATTCGCCAAAAGATGGAGGACAGATGATGAACTCGAGCTTGAGGTCTCGCGCAAGGTCCTGAAGATCGGGAATACCTGAGACGTTTCAGCAAAGCAATCAAGTAGACTTAGTCGTTGTCACTTACCACAGTCGCAAATACTACCTATGAAGGAAAGGAGAAGTCAGTCTCTTCAGTACTAAAGGCCTGGGAAAGGTACTCGCCTTGAGGCCCAAAAGCAAGTACATGATCTTGTCGTAAGCGCTTGAAGCCATCATCATCAGGTGTCATTTCGGATTTCAACCCAAAATTTGGATCCGTGAGACGGAGATGGATTGTTGTGGCATGGTACATGACATGAGGAAATCGGCCAGGGAGGAACTTTTCCCACACTAAATCAACAAACGTTATTCAAACATTCCACATCTTGATTTGAGGATACTTACTATTTGCAACAGCGTCCTCTGGGCCATGAAAGTCCTCAAGTGAGAATTCCGAGTCAAGAATTTCTCCATAGGGGTCGAGGATAGTACAACCCTTGAACATAAATCTCAGGCGCTTGAGGTAGATCCATAGTCTCTGAGGCGGGAGCCGGCAGTAAAGCTTTCCGAGATCTTGTCTGACTTTTTCTCTGAAGCCCTCGTCAAGTCCACTCGTCCAAGTGTCGATCTTTATGCGGAGTCTGAGCATCATTTGAGCCTGTTCGAAGTCTTCGGGGTCAAGTTTTGGTTTGCAGCCTGCGTGGTTAGCCGTGAGTAATGTTCAATTTGATGAGATAGTAGTTCTCTCACATAGTTTGGTATATATCCCGGTCATTGTCTCGTCTTCTTGAATCATCTCTTGAACTTGATCCGGAATCAAATAACTCTCGGTTACATGATGGCTGGTAATCTCCTCCTTCCTCAACTTGAGTTTAGCAGTTGCATTGCCTCCAAGTAATTTGACAACGTTCTCTAATTTTCGCAAGTATAAGCGTCTGAAGTCGTCGTCGGCAGGGCCAACCTGCTTGAAGTTTCGCAATCTATCTTCATCTTCGAATGCGAGATAGAATTCAAGTGCTCGTAGCAAGCCTGTCTTGCTCTTGAAGGCAATAATTGAGGTACTATAAGCCTCTTCAAAGAAGACAGTATTTATCTTGCCAATGTGATCAGACGATAGTGGGAAGAAACGAAAGTAGAAGATATCATTTGGGCTGAACACGGGTTCTTGACCTGTGATGGATGTCGGCACCCCATCGACAAAGGTAGTATAAGAATTGTGTGGTTTCGTAAGTGGGAGATCGGCGAGGAACGATGTTGCTGTTTCAGGATTGTGATGTGGCATCTGGGACATTTCAAGTAGCATCTCACGCATGACCTTGGCATCTTCTACTACATCCTCGACTGCAAGTGGAAGAATAGCTGCTCTCAATATCATGGTGAGCTTGGGTGAGATATGGGCAAATATGTGATACTCCGTGTAAGCACTTATCTCTACATCGCCTGTCTCGATATCGGTGGTTGTGCTTGTAGGCCCCTCAAAGATACCGTAACCATTTTCGGTCATGATAAATTCATCGTCTGAATTCGAGGGCGTGCAGAGGGACAAGTAGTACCAGTCGACGAGGAGAACAAACCACTGAAATAAAAGTCAGTATCGTGCATGTCCAGGATTTTTGTGGGCAGGATCAGAAGTCAGAGACAGTAGGCTACGCAAGGTAAGAAACGGGGGGGCGACGAGACCATTGAGACTGTGATACAACAAAAATAAATTTATCCTTTACATACCATAGCATCTCTAGGATAGGATTTCTCCATCAGATTACCAATCCAATCAGAGTTGACGTCAATATTGATCTCCAAGAAAGCCCGTATGTTGTCCAGCCAGACCTCAATCGGCTGCTCGAAACCCTTCTTCCGCATATACTCCACAAATTCCTCTTTATCTTCGCCCACATAATCATCCGCACTTTCTCCGCAAAATCGTCTGCGAAAAATAGATCCTCGATACTTCATGATGAACAGAAATTTGCGAATGATATCTCTTTCCGTTCTTCTCAGCGCAACTTGTTCATCTCCAGCTTCAAAGGTCTTTCGAATCTTGGTGATGATGCCTGCTGCCTGACCTTCAAGTTTGCTGAACATCTCTTCAACATTCTGTTTGTTCGTTTGGTGACGGACATCGAGGTACAGATCCTGAATTCCGAAAGTCTTGTTGACCTTACTCTCGGTGAGCTTCACTTGGTCGCTGGATATGTCGACTCCATTGATCAACTTATCTCCAGGATAGAAACCTTGCTTGGATTTCCATTTCTTGTTACCCTTCTTGTTTTGCGGTCGATATTCGTGTGCAAAATTTCTAAGGATGAATTGAGGAATGAAATGGTGATATCTCGAGTCTTGACCGGATTTCGACGACTCCGCCATGCTTCTGATTATGGATTGTGCTGGAAATCTGAGGAAATGGTCTGCAATTTTTCTTCTTTGATGCATGCGGAGGCTTTGCCAGCTTGGTCCTCAGCATTCTAATGAGGGTTTATAGGAAGAAATGTGTTCAAGAATTCCGTCAGACGAGGCTGAAGAGGCCCTCCAACCCCACGCCGCCGGTTCGGGCCTTGTGCATGCGACCACTGCATGGCTTCGCCGATTCGCACAAACTTCTTCAAGAATATTCTGAGGATGCAGAAATATAGAAAGGTGATATTGTTCTCCGAATTCTCGCCTGCCAAAGTCTCCCGCACCTATGAGAAGACTACTAAAAGAAGTTTTCTACCACAATACATCGTAGACAGGCTAGAGATGGAGAACAAACTTGCAATTGACAGCGACCTTGCAGAACTCAATACAAATCTGTTCAAAGACTTACTATAAGGATTAGACATTTAATAAAAGAAGGATGCAAATCCTGCTTTGCCAGCATGTCCAGGTTCTGATATCAAAGTCTCAAGCTAAAGTAAAACGATGGGAAAGTTCAAATGAGGAGGTACTACCACCAATGGCCCTTTAAGCAAACGGAAGAACCCTTTCTCTTCCATAACCAACTCCGTGAAAAGTTCCTGTTACAATCCTTCGTCTTTGTAGGAGAAGGGCTCATAGTTAATTAGACGAAAGCCTAATGCGATGGAGTTGAGAGTGCGGTGTTCAAATGAAACCGGTCGTAAAAATATACACACTTTCGGCCTTCTAGTTTTCGGTTTCAGGCATCTGACCCCTGAAGCTAATTCGCTAAGGTTACGAACATGGGGACAAAAGTCCGTGCGTTCAGGCTGTAGAACCTCGAAATTAAAACTCTTCACATTAGGACTAAACTATCA